TCTCGTCAATGAGTATTCTGTCATCTCCCTAGACCAGCCCAACCCTCCTTCGCCCCCTGGAGTGTCGATCGCTTTGCGCCGATATGAGATCAAGTTCGGCAGTGTCATGGTCTCGCGACCAACCATCAGCGAGACTGACGGAACCGTTACCTCGCTGCTACCTTACGAATGCCGTGACCGAAACCTGACCTACGCGAGTCCTCTCTATATTAAGATTACGAAGAAGGTGTCCGTGGCTGTCGAGAAGGAGGTTCCTCTGCACGAGATGGACGAGGATCAGCAGGCAGAGTACAAGCGAACTGGTGAAAACCCCACCAAGCTTGTCTGGGAGCTCGAAGAGAGTGGTGACGATGAGGGAAAGGCCGACGATAGTTGGAAGGATATGGTCTTTGTCGGCAAGCTTCCTATCATGGTCAAGTCCAAGATCTGCCACTTGAGCAGCGAGCACGATGATAACCTCTTCCTCGTCAACGAGTGTCCATACGATCAGGGTGGATACTTTGTCATCAACGGCAGTGAAAAGGTACTCATCGCCCAGGAACGATCTGCTGCCAACATCGTCCAAGTCTTCAAGAAGGCTCAGCCCAGTCCTTACACATACACCGCCGAGATTCGAAGTGCGCTTGAGAAGGGTTCACGTCTTATCTCGAGTATGATGCTGAAGCTCTATGGCAAGGGAGACTCTGCACGAGGAGGTTTCGGTCAGACCATTCACACCACTCTGCCATTCGTCAAGGCGGATCTTCCTGTTGCCATTGTCTTCCGAGCTCTCGGTGTTGTCTCTGACGAGGATATTCTCAACCACATCTGCTACGATCGAACCGATAGCCAGATGCTTGAGATGTTGCGTCCCTGTATCGAGGAGGCCTTCTGTGTTCAGGACCGAGAGGTTGCGCTCGACTTTATCGGAAAGCGTGGAAACCGTGACCAGGCTGGTCTCGGTCGCGAGAAGCGTGTGCGTGTCGCCAAGGACATTCTCCAGAAGGAGACCCTACCACACATTTCCCAGTCGGAGGGTAGTGAGACCCGTAAGGCTTTCTTCCTGGGCTACATGGTGCACAAGCTTCTGCAGTGCGCCCTGGGCCGTCGTGAGCCCGATGATCGTGATCACTTTGGAAAGAAGCGTCTGGATCTTGCTGGTCCTCTGCTGGCCAAGCTGTTCCGTGGCATCGTGCGAAGGATGAACACGGAGCTTTCCAACTACCTCAAGCGATGTGTCGAAGGCAACAGACACTTCAACTTGGCTGTTGGTATCAAGCCCGGAACCCTGTCTAACGGTTTGAAGTACTCGCTGGCTACCGGAAACTGGGGAGACCAGAAGAAGGCTGCAAGCTCTACTGCTGGTGTCTCTCAGGTGTTGAACAGATACACCTTTGCATCCACTCTTTCGCATTTGCGACGAACCAACACCCCTATTGGACGAGATGGAAAGCTCGCCAAGCCCCGTCAGCTACACAACACCCATTGGGGCCTGGTCTGTCCAGCCGAGACACCCGAGGGTCAGGCTTGTGGTCTGGTCAAGAACTTGTCCCTGATGTGCTACGTCAGTGTCGGTTCTCCCTCCGAGCCTCTGATTGAGTTCATGATCAACCGAGGTATGGAAGTCGTGGAGGAGTACGAGCCCCTGAGATACCCACATGCCACCAAGATCTTTGTCAATGGTGTCTGGTGTGGTGTCCACTCGGACCCTAAGCATCTCGTCAGCCAGGTTCTGGACACACGACGAAAGTCGTACCTGCAGTATGAGGTGTCGCTTGTTCGTGACATTCGAGATCGAGAGTTCAAGGTCTTCTCCGACGCTGGCCGAGTCATGAGGCCGGTCTTTACGGTCCAGCAGGAGGATGACCACGAGTCTGGTATCGCCAAGGGAGCTTTGGTTCTGACCAAGGACCTTGTCAACAAGCTTGCTAAGGAGCAGGCGGAGCCACCAGAGGACCCATCAATGAAGATTGGATGGGAGGGTCTGATCCGAGCCGGAACTATCGAGTACCTCGATGCTGAGGAAGAGGAGACGGCTATGATTTGCATGACTCCTGAGGATCTTGACCTCTATCGCATGCAAAAGGCTGGTTACGTCGTAGATGACGATAACACGGACGACCCCAACAGGAGATTGAAGACCAAGACGAACCCCACAACTCACATGTACACTCATTGTGAGATTCACCCCAGTATGATTCTTGGCATTTGTGCCAGTATCATTCCCTTCCCCGATCACAACCAGGTATGTGCCCTTGTTTCAACGTGATGCTAGCACAGCTAATAATATGTAGTCACCTCGTAACACCTACCAATCTGCCATGGGTAAACAGGCCATGGGTTTCTTCCTGACAAACTACTCTCGACGTATGGATACCATGGCCAATATTCTTTACTACCCGCAAAAACCTCTGGCGACAACACGATCCATGGAGTTCCTCAAGTTCCGTGAATTGCCAGCCGGTCAGAACGCCATCGTCGCTATCGCTTGCTACTCTGGTTATAACCAGGAAGATTCCGTCATTATGAACCAGAGTAGTATCGATCGAGGCCTGTTCCGCAGTCTGTTCTTCCGATCCTACTCTGACCAGGAGAAGAAGGTCGGCCTCAACTACACGGAAGTGTTTGAGAAGCCCTTCCAGCAGTCGACGCTTCGTATGAAGCACGGTACCTACGACAAGCTGGACGAGGATGGTATCGTGGCCCCCGGTGTGCGAGTGTCAGGTGAAGACATCATCATCGGAAAGACCGCGCCGATTGATCAAGAAAACCAGGATCTGGGTACCAGGACAACGGTGCACCAGCGTCGTGATATCTCCACGCCGCTGCGAAGTACCGAGAACGGTATCGTCGATTCGGTCATTGTGACTGTCAATGCCGACAACGTCAAGTACGTCAAGGTCCGTGTGAGGACGACCAAGATTCCTCAGATTGGTGACAAGTTTGCCTCTCGTCACGGACAGAAGGGTACCATTGGTGTTACCTACCGACAGGAGGATATGCCCTTTAGCAGGGAGGGTGTGACACCAGACATTATCATTAACCCACACGCCATTCCGTCGCGAATGACAATTGCCCATTTGATTGAATGCCTCCTCAGTAAGGTGTCAACGCTCGAAGGCATGGAGGGTGATGCCACACCTTTTACAGACGTCACTGTCGACTCCGTTTCGGAGCTGCTCCGAAAGCACGGCTACCAGTCTCGAGGTTTCGAAATCATGTACAACGGCCATACTGGACGCAAGCTTCGAGCACAGGTGTTCTTCGGACCTACCTACTATCAGCGACTTCGTCACATGGTAGACGACAAGATCCACGCCCGAGCTCGTGGTCCCGTTCAGATCATGACTCGACAGCCTGTCGAAGGTCGTGCCCGAGATGGTGGTCTCCGATTCGGAGAGATGGAACGTGATTGTATGATTGCCCACGGTGCAGCCGCTTTCCTTAAGGAGCGTCTGTTTGAAGTTTCGGATGCCTTCCGAGTCCACGTCTGTGAGGTTTGTGGACTCATGACACCGATTGCGTAAGTCTTGCGACTCCGATAACGATGAACCAAAGCTAACATGATATAGCAACCTTTCCAAGCAGTCGTTCGAATGCCGACCTTGCAAGAACAAGACCAAGATTGCACAGATCCATATTCCTTACGCTGCCAAGCTGCTCTTCCAGGAGCTGCAGTCCATGAACATTGCGGCAAGAATGTTTACCAGTCGCTCCGGAGTTTCAATTCGTTAAGTGAGATTGATTGGAAGGGAGGCGTTTTTCGAAAAAGGAGAAAAAGAGAATGAGGCTACATGGATATCTAGAATGGAGAAGCCTGAACGGCAGCTGAGGCGGATGCCAATACCAACCGTCCTTGCCGATAGCCAGTTAACGCTTTGTAATGTTGAGACGGGGGTTTGGCCATGTACAAAACTAGCACGTCGTTCAAGATTAGGATAGTACAATACCGAGATGCTTTATTGCGATCACGTTTGAAGGTGAAATGGAATGTCTTGGAGGGGAGGGTATCTTTTGGTCTACAGTACGTTGTGTATCATGATGCTCATGTTATCGATTCGGTAAACCCTTCTCTGCGGCTGCTATCGAGTCATGCACCGTCTGCTCCCGCTTATACTCTGCCTCCAGCTGCCTCTGCATATCAAAGTCCAACTGTCGTTCGCGCTTGACTCTCTGCTGCTCCATATCTCGGATTACACCCTCGTGCATGGCCTGTTGTGTGGGTTAGTTTCGGAGTCTTCGGTTTCAACGGTCGAGAATCGGTCGCTTGGGGTCAATTGACCCGGATGATAGACGTACATCCTTCTCAAACTTTTGCTGGAAGTGGACGATGACAATCGTGCCGGCCGCGAAGAGCGACGTGGCCGCCAGTGTGAGCTTGGAGGCGCGGGACATGGCGCCGGGTCGTTTCGACACAGGCTGAGTGAGTATTCGGGAGTCGTAAAGGGAGTCGGAGGTGGTCTTCGATCGATCGGGTAGGCGGTTAAGTTGATCTGAATATCTGGCCACCGAATTGGCTCGTCGGAGGGGAATTAAGCCGACTTTCTGAAAACCCGAGAAAAGAAGGATATAATCGTGAAGCCTGAGAAGAAGGGACTTGTCGGCCCATGACGTGAAAGCGCATGGCGGCGGCAGCGCGGCTACAGGCGCCATGCATGGCTGCGCTAAGCGCCAACCGGGGTACTTTCATCCGCTGTAGCTCCCTGTGCTGCAGCACTCAGAAACGCGCCAGAGGTACCTGGGCGGTACTTGGCACCGTCCGGCAAGGCAGCTGGGGCGGCGGGCACCTGCCCAAGCTCAGACGTAATCCTCCTTGGAAGGTACCTGGGCAAGCCAAGTCCAATCCCTCCAACCTTAGCATCAACAGCTTCCATCGCAAACCGCATCGGCATTCGCATCTCCTCCGCACCGACCTCGCATACGCACCACCCGATCGTCCTTTCGCATACCTTTCTCCTATATCATCATGGTTAGCTGGTCGGCTTCGCACCGCATGGCATTTCGCTAACCCGCCTTGGTAGTCTGCCCAGAACTCGGCCGGCATTCAGACGCTCCTCGACGTATGTTTGGTCTCTGCTAGGTGCTCCTCGTCGTGTAGCTGATTTGTGTTGATTAGGCCGAGCGAGAAGCCTCCAAGATTGTCCAGAAGGGTGAGCTTAAACTTTCTACCTGTTGTATAACCTCCTGCTAACACAACGATAACAGCCCGAGAGTGTAAGCTATTCCGACACCTACGATCCCATGACGAGTCCATCTAACACGCATCATCACCCAGTCCGCACCAAGCGCATCCGTGAGGCTCGCGATGAGGCCAAGCAGGAGATAGCCGACTACAAGAACAACAAGGAAGACGAGTACAAGAAGTTCGAGGCCGAGGTACATACATCCTACACCGTCCCCGACCGCGTCGAGATAGCTGACTGAGCGTGTGCAGCACAGCAAGGGTAACCAGCAGGCCGAGGACGAGGCCAACAAGGAGGCCGACGCTCAGATCAAGACCATCCAGGAGGCCGGCAAGAAGGGCCAGGCCCAGGTCGTCAAGAACCTCCTCAACGCCGTTTTCGAGGTCCAGCCCGTTGCCCCCACCAAGGCCTGAACGACCCGGCGAGATGTCGATGTTTGATGGGGAAATGGCGAGAGCGACACTCGATCCGTTGGCTTCGTGATTTGCACATGATAGAGGAGAAGGATTGGTACAAGAGAGCAAGGCCATACTGGTCACCCTGCGGCGTCTCACCGAGGACGCCTTTTTGATTATATTAAGTTTACTGAACAAACTCGACTAGAGTGCTCAACATATCCCTCAGATCCTGGTTTTCCTCTGCCGTGTCAAGTCCATCCAGCTGCTCCTTTAGCGTCACGCCGATGACGGATACCTTCTCATCGCGCTCAGCCAGGAGTTGTCGAATCTTACGTGCTGCTCCTGTGTCCTCTGCCACCAACCAAGCCAAGACGACGTCAATCGTCTGCAGTGTGAAAAGCCCGGCGTCAATCCTCCGGGATAGCCACTCAATCTCGGCTGTTTCACGACCCTCCTTGGATGCCACAGCCCTCTCAGCCTCATTTTGCTGCTCAGCTAATGAGATCCGAGCGACGTAATCTCTCCGGAACTTGACGAGCTTTGATATCTTCTCATAGTCCTTTTCCACAAACTTTGCCAGTGTCCGTATCCGCTCTGCAGAGTTGGCTGGTAGTAGCCGCAGCATGGATGCAAAGATCTCGACGAGGTGCTCTGCTAGACGGTGATCGTTGGTCTTCATGAAAAGTGTGAAGAGAGTCTTGAGACCAGCAGCTTCAACAATCTTCTGGCAGACTTCTGTGCCAGTGTTGCCTCCCGCCGCATGATTTAGGAGTCGTAGTGCTGGGGGTTTGCTCTTCTTTCCCTCCTTGAGCATGATGAGGCATAGCTCAACTCCCTCGGCCTCGATGAACTTGGCCTTGCCTGAAACTTCGTCCACGAGAGATGTCAAGGAAGCAAAGATGTTCTCCATGTACTCTTCCTCCTCGCCTCCCTTGTCTGGGTCCCGTCTTCGGTAGGGGGCTGCGAGTTGGAGTAGGAGGTCGATGGCATCGAGACGGATGAGCTGTGAGCGGTTGGCGACGGCCATTTGAGCAATGATGGCGAGGATCTCGGCTGCATATTGCTTGTTTTGCGAGACTGGGCTCTCCTTTCGCTGGATGCGCTGGAGCAACCATAGCAGTAGCTTCTCATCTTGGCCGACACGTTCTGTGACAGATTGCTTAGAGCATAGGTTCTCAATGACGCCGAGGGCATGGTAGATGCCGTTCCGATCTGACTCGTCGTCCTCGTTTAGGCGGGAGAAGTTGGATACCAAAAGACCAAGGACATCCGCCTCCATCATGGCATCTACCAAGCCGTTCCAATGCTCGTCCTCGGCGTCAACGTCCTCGTCCGTCAGCTCGCCCATGATCTCGATAGCATCGATGGCAATATCTGTGTTCTCGTGCGCCAGTAGGCTGACTAGACTGGCGACGCATCCCGTCTTGACAAACTCGGGGTACAGCTCAGGGTGCTCGGATAGAAGGGAGAGGCCCTTGATGTCGGCGTCGAGATCAGCTTCGCTGCTGATGAACTTTTGTGGTTCGTCCTCAAACTTGGCGCGAAGCTCGGCGTTCTTGTTGATGCGCTTCTCAAAGTTGAGTGCTGTCTTGCGCAGCCAGGCAGCATCAATCTTTTCGGGTGCGGCGCCAGCATCAGCTTCGTCTACGTAGTCGAGGATCTGTTCTTCCTGTTGTGTGATTCCTCCTCCAAAGAAACGACCCTCGTCATCGTCAGGTGGTAGCTCGGGGCCAAAGTCTTCATCGTCGCCGGGAGGGAGTGCTGGTCCTGCCTCTGTATCGTCATCGTCTTGCGGCGCATCGTCGACTCGGGCATGTCGGTTTGAGCTGTCAGCGTTGAGCTTTGCAGACTTGTAGATCTCATCTTTGGACAATCCATGTTAGCGACACGTGTTCTGCGACTCTAAGATTCGAAAAAAGCAGAAAGAAAAGCATCAACTTACTTGGATCTCGAATGGGATCAAGCTTGCGCTTCCCTGAAATGCCTGAGCTCTAGAAGCTGGTTAGCAACAAAACAGATGGAAATAGTTGCTTTTAAACAAACCTTGAAGATATCGTCGACGCTCGCCATGGTCAAAGATGCAACCTGGCACAAATTTCTTTGTTACTGAGAAGCAAAGGCAATGATGCACTGTTCGCGATCGTGGTATGAGACGACGCGCTTCTGCTCCAAAGCTGTGCCAAGCTCAGCCTGCATCTTATGACCCCGATTGATGCATTCCAAGTCGGTTAAAGGCAATGCAAAAGACCCGGAATGAAGAATTCGCGACTAAGACAAAAGGGGCAAGGGCTGATACATTCCGCACAGTGCTCCCGGCGAACTCGCTCGCAGCCAGTCATGAGTTGATACTTGGCCGAAGCGCACAGACAAGTACCTCCTTTTCGAAACGCCAGCCTTGCAGCCCAGGCTAAGCTGAAATCGGCCGAGACATCCACTGGCTGTCACAAGTTGGAGAGAGGGGAGTCACGGTCATGTACCGATACACTTCAACCACCAACCACAGATGCAGGTACGGCTCCTCCCTCCCCTGACATGGATGGGCGATATGGATTGGTCTTTACTGCGTTTCGTTCCGTCTGAGACCAACTTGTTCATGCTGCACCTTCTTCTCCTCGATATCTAGACGTCGACATACGCTGCTGCATTCCAACGACTGAAGAGCGACGCGGCCACGATGCGCAGCTGCCATTGACCCATCCATCGAGAATACTTGCACAACCGAGCGACAAGGACCCTTCTGAACCCCCCTGTACCGACCGCCCAAGTCACTGCGCCGTACTGAAAGCGGGCCTGCCATTAGCCCACGGTCCACGCTCGACCGCCTCAAAAGTCTCCACGACTAACTTACCACCATCACTGGGACGGGGGCTTCCACTAGCTGTCCCCTAGTCGCCAGAGCCAGTCAATCAACCCACCGATTCGAGCTCGTTGGCCGACTGATAGACGGGAAAGGGGGGAAATTGTTCGCTTGGGATTGGATCCAGTCGCATCGCCGGATCCGACTCGGGGCTTTTGAAAGAGGATGCCCGACGGCCAGATCTCGTCTTCTCACTCTCGCCATCACCATCACCGTAACCAGTCCACCGCGTCAACGTCGTCCCGCTCATCTGTTGCCGTGGCTGCAGTTGCTGTCGCAGTTTCGCCGTCGTGGCTTCGATCTTCCACCTCCACAAACACTGACTCGCGACACCAGCATCAGCATCGGCAATATCACGACCCCTCGAGGCCCGCGCCCTCGTTTTCGCCCTCGCTAAACGCGCAGCCTCACGTACCCGCGACTGCACGCCTTCCCCGGACTTCGTCGCTTCTTCCGCCGCCTAACATCACACCCGCTTCGAGATCCAACCCTCACGAGCAGTCGAATCATCTGTCACCGATTTCTGCTGGACAAGAAGTCCCCCACAACGCTGCCGAGAGCTCGTGGCTTCTCAACCGCTGGTCGACTTCGACTGTGTCTAGCCGTGCCTCGGCTGCACCTCACCGCGCGCCCGCTTCTCGATTCGGTAGTCGCTCCAGTATCGATGCGACGAGCCCCAGTAGCCGTTCTTCACCGTCATCCAAGCCATCGCCCCGGAAATTACAGAAGAATCGACGACCTAGCGCTTCATCCGTCAACGCCGACGTTTCCGTCCCTAAACCTCAAGAACAGAGCACTCAGTTACCGCAAGCGCTCCCGCCAATTGTCACCCTATCACCTTTAGAGCCTCCTGCGCTCAGCGAACTCCTCGCGGTCAAACCCAAAGGGACTGGCCCTGGTTCACCTGAGCCTGGGCGATCGACCATCGCCCGCGAGAGTCAGTCCCTGATAAGTCCTGGAACGACCGACTCTCCAATCAAGTCTGTGACATCGACACCAGCAAGTGCGCGCTCTATGGCTTCATTTAGACCCACCATGCCTTACGACCAGGACCACGAGGCATATGCGCCTCACCGAGGCCATTCTCGGAGCCGCTCTGGGAAGAGCAGCCATGATAAAGGACGTGGACCAAAGCCTCCGTCGCAGAAGGCAATGCTATCTCGCGCCCTGCAAAAGGCCAACACTGCAGTTCAACTAGATAATGCGCAGAATTTTGAAGGCGCCCGGGAGGCGTATGCGGAGGCTTGTGATCTTTTGCAGCAAGTACTGCAGAAGACGACAGCAGATGAAGACAAACGAAAGCTTGAAGCTATTGTAAGTTGGTCAGCTGTAGGCTTAAAGCAGTACTAACACGTAACAGCGACGAACTTACACGAGCCGTATTGAGGAATTGGATCAAATGACGCCTTGGCAGCCAGAGGAGGAGTCCAAAGCCCTACCAGCTCGCCCCGAGAGCCTGGCACAACACTCGGAATCCGAGTCTGTACTAAATCTCGACGAAGATGACGACAATGACGCGACGCTTTTTGAGACATCAACTATTACGAGAGTTATCAGAGATGACAGCCGCAGTCCTCAACCCCCATATCCAGCTTACTCACCACCCCAAGACAATGGTGGATATAGAAGGAGGAGCATACAGAAGCCGAAGCCGATAGTCACTACTCTTACACCGGAACCTGGACTCCTTCAGTCTTCCTTCTCGCGGTCCCCTATTCGGCTCCGGACGCCTGACCATCTTCTTTTGCAAAGAAATGCAGACCCATACATGCCAGCTCCATTGTCACCACGCCGTCCGATGTCACCAGTCAAGCCGGAAGCAGATGAAATGGATGAGCCTATTCGATCTGATTTCTCCATGGTCCCAGATGCTCCGATCAATCCAGTCGAAAACGCGGTACCTCAAACTCATTTCCGAGACGACAGTTTGAACTCGTGGCTCGACCCTATTGACGAGTCGGGAGGCTCAACCTCTTCCTCTGTTCACTCTCGCACATCTTCGCTTGGTTTTAGGAGAAAGCATATACGGGGTGTTAGCGGTGAAACTGAGGCTGAATTCGACACTGCACTGGACGCAGCTATTGAAGCGGCATATGATGACGGCTATGAGCCGATGAGCCCAATGGATTACGGACGACGACCTTCAGCTGAAGCGAGCGAGGAAGCAGTAGTTAATGCCTTGCGCAAAGTTGAATTGGCGCGCCAGCGGGTTCGGGAGATGGAGGAAGAAGAGTACGGGATGGCCCTGGAGATGGGACGACGAGCACAGCAACAGCAGCAGCAGCAGCAGCAACCTCTCCCCTCGGATGATCATGGTATGTCTCGGGACTTCTACGACGATAATTCATCAGACGATGAAGAGAGGATACTGGAAGAAATTACCCGCGACTATGGCCTTGGGCCGTATGTTGCGAGTCAACGGCAGCCACCAGTCCCTCGCGAATCCGATTCGAGCGGCGTCACCTCGCGCACCTGGCATAGTTCACAGGGATCGAACCCTCCGACAGCAGCGACATCATTGTCTACGGTTACGGAACTGCCACCAGCCTTTACAAATATCTCGCAGGCGCCTGCTGCACCGCCACCAACGCAGTCGCTCCCTGAGCTACCCCAACGGCCCGGTTCATCTGCTCAGAGTGTGCGGAATCGTCGCATGTCTGGACAGAATGCTAAGCAGCTCAAGATCGAGACTTCCAAGCTGGTGGCTCCTCTCCAGAACCACCCCGAGGATCTGGCACAGGCCAAGTCTGCTCCTATGGAAGGCCAGGAGTCACACTTTCCCGCTGATACGGGTATGAGAGTGACAAGCGCGCCTCATAGACCTTCATCGCCCCCCTTATTCGAGGCCAGTCCTACCGATGTATCGGCAACTAAACCCACACCATCACCTTTCGGCCAACCGGAACAAGCTGAGGGAGATGAAGCTGCTCCGGCACAGCATACTGGATCTCCATCCGCGACACGGTTGAGGAAGAACTTTTCTTCGTCGAGTTTGAGAAGCATGAAGAGCCGCAACATGTCGGTCACTCACCTCGAAGATGGCTCTGACATGTCTCCTGGAACCCCAGGAAGCAACCCTTTTGGCAGTCTCCATGCTCCCTCTGTCCCGGCACTCCCTACTCCCCTTATGACCACGTTCCGAGAACGATCAGACACCAATGCTGCTGGACTCTCTCTGTTCGACGATCACTTTTACTCCCCGACGAGCCCTGGGTCACCGAACGAGCTCTACCCGGACCCGCCTGTCCCTCTTGAGCCCTGCCCGACGGACTTTATGCTTCGGCCGTTCTGGTTGATGCGATGTCTCTATCAAACCCTGGCTCATCCACGTGGTGGCTATCTTAGTCACAAGCTCTTCGTACCAAGGGATGTGTGGCGAGTAAAGGGAGTCAAGCTTAAGAATATTGAGGAGAAGGTGGCAAATTGCGATTTCCTCACAGCTGCTCTTCTCAAGATTGAGAGGGTCGACACGTGCGATGCTGATGCAGTGCTCGAAGAAATGCAGTCTCTGGAGGGTATTCTAGAACAAGTCCAGACTGCCTTGAGCCGCAAGCTTGGCAATGAGGTTGGCGTACAGAGTTCCGGAACCCTGTTCAAGGATGCGACGAATGGCGATGACAGCGCAGCACCTGGCGTGCCACGATCTTCCAGCGTTTCAGGGAAATCATCATTCTCTTGGCGGCGTCTTCGTTCCAAGAACTCTGCCGTTGGGCTTGGTGGCTCATACACAAGCCGCCTGGTGGCAACAGACACGGGCAAGGATGTGCCAAGCATCGCCAGCCTACCCATGACACCGAACCCGACGAGTCGCCCGGCTAAGAGGGATCTGACACAAGCCCAATTTACGGGCCCGAATGCGATGTACATGAGCTCGCTTGCTCGCCTCTTTGATGCGGCCCAGGCTATTGGTAAGTTGATTGGCTTTTTGGAAACACTAGCAGACGCTAACCGCTACATAGATCAAATCGCAAGACAAGTAGAAGATCCTGGGTTACGACACGCAGACAAGACGCAGGTTGGACTCGAGTTGTGCACACGGCACGCTGCAGAGTTCTTTGGGTTCTACATTTGCCGGTTTGTCCTGGCAGATCTGGGGTTGCTACTAGACAAGTTCATTAAGCGTGGCAGCGAATGGGTTCTCACATGAGGCGAACAAAGAGATGGATGGGTTATGCAAGGAGTTGGACGAGGTGCATGGAGGCATTACGCATTCGTTTTTGAACCAGGCGGAGTACTTAGAAGTTACTATGTATCCCACATGGTGGGAAAGGCTCGATACCCAAGCGATATACATGTTTCGGTTTGTTGAATGCTGGTCTCCATTAAGCATTGATGACTTTTCGGTTCGAGTGAAGCGAGTTTCTGACTATGTCAACCGAGAGTTTATCATACGAGGTGAACAAGAAGTCTTAGTCGACGTATTATTCGTTGCATCTCTTTGTTCTACTGGCTTATATCAAGTGTATTAAGTTTCGTCGTGTTTCAACGCAACCGCTGATGCAACCTTGGTGCCTTTCTTGGCGCCCGGGAAATTGATAAAGTGTACTGCCATGTTAGGAATAGCGTCTTTCATCCCCAGTCCCACCGTTTAACTGAATAAAGCCAAGTGGGATGAATTGAGATACGTACCTCCACCAAGCCGGAAGGATTTCGTGCATCATGGGGAAAAAAAGTCTGGAGAAGGATTAATTGCATCTCCCTCAATTGTCGACCAATTCTCGCCGCGTCAACTGCCCGCCTCTGCTCGCGGACCGGCTTCGACGAAACCTTTACCGAACGATTCGCCAAATGTGCCCGGGAAAAGTCTAGATGAGCCTGGCTTGGAGCGCTGGCCGCGCCTGGAGTCGGCAATGTCTCTCGCAAGCTAGACGGCCGACTTGGCCTGCCCAGCTCCTCCTCTCGCGAATACCACCGTTCCGAGCGTACGCTGCTCCCCCAGCCGCAGCAAAGACTCCGCCGTCTGAGCTCGAGGCTCGTATCGCTGCCATCCCGATCGAGCGGTATCGCAACTTTTGCATCGTTGCGCATATTGACCATGGCAAGAGTACGCTGAGCGATCGGTTGTTGGAGTATACGGGCACGATATCGGCTAGCGATGCGAATAAGCAGATTCTGGATAAGCTTGATGTGGAGAGGGAGCGTGGTATTACTGTCAAGGCGCAGACTTGTACCATGATTCATAACCACGAGGGCGAGGACTACCTTTTACATCTTGTCGATACTCCCGGCCACGTCGATTTCCGCGCTGAAGTCACTCGATCATATGCCAGTTGCGGTGGTGCCTTGCTGCTTGTGGATGCGACGCAGGGTATCCAGGCGCAGACTGTGTCCAACTTTCACCTTGCGTTTGCGCAGGACCTCGCCTTGGTTCCCGTGGTCAACAAGATCGATATGCCGGCTGCGGATATACCCCGTGTGCTTGAGCAGATGCAGAACAGCTTCGAGTTGGATCCTAAGGATGCCATCATGCTGAGCGCAAAGACGGGCAAAGGTGTGCCGAATGTGCTGCCTGCTGTCATTGAGCGGATTCCCCATCCTGTGGGTGATGAGAAGAAGCCATTGAAGATGCTGCTCGTGGATTCATGGTATGACAACTTCCGAGGTGTTGTCTTGCTGGTGAGACTCTTTGACGGAACCATCAAGACCGGCGACAATGTTATATCTCTTGGTACGGGCATGAAGTACACAGTTGGACAGGTGGGCATCCAATATCCTCACGCCACGCCGACAAAGGTCCTCCGCGCTGGTCAAGTCGGATACGTCTACTTCAACCCCGGAATGAAGAAGATCCAAGATGCCAAGCTCGGCGACACCTTTACCTTTGTTGGCGCTGAAGACAATGTTGAGCCCTGTCCTGGCTTCGAGGAGCCCAAGCCCATGGTCTTCGTCGCTGCGTTCCCCACAGATCAGAGCGACTACAGTCGATTGGCGGACAGTATCAACCAGCTTGTGCTCAATGACCGCAGCGTCACGTTGCAGAAGGACTTTTCTGAGGCGCTGGGATCGGGTTGGCGTTTGGGATTTCTGGGAAGCTTGCACTGCTCCGTGTTTCAAGACCGTTTGAGACAGGAACATGGAAAGAGCGTCATCCTCACGGAACCGACTGTGCCGTCCAAGATCATCTGGCCCGATGGTTCCGAAGAGGTTGTGCAGAATCCTGCCTTGTTCCCTGATGTGAGCCATCCCCGGATCAGGGGTGCTCAGCTGTTTGAGCCGTAAGTCTACATCACGTTACCGGGACTTTTCAATATTGATTTGAATGCAGTTTTGTCACGGCTACTATCACCATGCCTGAGGAGTATCTCGGTCGAGTCATTGAGCTGTGCGAGGCCAATCGTGGAGAACAAAAGAGCCTCGAGTTCTTTCACACGACGCAGGTCATCCTGCAGTATGAGATTCCGGCAGCTCAACTAGTTGATGATCTTTTTGGAAAGCTCAAGAGCGCAACGTATGTTTTCAACCCCCCCTTTATTGACATATTTTCTGACGCACGATTAAACAGCAAGGGATATGCTACTCTGGATTATGAGGATTCGGGCTGGCGACAAAGTCACCTGGTCAAGCTCCAGCTTCTTGTGAATAGGCAGCCAGTCGATGCTATCTGCCGTGTTGTGCACTCATCGCAGGTTGACCGTCTTGGACGCCAGTGGGTGACCAAGTTCAAAGAGCATGTCGACCGTCAACATTTCGGTAAGTCTATCCCCAACCCTAAACGTAATCTCTTGATTATTTTGCATGTTTGCTAACGTCGCCTGCAGAGGTCGTCATCCAAGCCACGGCTGGAAACAGAATCGTGGCAAGAGAAACAATCAAGCCCTTCCGCAAGGACGTGCTCGCCAAGCTCCATGCCGCTGATGTCTCCCGAAGACGCAAGCTGCTGGAGAAGCAGAAGGAAGGTAGAAAGAGGCTGCGTGCCGTTGGAAATGTCGTCATCGATCAGTCGGCATTTCAGAGCTTCATGTCTAGATGAGTGTTGGAAAAAAGCGTGTACAATATGGTGTATCATATCCTGGCATATAAGAGGAGCATGTTTAGATGGTTTTTGAAAAATAGGAGATACCCAGCTCATCACGTCTATTCAGGTGCATATATCTTGTCTAGGATTCTATCCAAGTCTCCATCTAGAGGTCTGCCCGATGAATCAAGCAACATGAGAATTCCGGCAAAATCACTAATTGACTCCATCAACCTCGACGTCCTCGTCAGGAAGACCATCTCCAAGAAGAACCGGGTCTGTCCATGACAAACCCATTCCACCAGAGAGAGTGGCCTCGCTCTGCTTGACCTTCAATCTCCCATCCTCACCCCGCTCAGCCTCAAAGTCAAACACCCTGTAGTCGCTGTTGAAGAACCAGTAGCCCACGACGCCGACGCGAAGGAAGCCAGAGTGAGAGACTACAAAGATGATCTTTTCGGGACGACTGTGCAAGTCCTCGAGGGCACGGTGGCCACGGGCGAGGATGTCACGCTTGGTGTGGGCGTATCGCTGAGCTGCGGGGGATGTCTTGTCTGGCCAGAGAGCATCAACAGTATCAAAATTGACCCTAGCAAAGTCGGGCGAGACTGAGTCTATAGGACTTCCAGTATCACAAGGCTTGTCCGAGTTTTCTGTTGATGAAAATTCTATGAGTCACTGGATTCACGGTGCGGAGAGAGAACTCACCCTGCCAATCAGCGCTACCCTCAATCTTGACGCCGCGGTCGACGAGCCAGTCGAGAGAGAGCATGGCCGTCTGAAGAGTACGACGCATGGGGCTCACGATGATGGCGACATCTTGATATTCAAGGGTTGAGTCGGAAAAGGTAGAGATGAGGTTCTTGCGGAGGGCGGAGCACTGCTCGACGCCTAGGTCAGTGAGGGGGGGATCATGAATGCTGTAGTCCTGTGGGATATGTTAGAAAAGTACGTATCTATAGAGAGAGGAGAACGTATTGTGAAGGTTGTGAAGGGCCTGCGCGTGGCGGATGAGGACAATGGTGGGTGGCATCTTGAGTGGTGGTGATGTGTAGTTGGAGGAAGTGAGAGTGAGCGAGGTCCCACTTTTGGGAGGCGTTGACCGCATGTTGCATCACGAGGAAAATGACAAAGCTAAGAATGGGCGAGTGAGGAGTATTCACATAATTGACGTGGTTTTAGATATGTATGACTGGGCATGTTTGCGTGTTTGAGTCACCATGGTCTTGCTGTAGGTTGTCTGAAGGCAGGACAATTGGCAGGTCTGACTGATCGCCTTTGTTTGGGGGGAGAAGGTCTCATGTGTCTAGTAGGTAGCTGAGGATTGTTCCTGTAAGAGGTGCATACGAATAATAATATCTAGAAATATAGCAGGATCTCGCTCGGTTGATAATCATGGCCTTTGGGTAGGTACCTAGTAGTCTTACGCATGGTCCCGCAAGGCAGCACAGCTAACAAAGAAAGTAGTCAAAAGAGCCCTTTGTGCTTTTCGCCATAGCTACGTTGATCAAACCAGCTAGTGAGAAACAAATAAAATATGAAATACATTATGAGGCAGACATCGCTAGCGGGTATGTGAATGGCACCTGTGAATATTTCCATGTTATGTTGCCCTTCTCACGCCGTCTAGTTGAAATAAAAAACAACACTCATAATGCCCAAAGTGAAGCTATTTTAAACGCCAAGTCTAATGAATCTAGATCTCACATGGAAAACAGCCACAGAGAAAGAGGCGTCTGTCAATGGTAGAGTGGCGTGGCTAAGATCGACCCGCCGAGATGGCTCCATTCGATAATATCCGACGATTCCGAGCATAACGATGGATAGTAAATGGTTAAAAAGAGATTAAATGAGCCAAAATAAGGATATGTACAGGAGGACACGACAAGTCATGAACTGTGGCATTCTATTGTGTAATCATGCCTGAAGATGGTACAGCCTCGCCCACTCTTCCACCAAGGGGGTTGAGAAATGCTACCCAGAGGGGGATGAAGCGCCTCCAACTCTGCTCAAGTATTCGTGCTTCTGAAGATGGAATTTTGCAAGAGAATAGTACACTTATAGAAGAAGATGTTATAGTAGGAGATCATTCAAATGGTTCTCTACGAACTATTTTACTGCTCTTGTGATACCTTCACCCATTGAGCAAACTCAAAACCCCCTCGTGCAAGGAACAAAACAAGTTCAGCTACCAAGCGGTAACGGCTTCATGCCCGATTAAGTAGACGCTATCGAAAATCCTTTATCCAGGGGTCTACCAACAAACTCGTGTCTGTGAGATTATCCCATGTGGTTTCCGCATGCTGTGGGGTTGTAAAGCTCCATTTCTCTCCCATGCTAACCTGTTCGTGATTGGGATACCCGCTTGGCAAAGCAAGACTATCTAGAAACTATCGAAAGAGCTAACCTAGTTGAATGACCAACGGCTTACACGGTTGTTTCTTGGCAGGGGGAATGGAGTATAAGGTGCAATCATCTCCTGTTGATGTGATCATTGTTTGCTCAACCACATTCTTTTCTCTGACCGTATTCACTCTTTCAAAATGATGTCGCGAAGCCTTCTTGTCGCCTTTGCCGCCCTGTCCTCGTTGGCAGAGGCGCATAATTGCAGACCTACCGCTGTGTCCACCACTCTCATCACCACCACCGCTGCCCCAACCACTACAACCGCAGAGGCCACCACCAGCACCACCATCAGCGTCTGCACAGCGACCGAGACGCCCTCCCTCCTCGTCAAGAACGGCAACTTTGAAGGCCCACCCCCGAGCACCGAACACTGGAGCCTCCTGCACAAGGATGGCTCGTGGATTAGTGTTGGCGGCATCTCCAACGACTGGAGCTACTCCCTCGGCTTTGGCACTGGCTCCTTCACCGACGACTACGTCTACCAGGAAATTGACGCAGGCTGCCTTATTCCCGATACAGAGTACGAGCTCTCGGGATGGGTTGGCTTCAACAAGGCTTCCCCGGTTGGCGAGAGCGGCTGCCACGACGCGCGCCTGGCCTGCTCCTTCGGCGAGGATGGAGCCTTTGCGGGATTGGGCGATAAGCTTCAGGCATCGGACGCTGTCAATGGGGCCAGTGGATTTAAACGAATTACTGCGACTTGCCAGTGGACTGAGGAGCAGCTTGCGCAGGGACTTGCTCGTGTCTTGTTCAACTTTCGGTGCACGCAGAACTTTGGCTGGATTGACAACATCAAGTTTGACTTTAAGACACATGATCCCGAGAGACGCTGAGGGGAGAACTTCACTTGGGGTAGCGTGCTCCTTCAGCATTCTCCTAGGTGTGTTTGTTGGATGCATCTTGAGACTACCTAGTAATACCACCTTTGTCTTTCGTCTATGCCGAATCTACCCCGTGCTGGCTCACTCGGCTTTGTCGGCCTTCAATTGACATATACCCTGCATTTAATTGCGACCTTGTATTCTTCAAGCAGTGACACTGGATCAGTAGATGGCAGGGAGCTCTTGTCCTCCCACACCAATTGCTGGGCACATTCGCACTACAGGTTGGCGACCAAGACATGGAGAACAACATCAAGACATTAAATTTTACCAGTAGACCTACCTAGTTGTACCATCCTGCCCAAGTTACAAATTGCCAATTGAACTGCCCGAGCCCTCTCGAGTATCTTATCCTCACCCCGATAACCTGTTGCTTTACCATACCTACCCAAGAACCTTGACGCCAAGAATCGTCCAACTCGAACTGAGCAAGACCATCACTGGACAATATGCACAATGTCATACGTCTGATGGTCAGGGTCACTCTCCACCACCTTGATCCACTCATCCTTCTTGTTCTTCTCCTTGTGCTCCTGGAACTGAACCTCATCGCTGCCACGCTTGAGGCAGGGAGCAGTGTCTGAGCCATGGTTGTTAGTCGGCCAGTAGTCGGGGTCCTCTCTTAGACGCTTGACCAACGAGGCGTGAAGGACCGCTTTCTGGGGAATGTCTCGCGCCGCACCCTTGTTGAGGGGGAAGCGGACGTTGACCCAGCCCGCTTGCTCCAGCTCCCAACGAGTGATGAAGGGGAGGTATTCTACAGAGGTTAGTGTTGTGAACTCAAAGACATGGTGGTAAGGCTTACCCATAAACTTCCACATCAAGACCTTGAAGAAGCCAGTGCCGTAGCCAAAAGCAAGCGAGTCATGCATGAACCCTTTGAGGGCCTGTTCCTTGTTCTCCTTGTTGTTGATGTGCGCCTTGAACTTTTCCAGGCTGTCGCACCACTTGACGGCGGCCTCGGGCTCCTTCTCACCCACGAGCTCAACCTCGCGGATCATCCAGGCGAGGGGGATGTCACTCATCTGCAGGCGGTCGTCGTTGATGTTCTTGCTGGGCTCCTTGGCCTTGCGAGAGGTCCAGAAGTTCTTGACGCGCTGCCAGAAGGACATGTCTTCCGCCTTGTTGTTATCAAGGGGGTTGTCCTCAGTTGAGGGCCAGCCGCCACCTACATCACCATGGCAGCCAGCGAACCAGACTTCCTTGATGTCCTCATCGTCATGGTTGTGCTTGGATACGCGGATGTCTTGGGCCAGGAGGGCTGGCTTGAACTTGACACGTCGCTCATCGACGGCGACGGCATGACGCACATAGCGAGCTGTGCCTGTGACGGGAACTGGGACTGGAGTCTTGCGCTCGAGAGGAGCGACAGAGTTGACGCAGTCCCAGATGCCAAGGAAGAAGACCTTGATGTTTTGGTCTTCTTCCTGGTCACCATCACCATCATCATCGTCGCAGGGCTTGGCCTTTTCCTTGCGGCAAAAGGTCTGGCTAAACGCCGTGATCTCGTTCAGGGCAACCTCAGTGGTGTGACTTCTGTGTACCTTGGTGTTGCCAGCGAGCAGGGGATCGGCGTCCGACCCTGTGTCTGTGTCACCGTGGTCCTCCTCACACCTCCCCTGTGCGTCAACGCGGTCCTGGATGTCACCAGACAGGTAGCGCTGGTAGAGACGGAACGCGAAGGGGACCATCTCCTCGTTGCCCTTGCACAGGAGGCCGACCTTGTTGACCATGCGCGCCAGGAACTTTGCCGTAAAGGCGCCGCGGCTAAAGCCAAAGATGTAGATCTTGGCGTCCTGCGAGGGTCAGTATACGGTATTGTGAAGTGGAAGGATACTCACAGATTCGTAGTAACGCATCAAGAAGCGGTACCCGGCAATGACATGGGCGTCAAACGTCATACCGAATCCCTGATCGAGGGTCTGCGAGATGGAGCTTTTCATCTCCCCAAAGTACGACTTGTTGACGGATGTCTCCCCGATGTCATATGTGCCAATACCAGCTGATTGAAGCGTTAGAGCCTGCATTCTGATTGGAAAGGGTGTTGAACTCACTCTGGTAGTAATGGTATTGTCCTGGGTGGTTGCGATCCAACTTGCTGAGGATCTTGACAACATTGGTGTCGGCATTGGAGCCACTGAAGGTGTTTCCCGTGCCATCAAAGCAGAGAATGAGCTTCTTGGGCTCTGAAGCCTCGGTATTCTCCATGTAAGGCATATTGAAGCAAAGAGAACGCGAGTGAGGATAGAAGGACAAGAATCTGGGGGGAGGATATCGTCTCGCTCAGCGTCGGGGCTAGTTAAGAGATTTCGGCTCATCGACATCCTTTATCAAACCAATGCACATGTCGTGGAACACAATGACAGGCCGTCTGGCATTCTGACGGTATGTACAGCGTCCAATCGGGGAAGCGAATTGGTGTCTAGGTGGTGAGAGAGGCGTACAAGGGGTGACACTCAGCCAGCCACGAGGCGTCTCCCTACCGCTCCAAGCGGGCAGAAAGAGACACGGCACATCAAAGCGCGGGGATGATCTTTTGCCGTTTTTTCTACTCTGGCTGTTTCTCGCTTGGGTGCTCAGCAGCTCGTTTTTGAGGCCAATTGGATGACATTACAGGTCACAAAGCTCAGCAAGCCACAAAGCCTTGAAAGCGGGGAAAATCTCATCGTTTACGGGACGAGCTGAGCTGAAGTATATGTATGCGGGCGGGGAAAGAGAAGGAGGAAAGACAAGGGACTTCTGCGGTGACACGGGCTGCGACCTACCTTGAAGGTTGCGAATAACCTCAGCGAGGTACAGTACATACCTCCTGTAGGGCAAATCCACTGCGGGCGCTTGGCCAGATTTTGACAGCGGGGAAACACTCGAGATGGATGGATGCGAATGCAAGATGCCGTCTTTAGCGGAGACAAGCAGCAGGGATCGACGGCGGCTAAAAATCCCTATCGTCAAGGTCTTGATCGGGGTTGAATGTCTTGCATGTGTCAACAGCTGAAGGTTTGCCAAGGATTGTTGCGTTTATTTTCCTGTTTGTCTACGGCGAGGCATTCCAGCTAATTATCAGATGATTATAGACTCCAATTTCCTTGTGAAGATGGGAAATGGTCAAGAAACTGATGGTGATTGTTTGAGCGGTCAATTGCTGCTTGGTTCAGTGTTTGGTGGGAAAGGAAAACACGTGATGCCTATCTCAAACATGGCGGCGATGTAGGTCTTGGAACCCCCTCACTCTCAACGTCTCTCCTCTTCTCTCTCCCTACCTACTCATCCTCCAGGTGGCACGGCCGGTCTCTTTGACATGGTACAATCGGCTTAACCGATTCAGATGGATCCTCGTCGGCATATGCATCTTTTCCTGCATGATCCAATCATTGCTCCTGCAATGTCACCTTGTCTGACCTGTTTGGTCCATCTGCCTCTGTATCACCAAGCCTCAACTCCGACCGGTCAGCACTTTCTGAGACAAAGTTACCCCCTCGGCAGATGCTGATCTCCCACTAATTCGCCGCCGGTATGTGATGACCATCCGGATCCCCCGCCTCCAACCTCCCGGAACGGGCCGTCTGCGTCCACGGTGGCGGTCTCCATCAAGATGACCTCAAGTCTTGGAAGATAGTCCGGCTCCCCTCGAGTTACGACATGTCAACAATGCGGCGCATGTGAAACATGGCCTCTCAGCTCTTCTGTTGTTGCCCAGCCCGTGCCCAACGAATCATGGCCCCGGCGAATCAAATCAACCTCGACGCGACGCCATTCAGCTCTGAATTGTTGAATCGTGGATCGTCCCAGCGATGCTTCAGCGCGCTCCGCATGAGCCCTCGTATCACCAGTAGCCACTCGCCTCCGGCATGCGAGCTTGGGAATGAGAGTCCCTCTGATCTGAGGACCCCGCGGAGAGAAGAGGGGTCATGGTTGGCGTCCTTGTGGTATAAATGGGCGAGTTGAAGGAGCTTAAGTCTGGCAGAATCAGGACTTAGTTCCCATCTTCTCATACACTATACACTCCTTTCCCTACTCCCAAAAATCAAGTCCTGAAGCTTCATCATGTCGTTCAACGAAAAGTTTCAGGCTGGAGAGTCGTACGGTGACGCCAGGACAGGCTCAACCAGCCTCTTGGATGATCCCATCAAGCTCGCCACAGATATCATCAAGGAATATGGTGGTATTCGAAGCCAGGCCTCCATCCCAGAACTCGCCGAGCTCATCAAGGAGCTAACCATCGAGAAGGGAAAGCCCCTAGATGACAAGAAGGGGTAAGCTTTGATACTCACACCGGCATGAACACTGCTAACACCTCCAAGAACTACAGAGCTCCTCATCGGCATCCTTACCTCCCTCCCCCGTACCTCCAAGGCGAGGACCCAGCTCACCAACAAGCTCATCGACACCCTCTGGGGCAACCTCCAGCACCCTCCCCTGAGCTACGTTGGCGGTGACGTCAAGTACGAGGTTGTCAACTCGAACGAGCCCGCACACAAGCACAACTGTGAGCTCTACGACACCATTGAGTTCAAGGCCCCAGACAGCGATGTCATCCTGCGAGAGCAGGTCCCTCAGGCTCCTGATGGTCTCCACCAGTACCGTATGCCTGACGGTAGCTTCAACAACATTCTTGAGCCCAACCTGGGTCGTGCTGGTACACCCTACGCCAAGTCAGTCAGGTCTGAGAAGCGTCTTCACGGCGTGAAGCCTGACCCTGGTCTGCTCTTCGACCTTCTTCTTGCTCGTGATGACAAGAACTTTACCGAGAACCCGGCTGGTATCTCCTCCATGCTTTTCTACCATGCTGCCATTATCATCCACGACATCTTCCGCACTAGCCGGACAGACCCTAACAAGTCTGATACCTCATCGTATCTCGACTTGGCCCCTCTGTACGGTTCGTCCCTCAAGGACCAACTTGAGATCCGTACCATGAAGGAGGGTAAGCTGAAGCCTGATACCTTCCACGAGAAGCGTCTCCTCGGACAGCCTGCTGGTGTCAATGTCATGCTGGTCCTCTACAGCCGTTTCCACAACTATGTTGCCGATATCTTGCTCAAGATCAACGAGAACGGTCGCTTCACCCTGCAATGCCCTGCCAATGCCTCAGCAGAGGACAAGGCCAAGGCTGTTGCCAAGCAGGACCACGACCTTTTCAACGTGGCCCGTCTCATCACTGGTGGACTGTACATCAACATCTGCCTCCATGACTACCTGCGAGCCATCACCAACACTCATCACTCCAAGAGTGACTGGACCCTGGACCCCCGAGTTGCTATTGACAAGCAATTCGATGGTGAGGGTGTTCCCCGAGGTGTTGGCAATCAGGTCAGTGTCGAGTTCAACCTCTTGTATCGGTTCCACTCGTGCATCTCCAAGAGGGATGAGGGCTGGATCAACAACTTCTTCCTTAAGCTCTTCCCCGGTCGCAAGGCCGAAGACCTCCAGGATGTAAGCTGGAACGAGCTCGGCCAGGCCCTCTTCAACTTTGAGCGCAGCATCCCCAAGGACCCCAGCGTCCGCACCTTTGACGGCCTTCAGCGTCAGGAGAACGGCACCTTCAAGGATGAGGACCTTGTTCGCATCCTCAAGGATGCCATGGAAGACCCTGCTGGTACCTTTGGTGCCCGCATGGTTCCCAAGGCACTCAAGGTCGTTGAGGTCCTGGGTATAATCCAGGGCCGCAAGTGGCAGGTCGCTTCTCTTAACGAGTTCCGAGAGTTCTTTGGACTTAAGAAGTACGACCAGTTCAGCGAGATCAACTCGAACCCTGAGATTGCCAACATCCTCGAGAAGCTGTACACAGACCCTGACATGGTTGAGCTGTACCCTGGCCTGATGATTGAGGACATCAAGCCTGCTCGCAACCCAGGCAGCGGTATCATGCCTACCTACTCTGTTGGCCGAGCTGTGCTGTCTGATGCTGTCACACTTGTCCGCTCAGACAGATTCAACACCATCGACTACACAGTCTCCAACCTGACAGCCTGGGGTTACAATGAGGTCCAGCAGGACTACAAGACTCTTGGTGGCTCGATGCTGTACAAGCTTATCCAGCGTGGTGTCCCCAACTGGTTCCCCTTCAACTCGGTTGCCGTCATGCAGCCGATGTACACCAAGAAGGCCAACATTGCCATCGCTAAGGAGATTGGCACCTATGACCAGTTCAGTGAGGCCGACCCCAAGCCCCCTGCCAAGCCCATTGTCGTCACAACCAACGAGGCTATCAAGAAGACTCTCAGCAACCCCAAGCAGTTTGTCGTGCCTTGGCTCCAGGCCCTCAACACTCTGTTCCCTGGCAAGAAGGACTATGGCTGGTTCATGCTTGCGGGTGATGAGGCCAAGAACTTCAAGCACCGTGCCGACTTCCAAAAGGCCATGGGCAAGATTCCCAACCTCCACGCTGCTGTGCACAACATGATTGAGCGTGTTGGTGCCAAGCTCATTGAGAAGGAGACCTTCAAGCTCAAGGCTGGTCTCGAGCAAATTGACATCATCCGCGATGTTGCCATCCCTCTCAACACACAGCTTCTGGCTGACCTGTTCTACTTTGACTTGCGGACTGATGAGAACCCTGACGGAACTCTTGGCGTTGCCGAGCTGTACCGACACCTTCTCAACATCCGCGTCTGGGGCGTCAACAACAACGACCCCGGCCAGGCATGGAACCGCCGCCGCTGGGCCCAGGAGGGTGTCACTGCCGTTTACAACTCGTCCAAGAAGCTCGTCGACGAGGCTGTCCTCGGCCGCGGCATGGGTCTGGGCATCGCCTCGGCCATCTCGAGCAAGGTTGGTCGCAAGTCGTACCTTAAGAAGGACTCTCTGCGTTCCTGCGGCCTGAAGCTCGTCGAGGAGCTGCTGGCTCAGGGAAACAACGCCGACCAGGTCACAGACAACATGTGGCTCACTGCCTTTGGTGGCATTGGTGTGCCGGTTACTTCAGTAAGTACCCTTGAACTTTTTCACCATGATCAAGTACTGACCTCCCTGCTTTAGTTCTACGAGGTGCTCGCATTCTTCCTGCGACCCGAGAATGCTGCCGTCTGGGCTGAGGTGCAGGCGATTGCCCAGAAGGGAGATGATGCCACCCTCCACGCCTACGTCACCGAGGCTCAGCGTCTGACGAGCTCTCAGCGCAACGTGCGCATTGCCACGGCGCCAGCCGAGCTCGAGGGCAAGCCTGTTCAGCCCGGCACTCCTGTTGTCATGATGCTTGTAAGTCCATGTTTTCCCACCAAAAGCAAGAAAATCACTGACTGTATTACAGGGTATGGCTGGCCGCAACGACAAGGAGGTTCCCGACGCCGGCAAGTTCGACGCCCAGCGCAAGACGGATGCCGTGACGGCCTTCAGCTACGGACAGCACGAGTGCATCGCCAAGGATATGGCCCTTGCTTACGTCACCGGCCTCATCAAGCTGGTGGCTGACCTCAAGCAACTCCGACCTGCACCAGGTCAGATGGGCGAGGTCAAGACCATCCAAGTCGGCACTGAGAAGGCCTACCTCAACGATAGCTGGTCGTACCTCGGCTTCGATGCCAGCAGTAAGTTACACAGTACATCTGGATTGAATAGCGAGCTAACAGTCGAACAGCCTGGAAGGTTCACTTCGACGGCCATGGAAAGGGTACCTTTGAGGGTGACAGGGCCCCTACAGCGACGACACCGCTGCAGCAGTACTACTACATGCTCCAGAAGCGCAAGGAGGAGATCCTTGGCTAAGCTAGTTTCTTGCGTGAGAATGGAATTGACACCGAGAGATGGGCTTCCAATTGTCTGTAAACCTTGGCTACTATACCGATGAATAAACCATACTTTGCCGAGACACCCGAGAAGATGCAATGAATACGTGATGACATTACCGTGACCCAAAAAGAGTGGGTTTTAGGTGGGCGTGTTGGCACCTGGTCAGAGGTGGATTTAGGTCTGCGAATAGAAGAGAGAGTTTATAGGAGCGGGATTAAAGAGTTATACCACTTGACCAGGTGCCCGCTGAGCACTCATGTGCTTTTAGGTGGGAGATGAAAGGGTAACCTTACTTATAAAGCTCTAGACTGGACATGGTAGCCTGGCAAAAGAGTGGTTTTTAGGTCTGCGGAAAGAAGATAGAGTTTATAGGGGCGGAAGTAAGGAGGAGTTAACCACTCGACTAGGTGAGCACGCGGATGTGCTTTTAGGATGGGAGGGATAGGGTTGAAGTTTATTATAAGACTCTCCCAGGCAGTCAATGGTGTTGTCTGAACTCTATCCACGTCCGAATTCTTGAAGAATCTTTGGAACTCTCACTGTCAGCCAATCACAAACCTCGGTTCCGTGGTCTAGTTGGTTATGGCATCTCGTTAACACCGAGAAGGTCCCCGGTTCGATCCCGGGCGGAACCACTCTTTTTGCCCTTGGATGCTCTGGAGATTCATTTTTAGTGAAAGGTGATCCTAAACTTGTTCGGTATAGATACGTTAGTCCGCTCAGCATGTGGTGTAATCTTTAGACGCTGTCCACTGAGCCCTTCGAGACGTTTTTGGTCAGCTTGGGTGGGTTGTTCAAGGGGCTCCTCAATGGCGCCGTGGGGGCGGCCGTGGAGCACCAACCCCAATGCTTCTCCCACGCACAGCCAGGGAACAATTCACTGCCACCATGGTCTCGGCACGTCTGAGGCTATTTGATAGTGTAAGATTCGTGTGTGAGAAGGAAATGGGGCAAAGTTCTTGACCACGGTTTAAGGGTGTCTCTATACGAGTCGTTGGCTGCTTTCCATCGTCGCTTGCTAGGACGCGAAAATACCTTAGCCAAGTAGTCTATATTTCTAACTATATAGGTGGCTACGGAAGAAGCCATGGCGACTTGGCCTCAGACCACGACTGCAACTTCCGTCACCATCAAAGGATTACAAGCTCCTGCGAGTCTCCTTCTTTTCAAGTCCTCTGGACGCAATTAGGGTCCTATGGCTTCTTGATTCGACCATAATTAGAAGCTCCCTCAAGCCTGACGCTCTAAACCTGGACGAACCACATTCGGACGACCCTGCCAATTCCTGTATTGGTATTGGGTGGTGAATTCTTCGGGGATGAAGATCGTGGTGATGAACGAAAGAGAACTGCTATAGCAAGAACCCCGACACTCACGTAGTTGCGGACAACATCCGCCACGGCAAGTGCCCAAAGCGACTTGGAGCAGTGCATCCGTTGCGGCATGGTTCCTTCGAGCCTTTGAGGCCGGGATGAGAGTCGGATGGTCTTGACCTTTGTGCGTTTGTCTCCTTTCCACTTGTAGATGTTGATGTGATCTTGGAGGAGATTGAGTGCCCCAGGTGCCTGGACCTGGACTTGATGGAGAAGTTCACTCGACTCTCTGCTAGGCCTTGTTGGTGGTCGACTCTTGACGCTCATATACAACCATCTGCCCCCGAATGCTAGAACATCACACTAAGCTTTGGCTTAGAAGCACTCTCTTCTTCTATGAAACCTCAATCATTCTACGCACTTATCGACGAGGCCTGGAGAGCGCGCGATAACCATCTATATCGCTCAAAGATGCCGATAGTAACTCTCTCTTCTTGGAAGAAGAGTTTAGAGGAGGTGATTGTGTGGTGTACTTCATCCTCAATGACTCTGATTGTAAGTGTTGATTAACTGACTACTACTATCTAGCCCTGTGTATCTGAGACCACTAAAGGTACGTGCCCGTCCAAGTACCGATGGTTGACGCCGAACAAGGCCGAACCTCTAATTGTCTGAGACTCCTGTGAAGAGGAGACGCCTCCGTAGGTCCAGAGACGGCTCATTGCGTAGATAGGAAGAGATAAAACAGGGATCGGTAGGCAAGGGGCTATAGGGAGGCAATCAACTCTTCTTCTTACACGCACACACCCAACTGTGGATCCATGGTGAAGCTTCTCTTTGGCGACCGAGTCAGAATGAGGCACTGAGCTCATCCGTAAATTCACTTCATCTTACAGACTCACGCTTTTCTTGGCATACACCCTCCGCGACCTTTTTGCCTTGAGCCCCTGGATGACGACAACAATCACCAACGCGAAGGAGGGGACGGCATTGAAGAAGATGAGAATGCCACAGATTATCTGCATGATGGATGCCTTGCAGACTTTGCGTATGGGCCGATCCCCTACTATCACGTCGGGTCCTTTAACGCTCTGGGTTGATAGTGAGAGGATGCGGGACATGGAAGTCGACTGAGCCATGTCGAGAGTGAAAGCCATTTGCCTCAAAGATTTGAAGGCAGAAACAAAATGACTAAATGGGGAAGAGAAAGCTTATACTTTAGCTGTATTTTCGTTGTTTTCATGCTTCGTAAACTCCCTTGGTTCTTTGTTCTATGTCGAGAACATGGAACAACAGCTAAACAGTTTAATAATACAACAGAGATGAACAATAAAAAGAACTTGTTCTTTTAATTGGAACTTAGTAGCATAAACATAGCCGAGATTAAGTCATACTGAATTTGTTGTAATTTATGATCGGCGTTTGCTTGGAGGGCCCCCTATTTCATCATGGTGGTCGGGTGATGCACAGAGCGAATATGGGACGGCAAGGGTTTACTTCTACAGTTGCCTTGAGATGGGATAATAAATTTTTATATATTTATAGAAACAGAGCGCTCTTTATGTACCATGTCATGATATACCTATGGACCTGAAACCTGCTGGGCTTCCATCCCAGTGCTCACCTAATCTCGAGATCTACGCCTACAGCACCAGATGATGAAACACACAACCACAAACAATAGGAAGCTCAAGAAGACGATAGCGAAAACCTTGTCTGGAGTGAGCAACTTGTTCACCTTATCAACAGTCTCCTCCCTGGCCAAAATAGCCGTCATGGCAGCGGCTTCTTGGAGGGCAGACCAGTCGCCGGAGTTGTAGCCGCGAGGAGCCATGGTGTTTTACTTTCTGTTTTGGGTCAAGAGTTATGACTGGTATAAATCTGTGGATGTGCTTGAGAGGGTTGATCTAAGTCTGGGCTGTTGTGTTCGAGCAGTGGACATGGGGAGTGTGAGCTGGATACTTATAGAGACACTGCAAGACCCGTTCTGTATTCTTCTCTTGGTAGTTTGAATATATCCTTTGTGGTAGTGTTTTATGTTTAGTTTGGATGTTGAACATTGTATGAATCCTTTGAAATGACTCTGTGAACAAGGATAAGACTGGTTGCCATTACTTGCCTATGATGGCTGTAATGCTGCATCTGAATGAATCTAGATTCTTCCGCCGAGACCGCGATGCCTTAACAGGGTTTGACATCACTCTGGCTAAGACTGGAAACTGCCAGACTAGCGGCAATAGCAAGCAAAAGTAGCGATCGGTGTTGCGGTCATTAATACAGCCAAGTCATTCATCCTCCATTTTAATCTTGGGCGTGAAATATCATTAATCCCGAAGCACGACAGAATCACGTTGACTAAAGTCTTGGGACACGGGTTGATAGCTGTAGATTTTAAGTTCTTGACTCTACTACTTGCAAGGTAGCCATCTACAATCTTGCATATATCAGATCATCTACGGACCAGACGTCTTAACCCCTCTGTGTCCAGTCTCTGTTCTGAATCTTTCGGCCTCGAAAAGTTCGTCTGAGGCATCCCTCTGAAACAAGCAAGATGAGTACGAGAACAAGAAGCCCAGCCATGGCATATAGGAAAATAAACGGGCCGGACTTGTACCTGTCGGCATCGGATTCCTGCCCTTGCTGAGTTTCATTGCTGGCCAAGGCGCTGACTGCTTCGTGAACAGAGGGCCAGGGGGTAGGGATAGGGCTGGCAAAGGTCGGGGGAGCCATGTTGTAACTCGTCTTCTTGTTGTCGGTCGAGAAACGGAAGCAGGAAGACGGTTCAGAGGGATCTGATGCAGACGTGAGTAGCCGATTCAAGCTTGAGAGTTTGAGTACAAAATCTGCTGATTGTGCTGGTGTTGTGCTGACAAGTGAACAAGCGAGAGAGACGGGGATATTTGTAGGAAATCTGTTCAACACACCGATTCTTTGCTCTTTGTGGGCTGTTTCGTTGTCTTCTTTTGGTGTTCAACTTGTGCCTTTGTTTGTTCACACTGCGCTTTGTATCTATGGAACAGAACAGGAATCATCAAAACAGACAAAAAAGGGTACTAAGTAACTCATTAATCAAAGCAAAACGCTGGAGAGGGGATTAGAGAAGGATGCTGAGGGAGGACAGGTTGAGAGGTGTCATGTGGCGGGGGACAACAGGGCTAGTCATGGTTTCCTTTGTCTACCTAGGTCAGAGTCTCTACCAGCGAAAGAAAGCGGAAGTCTTTGTCAGCAGACAATGAGATATGACAAGGCTTTTTTTTAAGTCTGTAGGCAAACTGCTGGGAAATTAGTTAGTGACTCACGCGAAAGCAACAATGCCCTGGTTGAGGTGAATGTGAATGCGAGCAAAGCCTCTTCTTTCAGCATGAATAACGCAATGTCGAGTCTGAAAACAAGAAGAGTTTCTCAGACGAGTTTACGCCCTATCGCTAAACCTTTTTGATACTGCTAGAGCACTTAAAAGCACGCCTGTTACTGGGGGGCACATATGACGTGCATTATAGCGGCATCGTGTTCAAGTCTGCAGTCTTGACACAACCACATCAACGCTTGATCGATTCAAAGGACAAGGTAAGAGTTTATAGATGTAAGCGATATGGACTGTTTAGTCCACCTCTTCTAGGCATCCGAACGTGTGGACTGGAGATACTCCATCAAAAAGGCGATCCGTCTGGCCATCAATGTCGCATTCTTGAAAGGATCACTGACACCATGTCCGCCTGTGCGATCCTCGTACAAAAACACATTTGATGCCCCTACATCCTTCAACTTCGCAACAAGCTTCCGCGCATGACCTGCACCGACTCGATCATCCTTTGTCGAGACGGTGACGAGAAAGGGGGGATACTCTACCCCTTCGCGAATGTTGTGGAAAGGCGAGTAGGCTCTGAGAACCTTGGCCATTTCAGCATCTTGAGGGTCTCCGTACTCGTATATCCACGCAGCTCCCATCCCCATCAGAGGGTATCTCAACATGTCCGTTAGAGGCACGTCGCTCACGATGGCGCCAAAGAGGTCCGGTCGCTGTGTGCCCATGACAGCAGCTAGCAAGCCGCCGTTGGATCCGCCGACAACGCCAATATGTTTTGGGGTAGTCATCCCATCCTTGACGAGTGTCTCAGCAACGGCGATGAAGTCGTCGTACGAGTTTTGTCGCTTCTCCTGTCGTGCTGCTTGATGCCATTCCTCGCCTCGTTCGCCGCCGCCCCGAATGAATGGAATCACCAACGACCCGCCACTCTCTAGCCAGGGGACCAGTGAGATGCCGCCCAAAATCATGTCCAGGTATGACAACGGGACAGAAAGCCCAAAGGCGCCATACCCAATCATCATGACCGGCTGCTTGCCTTGTGGATGTTTCGACTCCTTGGGCGAGAGGACAAGATAGTCGATTGAAGTGCCGTCCTTGCTTGAAGTGCTCTTCTGACCAAGTTGAAAGGCCTCGGCATTGAAAACCGATGGCTGGGTGTACAAAGACTCCTTGGTCTCGCCGCGTTCCAGCCAGGTAGTCGATGGAGAGAGCAAGCCAGACTCGGTCACGACTGTGTCGTTGCTGTAAGGGTCACCGCTAGTCGCAGCCGCATGAGACCCGATACTCGTCTCTATGCTTCGAATGATTCTCCATTCATTGGCGTCGTATTCCAGAGTCAAGCGACGCTCTGACTGTCTCTTGTTCATTGTCAAGTAAACCCTTGTCTTGCTTGCCTGGATTCCATCAACAAACAGATGAGCATTAACCTCGTCTGGCTCTGGAATGTAAACAATCGAGGTCCTTTCGTGGGCTGGTGTGTCTGGCACCGTGTTGTACGCAATGACGGAACCAACTGGGACCTCTCGACCACAGACGGTCGCCTTCTCACCCAGCACGGCCACCACATGCTTAGATGTGGTTTTGGGTGGTAGCGACATGGACTGTTTCTTTGGTAGATCAAGCTCTTCCACAGTCCCATTAAGGGAAACAATGCTGTAGACAAGGGTGGAGTAGTCCACGGCGCAGGTGATGAGGGCACGGCCACTGTTGGTTTGGCCCACCGAGGAGATGAGAGAGAGTGCACTGGTTGAGGGTATTTCTTTGACAGCCTTGGCCTCCTTCAAGTCGGTACCTCGCTTCCAGATGTACGAAGTGGTTCCCCAACCCGCTGCCGTAGTCGGACTGCCGTAGAGGTTGTGGTTGATCAAGACGTGATCGATGTCCAGCCAGGCAACAGCGATACGGCCCAGCCCTGTGCGAAACCCGTCTTCAACGAATTTGCCTTGTTTGGTATCAAGCTCACGCAACTCGACCAAGTCAGAGCCTCCATCGGACAAGAGGACAAGGAGGCGCGAGGCATTAGGCCCAAAGATACGACTCTTAAAGTCAAAGTCGAAAAACTCGAGCTCTCTACTCTCCTCCTGGCCCAGTTTGTCGACGTCGAGGACAAGTCGCCAGTTGCCCAGTGATCCATTAGGCTGTCTCTCAGAGACTTCGAGAATGCCACGTTTGTTGGTGGAGTCCTTCCTCAGTCGAAAGAGGTTACCGGCGATCCAGTAGCTCGGGCGATTGACGTCAGTTGAAGATAGGGCCACTAGCTTCTCCTGGATACTCTTGGTGTGCGGCAACGAGTCTAGCTTGCGCATGGCGAGCTCATTCTGGCTGTCGACCCACTCCAGGGCCTCAGGAGACTCTTGTGTCTCGAGCCACTCGTAATCACTGTCCGACTTGATGGGCCTGCCGGATGATTGCTGTTAGTTGTCGTGGCCCATCTTTCAGCCTAAGGGTGAAGGAACTTACATGTTTGTAACAGGGGCAGACTGAACGTAAATGGAGATTTCTTTGCTTGACGCTTCGAAGTGCAATCACTGGGATGTTTGTGAAAGGGAGAAGAACAATCAGAGAAAGGGCTTGTTGGAGGCTTTTATGCAAAAAGGAGGATTCCAGATGATGGACATTCCCCTCCTCCGAGAACTCATCTCACATGGTTTATCCCTGTCCATGGTGATCTCAAGCAGCCAAGGATGAGCTCGCGCTTGTGCTGACCCGATTAGGAAGTGGAGGAGTGGAGTGAAGGATCGAAGAAGCTGGGGTCCCGATGGATTGACTGAGGTTCCGGGTGGGGCCGGAGCCGGGTTAAGGTGAGGCTCCGTTCCCGGACTTCAATGAATGCATCCGGTCTTACGTTGCCCGAGTCGTCAGCCTACCTCTTTGTCTACCTGCCTAGCCCTGATGACTTACTCAAGACAACTATGGCATTGGGACATTTACCCTTAGCCAACCATGTATGGTCCCGCCCCCCATCGGCCTAAGAAGACCAACTTCCGACGAAGCCGTACTGGCTGTGAATCATGTCGTAGCATTAAGAAGAAGGTACGGATACACACGGTTTCTCGGTTGTTTTATTGGTTCATGTTGCTTACTTGGATCGTCACACTAGTGTGATGAAGGCAAACCGACATGCCAACGCTGCGAGACAAAGGGAACAGTTTGCTCATACGACAGCACCCCGTTGCAGTTCCGCGATGCCAACGCTTGGGCGGCGCAAAAGGTCAAACAAGTCAGAGGCAACAGGGTTCAAGGTATCTGTCCGCCATTCACCCAGAATCGAATTTTCCCGAATGAAAGCACTGGCGCAACTGGGCACCAGGTTGCAGACCCTGTCCTAGAATCTCAGCCTGAGACTCGCCAGTCTGCACCAAATCACGATCTAGCCCAGATGCCACATCTCAACAGGTCTCAATTGAAGGCTGTGAAGAAGACCGATAAGCAGTCATCCCGATACCTTGCACTTCATCCGAGGCCAAGCCTCCTCGGGGGGTCCAAGGAGGAGTTATACATGACTCATTTTGCCATCCATGTGTGCGACATCCTACCATCAAGCCTCGAGGCTGTGAGCTCTGCTGCCAAAGGAAAGACTGTTCTTCACAATGCCGCTATGGCTATCGGAGCGGCCAATTTGGCCAACTTACAGGGAGGCTACACCCGTCACAAAAGCACCGGGCTGCAGATATGGATCCCCAATCCTCGTCACAGGCTTGATGCACTGAACTATGCTGGAAAGGTATTATCATTGGCAACAAGAGGCCCGAGTGTAGGAGTCGATGTACTTGTGTCAGCCCACATCCTACTATCGTTCGTTGAGTTGGAACTGGGGACCTTTGACGGGCTACATCGATATCTCGGCATTCTGGACGATCTCATCTACAAGACAAAAGACAAGCTCCTTGGCTATGAAAAGGGCCAGGATTTGTTGGTTGCTGCAGTTAATTCTCGCACTACACAGAGGTACATAGTTGGACCTTGGAGCACCTCGACAGCTCCTTCAGAGAGAGAAACCTTTTGGCTTGGACTGGAACGTCAAGTGTTGTCTGACTCGGTCTCTTTCCAAAAAGCGGGCTCTGACGCATACCTTCTTATACAGCGCATCTATTTGATCGTCACGATGCAGCATAACCGGAAAAGGCCAAGCCCCGTGATGGAGGCCTTGATCAAGCAATTCTTGCCGCTCATAGCACCCGACCTGGTGCCACGCCACGGCGAGCAACTATCAGAGCTGACCCTCACACAAGCACACGAACGGTCAATCGCAGAGATCAGACACTTGTCGAGGTTGCTCTCAGTTTTGAAGCCTCCTTCGGAATCTCTTTCCAAACCGGGCTATTTTGCAGAGCCTGAGGCTATTCGTTTCGAGAGTCACAAACGCGCAATGCATGCTGCAGATTATGTCTTCTTCCAGATTCTATGTGACGAAAATCTGGTACGAAATCGCGCTCAACCGCTAGGGCCCTGTACTCTGGCGAGCGATGACTGGGTGATTAATGACCAGGCGTCACATTGGCTTCAAATCCTGATGCGAATCACCCGAGGGTTGGATATCGCCAAGTGTGCTCACCGAAACATGTACCGGAGAGGCATTTGCTCTATACTTTTCCTAGTAGGGCTCCTGCGTCAAGATATGAACGTCTTTGATCTTCTGGAAGAGGTCCTTGACAAGATATTGGCCCGAGGAAGCGGCTGGGAAGATGCTACTTTCCCGACCCTTCTGGCACGACCCACGATCCAGGTAGTTCGGGATCAGCTGAAGCTGGGGAGGGTAATTCTCTTGGCATCGACAACGACCGAGGACTTTGACAAGTCTCGCACGATTGTCTCTAATCGATTGGGGCAGGTCCTGTTGGTACACGGGATCGAAGCCAACGGGGAGCTGTTTGACGACGCGGTGCCGTTGGGTGATGAGTAGTTTTTCAATTACCCAACAGCAGAGAAGTATTAAATCTGCTGATTTTCTCGTCAGTGTGTATCCTAGAAGGCCATGGAAGCAAATCTCAAGGCGGCTACATATGGTTCGCCAAGGCGTTTTCTCGATCAACAACTGCCACACAAAACAATAGCGATCTGCCCGCAGCTGCAAACAAAATCTCTCCTTCTAACATCACTGAAGCCACAGAAAATCTTCCAAAATGAGTTCAGAATCCATCTACACGTCGCTGAGTGACCCCGACACTATCAGAATACTCGAGATCGGCCTGCTTCACCCGGGTAGCAATCAGCTAAGCGGGCGCCTCACTATCGAAAGCTTGCACGATCAGCCCGATTATGTCGCCTTGTCTTATGTTTGGGGAACTTCATCATCTGATGACCCGTTGATTGACATCAATGGTCATTCATTTCAAGTCACACAATCGCTCTTTCAAGCTATCAAAGCCTTGGTATCCGACACCAAAATCAGGATCTGGATTGACCAGATCTGCATCAACCAGAATGACAACACGGAGAAGGCACACCAAGTACAGCTCATGTCCAAGATATATAGCCAGGCTCGGCTGGTTGTAGGCTGGCTCGGCCATGAAGCCGACGAAAGCAACCTTGCCATGGCGTCCCTCAGCTACGTCAATCGCCTTTCAAGAGAGATAATGGACGAGGATTCCAAGCAGAGTCCGCCGCCCTATGAGTTGAGAAATGACAAGGATTCTTATTCCGAAATCTACCACGATATAATAGACCCTACAGGAGGAAAGCTAGGGACCGCCTGCCATACTCTTGTTCAACGACCGTGGTTTTGCAGGCTGTGGATCGTCCAGGAGGTGGCTCTGGCTAAAGAACTCGAGCTTCGCTGCGGCTCATCATCGATTTCTGGAGAGGAGTTCTTTAGAGCAATCCAAGTACTGTCTTCTGGAGTCACAGATCCCGCTATGACTGTTATCGGACTCATTTATGAGAACGCCCGGAAGCTAGGACAGCTTCGAGCACAAACATTCACCAGGCCTTGTCAGTCCTTTCCTCATCTCCTCCAGAAGATTTGCACCTGGGAATGTGAGAATCCCCAAGACCGCCTGAACGGTCTTTTCGGGGTTGCTTTTCGGCATGATCCAGTTAGCGCGTGGTTCAAACCTAGTTCCTCCATGTCTGGGCCCGAGCTATTCACCATGTTTGCGACAGAACACATACGCGTTACTGGAAATCTGGACATATTGCATTTCACTGGATGTGAGAATGCTTCCACTCAAGTTGAACAAGAGGCAGACGTTTTACGGCCCTTCCCCGTTATAACCCCATTGAATGATCTCGCTTCTTGGGTGCCAGACTGGCGAGTGAAAATGCGGCCATTGCCACTATTGACCAGCGTTCAAGACAACATCTGGGTGAATTTCTCTGCTACGGCTTCTGAACCAGATTATTCCCTCGATCGAACTTCTCAGACGCTTCATGTCCGCGCCATCGAGGTTGACAAGGTCAAGATGAGAGGTCTACAGTATCATCCGTTTAGCAGCCATTCGGCTGATTTTGTCGATGGGTGTTTTCTCGAGTGGCTGGAACTAGTCAAGAACTACATCGGTAGTACTCAGACTGAGTCTATGTTCCCTTTTACTATGACGATGGATAGAAAGGTGGCCATACCAGGACGGTCCCCGAACTGCTTCGACCCCAACACCATCCTGGACCATCTTGAACGTCATGCCCAAGAGGTGGCGTCTGGAAAATATCATGAGAAAAATAAAGACTGCTGGAGAGAGACGATTGGACCGGTAATCGAGTTTCGGTATCTTGCCGAGGAGCTTTGTCGCTACCGCGTCTTATTCGTTACTGAAAGTGGGAGGCTGGGCTTAGGAAGTAGTCAGATTGAGGAGGGGGACTCAATCTATCTTATTCACGGGCTCAAGACACCATTCATAGTAGATTCAGGCTCAAAGGAGGATCGTTTGCGGGGAGAGTGCTATGTGCATGGGTTGATGGATGGGGAGGTTCAGTGGTCGGATGAGGACACTACGTTGCATCTGCATTGACTTTGTGGATAGTACGATTTCGTATGGGAACATGCGTTATTTCTGAATGTTTAAATCTTATTCTTGCGCTATCTGCATCGTGTTCTATGTCTAGGCAAGAGGATTGAACCACTTGTCTGTAGTGCACGCCAAGGTAAGGGGGCCAATTTTCCGCACATGTCCGCAACTCCGCATCTCTTCTTTGTTGAAACTCCGCAGAGATTCAACGTTGAATCAAGGGTCAGGCTCTATAATAAGCCTATGTCGATACCCCGGAGTCTTGTTGCAGCCCGCAACCCGAGCCGGCTCCATCTGCCTTACGCACCATGGCCCCAGAACTGAATCAATAGTCTACGGTGTCGGGATAGCTATAGGCTGGCTTGAATTTGTCAGATCGGAGTCTAATTGATACCGTATGGTGTGTGCAGCTACCCATGGCATCCTGCACAGCTGTGCATAGATGCCAAACTCCGCAGCCCAGTCGTCCCACGTCCGCCACTAGCTGATCTCTCTCGACTGCGTTTAGTAGTGGCCCTAAACCTAAAAATCTGGGTCTTTTCTATACGGCTTTATATTTATAGTTAAGTATCGTTCGTCGATGGAAGGCAAGAAACCGTTCAAGGAACTCTCATTCCCTCGCATCTACTTCCAGCCAACCTTATTCTTCCTTTCCCACCATGGCCCCAGAAATCCCATCTGAGCACCGCGTCCTTGTTCTGGCAGAGGCCGGAAAACCACTGAGTCTCGAAGTGCGACCCACACCCAAAGCCGGCCCTGGGAGCGTACTCGTCCGCGTCCTCGCCGTGTCACTCAGAGCCAACTCCCCGAGAGTCTACCAAGACCCCCAGAGCGGTCATCCACTACCCACTCCGTTTATCCCTGGATTCATGGCCATCGCCCGCGTTGCCGAGACTGGGCCTGATACTACACGTCTCCAACCAGGGGACCTCGTCCTCTTTGACCCCTATATCCTCGGCCGTGACGACCCAAACGCAAAGTACATTAGTGGACTTATGGAAGGTTTCAACGAAGGAAGTAGAAAGCTTGCACGTGGAGAATGGCGAGATTCGACACTTGCCGAGTACGCCAAGTTGCCTCTGGAGAACTGCCATCCTCTGGATGAGAAGAGACTCCTGGGTGATGTCAAGGATGGCGGGCTTGGATACACCCCGGATGATCTCACTCATTTCTTTAGCATGCTGATCCCGTTCGGTGGTCTTGCTGACGTCGATGTCAAGGCCGGAGATACGGCTATCATTGCACCCGCAACGGGTCGATATGGCAGCGCCGCGGTGCATGTAGCGCTAGCCATGGGAGCTCGAGTAATTGCCATTGGTCGCAATGCTACTGTACTCTCTCAGCTGGACAGCATCACTCCCACAAGGCTGAAGACCGTTCAGATCACTGGAGATATCGACAAGGACACCAAGGCACTCGGCGAGGCGGCTGGCCCCGGTGGTGTGGATGTCTTCTGGGACATGTCACCCCCAGGAGCTGGAAAGTCAACGCATTTTGCCAGCAGCTTGAACGTCTTGAAAGAGGGTGCTCGTGTTAGTCTCCTGGGAAGCGTCTCATCGGGTGTCAGTTTCGATTACATGCAAATCATGTTCAAGGCGTTGACTATCAAGGGGACTTGGATGTGCACAAGAGAGCAGACAAGGAGGCTCATTAGCATGGTCGAAACGGGTGTTCTGCCGCTGGGATCTCGAGCTGGCATGGGGCCTGTGAGTAAGTTTGGATTGGAAGAGTGGAAGGAAGCATTGGATCTGGCTGCTGAGAGGATCGAGCCCGGAGAGATTGTCGTTGTCCCATAGATTGATGTCTGGGTCAGGGTGATGATTTGGTACCTATATCTCAGTAGAATCGAAGTTGGGTGACATTTCTCTTAGAGTGGTACTTGATAATGCCTATGAAACTGTCTACTAAGACGACCCCATCTTTCTCCCAATTGCCTGAAACCATCTTTGGGCTCGCTCGAGAGTGGCATAGTCCGAGATAACGCGCTGTTGCTGGAATTCTCTCGCCTTGGTTATGAAGCGGACCAGTTGGTCTATTAGTTGGTTGGTGTCAGGTTCCGGAAGGTCTTTGAGGGCGACCGCTTCTGCGATGTAATGTAGGAATCGCATGAATGGAGGACCTTGGTTCTTTGCTGGATATGGCTGGAATCCCCCGTTAACCAGACGGCCAAAGATCATGCTGTGTAATTGGTAGTTGTCAACTTTCGAGCGCTGATCTCGGCTGTCCCACAAGATGCAAATCTCTCCTCCTGGCTTTGGAAGCCCGAACGCCTCAACCATGTAATCGGCAAGCAACCCCAATTCCCACCGGAAATAGATCATGCCAGCGATCTCCTCAAGCTCATCTGCGTCCGGGGTTCTTTCTATTGCCTCTCGTAGCATGCCCTGCACCAAGGGGCCCCAACCGCTGTTCTCATCGCCGGGACAGGTCTGAAGAAATAGATGTGCCATAGAAGACACGCGATTCCGACAAATGTTGCCTGTATTCTCATCGATGAAAAAGGTTCCTCCGGAAATCTTTGCTAGTTCCGATAGTTCGGGAACCCTCACGAAAGCTTCACTGCTCGGATGGGTGTCTGCGTTCAATCTCTCCTCAAAGGGCCCGTTCTTACAGACGTCGAGGATAGATTGGCAAAGCTCGTTGTATGTCTCGATTTGTTGAGAGGTGGGTTCCTCTGGTTGGAGTGATTCCTCCTCTGTGCCCCCAGATCGATCGTCGAGGAGTGGGCTTGACGTTGACGTTAGCGTTTTAATGATGGCGCGCGCGAAAACCATTCCTGGGCAACGTCCCTGCCATGAGGTTGATATGTCGTCTGCCTGTGTGGCGGTGGCCATAGTTACGGTGATCAGTATGGCGGAATCTGGATGATGAAATAAGAGAATGTGAATCGGGCGTGATGCTGCCAGAGAGAGCCTTGTTGAGGAAGAAGAAGGTGATGACGGAGAGCGGCGCGAGGCATTCGTTTTATAGATCACATCTAGATCATGTGATGAGATTCTTGACTCAGTTCGGCCAGTGTAAAAGGTTTGAGTTTGAGTTTTGTTGAGTAGGTCTCAGCAAGGCCAGCTGCATCCCCGAGACACGCCATAGACGTGGGTCAGGAAAAACAGGACGCGTGTGAATAGCCTCCTCTACGGGTACCTATGAAGGTAGAATAAGAATGCAATAATAGGCAGTTGGAAATAATCTAATATCTTGATGAGATTAGGATATCACTTTCATAGATTTTTAGCAAGTTGCTTGTAAGTCTTGGAGGGCTTGAAAACTTTTTGCCGTTCTGGCCCTTGCTGAAGCGGAGTGTTGGTCATCTAAGCCCGAATGAGACGTGTGCGAAAGCTGTTAACAAGAGCAGACTTTTTTCTATTATGATTCCTTTGATGTCTCTATTTCTATCTAGTTGCCAATTGTTGCTGATTGTGTTCTAGTAAGAACATGTTGACAGGGGTCCACCTAAAGAAGAGACCTAAGCAGCAGAGATAAATCGCGAATGTAAACTAAATAAAGTTTTACTTTTGTGATAACTAAATGCTCCATGCTGGAATTCAAACATCCTCTATTCTCGTTGAATATCGTGGTGTCTAAAATCCCTATAAGTTGCAGGTGAGCCATCTAGAGAACGATACTTGACAGGTATGAAAGCTGATGGCTCATGTGTCGAGGTGATGACTAGTACCCTGTTCTGTCGCCCCTCACAGCATCTACAGGCTCGACCACACCAGATGGAAGAACAGGATTGAAGACGAAACCGCCTTTCATCTCGTATGGAATCTTGACAGCCTCTTCCTGAATCCTCGCCGACGATTGCTGAAACCTCGCCGTGACATTTGCTAGGTTCTCAGCAACCAGGTTTCCATTCCTCTTGACAAAACTCCCACCAATCATGACATCCCTCACATCGCCAACGTTGGAATGCAGTATGATGGCCGCAACTGGATCTCTCCATCCAACCATGTTTGCCGACTTTCCGTCAAAGGTGACTATATCAGCCTTGGCTCCAACTTGGAGGATACCGAGGTCAGGACGACGAAGAGCCTGAGCACCTGCTCGCGTGGCTAGGTGGAACGCTTGGTTAACCGACATTGGGCTATAGCGAGGGATCTTCCACTCGTCGAGCGTCTTTCTAAAAGATCGTAGTCTTACGCTCTGCAGCCACATCCTAGCCTGAGTGACAATGTCTCCAGAGTACGTGGCGTGGGTGTCGACTCCTAGAGCTGCCTGGTCCATTATCAGGTCGCTCTCCTGGTTTGTGTGTCCAAAGTGCATCTCGGACTCTGGCGTGATGGAGACGTAGTGGTTGTGTTCCTTGAGGAGCTGATATTCGGCCGGGGTGATGAAGGTGCCGTGGGAAAAAACGATCGGAAAGCTTTGGTTCAATATTCCCAGGCCTTGAAATAGGGATGGGCTGTGGCGGATGTTCCACTGCCCGTCTAGCCAGTGTGTTGTCAACACCGAGAGGTTGCCGGTCCTTGAACCTTGTTAGTGGAATGTAGAGAAGAATACACAAAGCACCTACTTGAGTAAATCAAGGACCGCTTCTAGGGATGGCTCATCAACTCCCGTCCAAGTGTCAAACGCCATGCCCATCTGGACCAGACCTGTTGACAGCCGCTGATCCAAGGCCAGCTCACGGACATGTGCGGCTCGTTCTGGGATGGTAAAGTTGCCGGTAGGGTCGAAGCCGTAGCCGAACCAGACTCGGGCACCGCTGTCCAAGTACGCAGTTAGAGCAGCTTCGGCGACTTGCCGGGAGTTAATGTTGTGTGAGTGGTCAAGCAGTGACGTGACACCTGCGTTGAGCGCTTCCCAGAGACCAACCACTTGAGACAGGTAAAAGTCTTGGGGAGTGAATAGATCAGGGACTCGAGAGAGGGGACTGTATCGAACAAAGTACTCGGACAGGGTAATGTTGGAAGCGATCGTTCGGTAGGTCGTCTGCCAAGTGTGTCGATGCGTGTCAATGAAGCCGGGCGAGATGATCAAGTCTGCACACGGAACTATTTCTGTCCCCAAAGGTATCTCGACAGAGTCTTTTTTGTTATCGTTAAATATTGCCGTGATGGTGTCTCCGGTGACCAAGATGGAGGTGTTGTACAGAGGCTTGGGTGTCTCAGTCTTGTTGTCAAAGCCAATAACGGTTCCGCCCTGGAACAATGTCGACGCTGCCTCGGTTCCTCTGGCTACACCGAGGAGGAGGATCGAAGTAATGAAATATCTCATGATGATCTGGTTTAGAGGCAAATGGGCAGGATGGTGAATAAGGATGAAGTCTGTGATGGAGAGAAGCTGCCTTGACGGGTATTTATATTCGGCAGCGCAAGGCCAAGACCAAGGTCAGATGGCATAATAAACATCTGTTAATCCTGGCATCATGCAAGAAAAGATCACGGAAGCGTCAAATTACACGCCCCCCTCTGGAGTTTTTGACAGCCCGACCCGCGCGGGACGGCAACAGGAGCTCGCCATCACCCGACAACTCTCTTGGCATTACCCAAGGAAACGATTACTCACTCATACAAGGGGGCTAAAATCTTTCAAAATTGTGCGGAAAGGCTGAATACCGATTCTCCCCTGAATGAGGTCCGTTTATCCCCTGATTTCTTTCTACCTGTCGCCGCCGTCCATCGTCCAGAACCAACCTTCAGGCAGTTTGACTGATACGAAATGACAGGTCTTGGTCGAGATGCCTCGGGCTAGGCCTAGAGAGAGGATGTTTATGTCGATGAAACCTGTTTACGGGAAGCGCCTTATGCCCTAGAGACTTGGACCGAGTATGTCGTCTGTTCAAGGTTTGTGATTTATCCGATCGCGCGCGGATCGTGACTAAGAGCTGGCATTCGCGCGAGATACGGTCAAGTAGGAACCTTGACTAAGCGGCGTTTGGGTCATCGTCGATCCGAAGGGCGGGGATATTTGTATCATGGGTACTTGGATGCCTGTGTTGATGCCGTCGTATGTTATTGAATGTGTTTTTTTGTGCTCTTGTGGCTAATAGCTTCTTATAATGACTGCGGACAAATATAATACTGCGTCGTATATTAATAATTGTATCTTTTGCTCTTGTCGCTGACGGTCTCTTGCGGACGCGTTATTGAAGACGATAGTCACAATAACACTTAAATGCTTCTATTTCTTTGCATTTGTAACCACATCTCGTCGATATGTACAGGCTCAGAGGAGCAAAATATGACAGGGGTGAAGCAAGCCTCCATGTATCGCTTTTCTCCAAAAATTATCAGGTCGTGCTCAGCAAAGTCTCGAAGATCCATACATCCTCTAGGCAACCGACTGAATGGCCTTGTCGCTTGTATGATGACTCGCCACGTCATGAGGGACCCAATCGTGGGGGAGACGACCAGACCATACATCGATATCCTTGGCTCGAACAAACTAGAGCGAATGAGTCAGAAACAGTCGCCGGTTATTGGGTCGAAAGAGAAAAGCCTCACCTTGGTGCCGAATGCAAGCTTCCATCCAATGATAGGAATGATAAAGATGGGAATGCCGATATAAGAGGCGATGAAATCAGTGGTGGACCAGTTCCCCTTGAGGAAGACGGGGAATCCAGCCACCAGCGTGATAATGATCGATCCGATGGCTCCATACCAGGCCGTGTAGGGCATCCATGGGGCCTTCCACGGGAGAGTGTCACGGCTGACACCCTGGACCTTGAGGGCGTGGTGGAACCGGATATAGCAAACACAGAGCGTTCCCCAAGCGATGAGGCCTGCGACTGTGCTGAGGTTGAGAAGCCAGGTGAAAGCTTGGGCAGCACCGCCACTACCAAGACCTAGAGAGGTTAGCAAGGACACTTGGCGTATAAGGTTTAAACATACTGAGATAGGCCAGAGGCCCAAAGAGCCAGGAAGTAATGACTGCGACCCAGGGGACACCGCTCGATGTCGTGCGGCCAAAGAATTGAGGCAGCTGCCTATCCGTCGTCATGGCGAGAATGATACGGGATCCTACCCAGCAGTAAGAGCTGCCAGCAGACCAGGCAGACACCAAGATGCAGGCGTTGACGATGGAGGGGAGGGCGGTAATGCCGGCCTCTCGGATGGCGATGACCCAGGGCGAGCTGTTGGCATTTCCAGTGCCAGAGACGAGGTCTGCGTTTCGAGGATCGACAATTAATCCAATCAAGAACGCGCCGAGGATATAGAAGAAGCCGATTCGATATGTGACTCGGTTTGCCGCCTTGGGGATCGACTTGTGCGGGTTGACGGACTCGGCGGCAGTAATGACGACTGTTTCAACGCTCACAAACGAGAACGAAGCATTGACAAACGCTGAGAGGAAGCCCAGAAAGTGACCGGCCGAGCCAGTGATGCCGTTGTAGTTCACCCATGCACCAGGGTCACGCCAGTACCGGAAACCAATGGACTCGTGGTTGGGACCTCCTCCGGCTGTGATGACAATGGCGACGATGACGAGGCCGATGAAGCAGAGAACCTTGATGGCACCAGCAACTACTTCCGTCTCTCCGAAGAATCGCACGTTCATGAGGTTGATGGCGAGAATCAGAACGAGACTGACTGTGATTACAACAGCAGGGTTGAGATCTGTCCAGTAGCCCACGAGCACCGCAGCAGCTGAGCATTCTGAGGCGAGAGCGATGGTATAGCAGTAGCCATAAGAGATTGCCAGAGAGAAGCCGACAGCAGGGTCAATGAAGCGGGTTGCCCAGTGAGGAAAAGAACCAGCCGTGGGAAGCTAGATGCAGTGTTAGCTATCGACATTGAGAAAGGGAGCAGTTTGGAATTACCAGGGTGGCTAGCTCTGAGATGCTCTGCATGACACACCAGAGGACAGAACCAACGACGATATACGCGAGCAGCAAACCTGCTGGTCCAGCCGTGGCATAGGCAGATCCTGCTCCGATGAAAAGACCAGTTCCAATGCCACTGCAAAGACCAATCCAGGTGATGTGGTAATCCTTCAGCCGTCGCTGCGTAGGTCCATGACCGCCATGATTAAGCACAGGCTTTTCATCCTCTGCAAAATCCTGAGTGTCATCCACTCGGGGAGCGGTTTCGACAATGTCGTCTTGTTGTTGAGCCCCCATGATGATCTTACAGTGTCGTACAAGACATCAACAGAATAGAGAAAGCCAAGACGCGAAGTTGGCTCTATATCTACCACGCGTCCAGGCCGATTGCGCAATTCGAGGTTTTCACCACCAAACCATTTTTTTATGTAATGGCTCCAGACCATCGACAGATGAATGGGGCAGATGGCCGGGGTGGTTTGCGGGTTCTGGCTTGGTGTCTATTGCAAGTGGAACTCTAAATCTTGCAACAGACAGGGGCCGGACCGGGCCATGACACAGAGAACAGACCTTATCTTTTTTTTTTCTTCTCTTGATCGTTGTGGGTTTTGTGGATGCTGTGGCGAAAATCGGGGACCCCGAATACAGCTTTGACCAGGACGTGGAGTAGGCGTATAGAGCGTATAGAGTCGAGGCTCGGTGAAGAAAGACCGCCAATAATGAATTATTGCGAATGTAGTTCCTAGGTGAAAGGTTACGTTAGCTTTGGCTTTGAGGGGTAACATGATTGGTGATTGTTTCAAGCACATTAGCAACATTCTGTCCAAATCTTGGTGGCTGCTGGACTTGCAGACTCGCGATCTACATCCACGCAGCCAATCAGGATGTGGCATAGTCATGAGCCAACCAGTGACGTCTCTTGGCGAAGCTGTTCGTCCAATGACACAGTTCAGGGTGAAAGTATCTGAAAATTGTTGGAAATATCGGGTCGGTGTATTCGAGTCTGAAGATAGTGCAACCATGCCCAGAGCGAGACTCAAGTCCACATGCTGGTTGAGTGCAAAGTTGGCATGCCGCCAAATCATCCGCTATGAAGTTCCCCCAGATCCCCCCTCCTTTAGTAGCTCCGGCGATATAACGCCTTCTCCGCCTAAGCTCAGATGGAATGGCCTCCTAGCCTGAACTCGTGCCTCTTCTGTCGATGATGCCCTCACAGACGACGTCTCATCGTTACCTCGATTTTCGACAGCTCCCACCAGACCGCATACCTGACTTCGTGACATGATTTCGTCCAAATCCTTGAGCTGGGCTCCTATCTGGGTCAGGGCATCGGCATCAAAGTCGTCCGTCCAAGTCGGCGTCGAGTAGATGAATACCATCAGGAGACAAAGACCAACGGCCTGTAGACCGACGAGAACGGTGATGACGATCAAACCGGCCAGACTTTTCTTGGGTTTGGATACCATATGGCCTGGGTGGGAGTACAGGGACCGATCAGCGGCAGTTGTAAGGAGGGCCTCGTTGGCAAAGTACATTGCAATGTTGAGAGCATTCTGTGTCGTGTTGTCTGAGCCGAAAAACGTAAAGTAGCGTGCCAGGAGGTCCAACACATTGGTATCCCGGTCTCGCTGGAGACTCCAGTCATCGCAGATTGAGACAGGGGCGGGGAACTCCAAAGAAGTTAGACGGGTGAATGGCAACCTCACCTGGTCGCATATCTGTCGGGCTGTCTGATTATTGGATTCTTCTGCTGATACATTGGCCAGACGAAAGAAGGATGTATTGCCGAATATGGCCAGTCCTGCTGTCATGAGAGGGCCAGGCGTTGGCTCCGAGGTCTCGAGCCTGTACCATGTTTAGTCTTGTCTTCTACATGTTAATAGCTCAAGAACACCTACACAGAGCTGTTGTAAATGTATTCATTAAAGTCTCGGGCAATCTCCTCTTTTGAGGGCCAGACGTCCAGGAGAGGTCCAGGCTTGTAGCCGTTGTGGTGGTTAGGAAGCTCAAACCAACCCCTTCTCGAAACACTCTCGCACCGAATGGTGAAGTTATCCGAACCGTCGTAAGGGTCAGGGTTCGATGAGGACACTCGAAGCCACAGGGTCTCTTTGATTTCTTGTTTATCGCGACTGATCGCCCAGGGGGTGTTGTCCTGGTCCCCATCCACACAGACCTCGACCTTTGTATAGGGGAGCGACAAGGAGGCTGTGAAGGGCCAAGTCCCTTTACAGCCGCTGGAGCTTGAATTGCCCTTGGTACATGTGGCCTTGGAATCCATTCTGACTGCATGTTGTCGGAGCATCCCGGTCGAAGTGCCATTGGGAACTGACGAGGCGAAGAAAAGTGGCTCGGGGTCGTCGTCGTGCTCCAACCTTTCCAATCCCAAAGCCCATTCGAAGTCCCCTCTCTCACGGCTTTGGGCCGAGGAGTATCCGGTTTCAGGAAACCAATAAGGGATGTCGGACCAGAGGTATTTTTGTGTATCTTTCGTGTGCACGCTGATTATCTTCTCGGAAGTTCGTTGGATAATCCACATCCTCCGAGTCTGGGCCAGGGCTTCTGGGTCGGCATCGTTGCCAACGATCCACGTATCACGATCACCGGAATAACATGTATTTGGCGTGCATGTCACGATGGTTATGGTTTCATCTCGAACAAGGATAGACTGCAGAGGCGGCTGGACAGCGGCTTCGAATGCATGGTTAGCGATAGGGTGACCACACGGAAATATACTCACTCACTGATGAAAATCAGAACACCTGCCAACCTGAGGTATGTGGATGATGAATTCCAATATTTTGGTAATGTGGTCAGGGATTTCCAGACGTGTCGAACGTTGAGCCACTGTCTGTCTGCTAGTGTAAACATCTGCAACAGGCTGAGATGCTGGCTCGGCCTGCGACGCTGCGTGTATACAACGGCCCCGTGAGCAAGCAGGGTCGAGACGATGGGGATGCCAAGGGTGGCAGCAATTTGTGTGAGGACATAGACGGCGACGCGCAGTCTCTCGAGATTCGCAACATCCTTGGGCGTGTATCCTTCGGCCTGGTTAATGTAGGAATGCAGGTTGATGGGTCGGAACATCAAGATGGCGGTGAAGATCCAGGGCAGAACGAGGAGGGGAAAGTAAAAGGCAAATATCCATGCCGACCGCTGGCGATAGCGGAGGAGTTGCTCATCCTTGGCCAAGCCTGTTTGCCGACGAGGCGCGTCGTTTGTTACGGTGCGCACTGAATGGAGCTCAAAGTTGTCGCTGGGCGGCCCCATGGTGAAGATGGGCGAGTTGAACCAGCCAGGCGTAAGAGAGATACTGTTGTTTGCCGCGCGACGATGCCGTCAATCGATAGATACCGTATGTTTGTTGCGCAGTCACTAAAATGACATAGGCAACTGATTGTTGCTCTCGCGCTGAAGAAGCGAGTTTGCGTCGGACCATGCATAGTGGGCGGGGCTCCTTTATCTCTGCCTCAGTCTGGACGTCGCCTGATTTACCGACTTTGAGTCTTGGCGTTTGATTGTAATTTAACCAGTGTTGCATTTGGAGAGAGTGAGTGAATTCAGCCGCTCGCGAATAAACAACGCCTATCCCTATCGATGGTCCCACGTGACAACCAACGGTTTCAGCCTGGTCTTTGGCGACAACCAACCTGGGACATGGCCACTGTGCTGTGTTCATGATGTAGGGATTTGATTTAAGTTGATTTTTTTTGTAAGAATTCTTCCAGCTTCCATTTGGGTTACCCGCGTATTCAAAAGGCCACTGATTGCCAACGTTGCACGGAACCAATGCTCAACTAGGGAGTAGTACGATGACAACTGGGAGAGTTACTTGTACAGGGATGACTGATGTGTCATATCTAAGTAATGAGCAGCTTCGGAAAGCCGGGCCGCAGGTTAGCCAAAACAGCCCAGGTGTTGGATTACAATAATCGAGTTCCTCCAAGACGAGAGACAAAATGGTAACACTCAACACTTGGCATTCCATAAATATATCTACTGTTCTAGAAATTGTGTTAACGTCCAGTAGAGCTTTTGAATAGTTAAATATAATTTACACCCAAGTAAGCGACTATGACGTAGCTGTGGCTCTTTCTTGAAGATGGTCTGGTACTGGAAGTATGAACGGTGTTGGTTGTTTCCATGTTGCATTCGGATGGAGGGATGCATGCTAAACTCACGAACCATGTCCGGTTGGAGTCCTTGAAAACTCTGTTAGAATCTTATCATGTTTAGATGAAATGAGCGTAGGTCTCTATCTTGGTTACATTAAATCTGTCCTTATTCAGGACACTAACTCAGCTATTTGGCACTCTTGCTGATTGTTGCCTATAACACCTGCCATGATGACAAACTCCCCTCATTCTATCTCTTCCTTCGACACCAATCGACTCCTACCATCCTGGCACTCCATCATCACCTTGGCCTTCCTTCCTACTTCCTGAATATCATCAGGGGTAGCGGCCTCTCGCAATCTTTCCCTCAGCTCTCCATCAGGAGCATGCGAAAGAGCCGCCAACATGCTACTCTTCCACGCCGGTCTCTTGAGAGAGTTCGTCTCCCAGATTGACACAACAGCAAATAAAACCCCCAGCAAGTGCACAACTGCCGGAAAGACAAGAAACTCCCATCGGACCCGATTGATGACCATCATCACAGTAGCTTCTCCATAGACGGGGGATGACGCCAGTCCTCGGTCACGCATCCACTTGGTCAAACTCAACTCCACCTTTTTGACGCTCGCAGAAACGTTCCCCGCTTCTCCCAGACCAAACACCATTGCAGGCGGCAGGCTCAACCCGAAGGAAGGGTAGATGAAGCTTGTAGTGCCATTCCACCGTGTGGAGCCACGGCCGTCGAACCCCTCTAATCCCTTTCTGATATTGTCAAACAGTAGGACTATGCTTGGCTGGGTTATGTTGAAGGTGTCCTTGGCCAAGCTCTTGTTGTGTTCGTCAGGGACGAAAAGTTGGAGGTCCGTCAGGTTGACGTAGTAAGGGAACAAGTCCAGAGTGTTGTTGAGGTACTGGAGGTATTCGATATCTGACGGGGAGGGTGGATTATGAGAGTTGGAAGTCTTCTCCGTCCACGAATTGACTACCTGTTCCTTAAGAACTCCTTGCTCAAGGCTCGTTTCGTATTCATTGACGCAAAAGTAGAGACCGCATTCTTGTGTCGTAACTTGTGTGTCTTGCCACGTCGTTTCATTCTCCCTCCACCTTTTATCAGCTTGTAGGAACTGAATAGCCAGAACCAGGGTCGAGGAGTTGGAAAAATTGATGGTACGTCCAGGGTTTGTCGTAAATGTGACGGACAGATATGTGTCAGGGCATCGAACATCCCCAGAGCCACATTTCCTCTTTCCGTCATAGTTTGTCAGACTCAGTCCAAGCTCAGGAATCTCGTGCCTTGTCCATGCAATTGGTTCCCTCTGAATCACATTCAGGTGCGCAAATAAATCCTTGCTACTGACCTCTGGGAGTGTCTCGTTCTTCCGAAGTTGCCAGCCTCCAGGCACGCCGTACCCCGCGGGGAACGTGTAGTTTCCCGAAGTTCTCACGGCGTGTTTAGAAAGGCTGATACACCTGGAACATATCGCGAGAGATGTGAATGGGGCCCACGAACAATTGCCCGATGCGCACGAAAAGGCGGGCCAGAGGTTCCGCGGTGTGACAAAAGAGGAAAAGCCGTTCCAGACGGACCCTGTGAGGCCCATATCTTCGGGAGTGCTGAGCCTATCGTCTGGTCTGAAGAACATCTCTTTGCCGTCTGGGCCGGGGAAGGGTATCTGCCGCGCCGGAGCACCGGGGTTTACGTTCCAGTATCCAGCATCCAAAATAGACGACCTCCCAATGACAGGTCCAGCCTCTGATGGCCGGTTTGAATCTAATTCAATTGCCGATAATTGGTTATAGTTAGTGTTGTCCAGGACCACGGATACATCTTTGAGTGTTAGAACTGCCTGGATGAAAGGCTCGTAGGCTAGAAGAACTATCACAGTGAAAGCGCCGACTGAGGCCCAGTGACTAAGATGAATCAGAGTTAGTCGCATGAACCTGTTCCACTGGGAGAAGATAGAAAGATACTCACGGATGCCGTATCATGCTTCTCAATAGGCGTATGCTTCCCCAAGCACCTCGGCTTGCCGCATCGAACCGATCAAAATCAATCAGCGGACCAACAAACCGTCCGGCCCAGTTCCACTTGCCCTGAGAGAGACAAGTGCTTACAACGAACGCGAGGCTGGCCCTTGAGGTACCTGCAAGGATAGAAACGATGGCACTTGGTGAGAGGCCAGCCCATGTCGATACCGGCTGTCCGTCAGAGATGGACAACAGAGCGACGAGCGCACCCAAGGATGCGAGACTAAGGGTCAGTGCGCTCAACTCAAGCCACCACGAGATGTGCAATTTTTGGGTGTTGGCATTCTTTTTCTTTTCGAGAGATGCAGTTCTTGAGCTGCAAGATGTTTGAGCAAGGGGCTCGCCTTGACTCTCATCCAAGAGAGGCTGGAGCGAAGGCTTTTGGGGCTGGGTTGATTCCGCCATGACCACAATAGGACAGAAAGAGTTTGGTTGAGAAATAATGGCGGGCGGAATTGAACAGCTTGAAATTACAAGAAGATGACCACGCCTCCTCTATAAGCCTATCGGTCGTGACACGAGTCTACCCGATCAGTACCTGGTCGAGAATTACGAGCTGCATCAACAGCGCCACTTCTTTGTGAAACAATAAGCTTCTTTCAATTGGAACATCCCAAGAAGGTCGTTTCACCACAAAGGCTTAGCCGTACGGTGGCACCCGAGAAAGTGGCTTGCAAGGGCTGAGCGCTGTAACTGATAAGCCTCCTCGTGTCTTCGGTCAAGAACCAACACGCGAGGATTCTTGTACCATCACGCACAAGGCATAATATCATCAGTTCAAGCTCGTGTGCTCTGTAAACTTGACGAGGACGATGAGGCTGAGTGACACAAGGCAAAGATCGGGGCTATGCCATGGAGCAAATAGACGGAGGAGAGCCTGAAGCCAACCAACCCGCGCTATGGCGATTATCCGTTCATTGTTAAACCAACCGGTGGCGTGTGCGTGATGAAGTGAGGGAGCATTGTTTCTTCCTTGCGCGGGGACTGGTTCACTTGTTTTCGAACTGTTGCTTGCCGGCATCGTGATTGCGCATTAATACCACTCAAAATAAATGGGGAGAACATGCTGTGGTTTCCATGGATGTTGAGAACCGGGTGACGGCATCGAAGTGAGGGAATGTGAGGGGCAGGGTCTTGCTGGAGAGCCTTATCGAGGGAGAATAGGGGTTGAGATGGTTGCGGGAGAGCAGGATATGTATCTGGTGAGCTTCTCTTGAGTAGAGTTTTGTTAAATGAGAGAGTAAGGAAGATTAAGGGGAAACTTTCTTGGGCCGAGAGAGGGGAGGCGTTCTTACATACCTAGATCAGATCTTGGTCATGTGATGAGGCCATTCTGGCTCCCATACCAATACTTGTCCAGGGCAACTGCTGCATTCCCCAGGTGCCAATATCACAGAAGTTCAACACGAATTGACGGTATTAGATGTTGATACCTTCATGTATCAATAATTGTATATTTTACTAGTATGGATCGGATTCTTTTTCAGAGACTACATCGATATTGAAAAAAAAGGAGAGATCCGGAATACCCGATGGAGGTTGTAAGTTTTTGCTCACAGTGAAACGTTCAGGTTGTAGAGTGCTCATATAAAGTATCGACCATGGCCATGAACAAAAGGTCTAAAGTATAAGTAGGACAGGCAGAATGAAACAAAGCAATCCCCAAAGAGCTCAACATTTGAACCATAGTCTACCCCTATTTCTCAACCTCAACATAGCACAGCACCCATCCAAACTGAACAGTATTCGTACTCAATAGCGCAGGTCGATTAATAGTAAACTCCCTGCTACCAGGATCCAGGCCATGCTCGTCCTTGTACATCTGACATGTGATGTCCTGAATGTCGGGTTCGATGGCGCCGCCGGGGAGCGTTACGGCGATGCTCTCGAGGCGGAGCTCGCTGATGGCCAGGTCGTAGTGAGTGAGCTGGCCGAAGGGTACGGTGACTGTCTTTTCTGTGTGTTGACCGCCGGATGGACCTGTGATGGCGAGGATGTTGGCGACGCCCATGTTTCCGGCTGAGGCGGTAGATGCGAGGGCAGCAACGGCTGTGAAGAGGGAGTTGGTGAAGCGCATGATGGTTGAGTGGAAGGTCTTGATGAGTTGTGTTATAGTTTGGTCAAGGTTATTCGAGTAAGCCTGCTTGATTCAACATCAATCCACAGTCCCCAAGACGTCCTTTATATATTCCTACAGGTCGCCGCATATGCCTCTTCCTAGAACCTCGTATAGCTCTCACCTAATTATAGTAATCCAGTGACGCAGATATATCACTCGCCCCCATTCCGTGGGGAATGACGCGCTCCATCAGACCTGTCAGCTCTTGGCTCGCTCTCCACTTACATGAATCATATGACACGCAGGGAATCTGTCGATCCTAGATCTAACTTCCCCACATTAGGTCAGATCAGAAAACTCCGACGGGCCCATAAGGGCGAATGATGCGACGTAGGATTGCAACATCCCATCGGGATATAATTGGCTTGGTAACTTGCTCAGAGTCAGCTCAGTTGGAGGCCTCAAGCTCGTATAGATCCCCTTCCGTAAAGTTCTTTAGAATACCACTGCTGGGTGTCATGCGTTGAGATAGGGGTATAAATGTGACCTGCTCGGGAAGCCGGTAAAACCTCTTCGAAATCGAGGCCAACTTGACTTCCTCCTTGCACCACAGCACTGGTCTTACACTTGTTCCTTTACCCTCATCAATCGTTATTTGAAGCAGAGGCGTCCAAAAGCATGTATCGCGGGGTCTGGACGTTATTCCTCCTAGCATCATACGAGCCCGCCTGCACGTTTCGTCTACGAGAAGGATTTGTTTTCTCACAGGTGGCTTTATTCCTTCTCGTATCCAACATTCGAAGGTTCTCGGCAGTTGTTAAGAAACGGTGCAAATAAACAGTATGTCATTATCTTGCGACACCATGGTATATTTATTCCAACTTTTGTCTCATAAAGCCATTTCTCCTCAAAGGCAACCCATGCCACGTACCACCTCGTACCAACCGTCCATGTCTAGTCGATTTTCTCAAGCCATGATAAGACACTGAACCTCTTGCCCTCTTCACATTTCCACCAGTACGCCTCGTCAGATCTCCACCAGTATGGCTCGTATTCATGCAGCATCCCAGGCGATGTAGCGCCGCTCAGAGCTGCCGCGGAGATGCAGGCCCATTGCAAGTCAATCATGGCCTTGAAGCTGGCGGCTTCTCTCCTTGCCATCCGGATGTCGATGCGCTTCCCCGATGGAATTGACAACCCTGGTGGAACGTTTTGGGCTGCCACTGGCAATTGCGAGGCATGGAGTTGGTTCATGACATGGACCATCTTGGTCCAGTCATTCTTCTTCCCCCCAAGCTCCGCGTGCACCATTGGCTTGGTGTTCTCCAGTTTCGGCATCCAGTGAAACTCGAGAACGACGACAGACTCGCGGTGGCTCAGGTGCTGAACTCTGATGCCTTTAAACGCACATAAGCCACGTGCCCAAAGTTCATGAAGCTTTTCGTTGAGACAAAGCATATTCCAAATTCTGTCCGCGTCACGAATGTGTTTATCGTGTTGATGCATCCAGTCGGTTCCCATGAGGGCGTTTATTGATGGACGCAACAACAGAGTCTTCTTCATGGCTGCCTTGCTGTGGCCCCACGAAGGAGGGAGTATATGGCATACTCTCGGGTTGGGATTTCCTGTGAAGACGCAGACGTTTCCATCTCGCTGGAGACACAGGTTCTTCTCGGGCTGGCTGGCTGGGTCATCGTTGCGGCTTTGAGAAATGAGGGACTGTTCCAAGACTAAAACCTGTTAGTTTTTGAACATACTATTCAAAGGTATTCAACCAGCAGGACTCACAGTGTCGAACTAATGGAGGGAACGTTGTCAGACCAAGATGCAGGAACTCCTCTGTCTGGTCCACTGGCGACAGGATCCGACCCGGCTGGAAAACAGACATCGGTGCCATCATAAGGAGGGCGAGATGGACTGTACTGAGTCGAAAAAATTCTCCCACGGTCCATGTCCGGATCTTAGACTGAATCTCTTTAGCGTATTCGAGTCGCTGGTTCGCGCGGTGCAGGTTCTTTGAGCGAGCCATGATGTCTTGGACTTGGAAGCGTGGGAGAATAGGTCGGGGTGATAGAAAGGGTCAGAGTTGAGTGAGCCGGTCTGGGATCGTCGAGAAGAACATCTTGTTATTTATACCTGCGAGTCAAAGTCGCCATTTTATCAGCTCATAACAAACGTAGAGGATGGGGCGCCTGAATGGGTTCCTGAATGTTCTACAAACGCAACAAAAGACCTTGTTACGGACACCGAGAGAATCCTAAATTAGTGCTCGAAACTCTTGTTCAGTCATTCGCGTTCGGACCTGGCTAAATTACCTTTGTCGGAAACCTCATGACGGCCTAGGCAGCGATTCATGTCGATGATGGACGAAAGTCTGATCAAAGATCGTGTCGTTCTCTCGGCGCGATTCATTGGGCAGGTAATATTGCACATATTCGACTTACTGGAGGCTTGGACTCTTATTTGCGAAGGAACTCGAAAGACTTGGATGTCTGTATTTCTCCCTGAAACTAGTCAACTACAACCACCATCTTCCCACCTGTGTGCCCGCTCTCCATAGCCTGATGAGCAGCCCGAATGTCTTCAAAGGCAAAGACTTTCCACGGCTTGGCGTCAATCTTGCCCTCCGCCACCTTTTCCAGGACACTCTTCAAGGGTACATCAGACACAGGAAAGTCTTTGTTCCCAAACACAAAGCTGCCAAAGAAGCTAAAGTGAACGCCACTCGCCATCTGTAAGAGTGGGTTAAAGCCTCGTGATTCCTCAGGTCCTGCTGGTCCTTTGATCGGGTCGAGCCCTCCGAGCCAGCCGGCTAGACAGAGCCGACCGTCACGGCGGACAAGTCGCAGTGAGTCAACAACAGTGCTGTTGCCTACCAATTCCAACACGCAGTCGAACTTGTTGAAGTCACCGCCCTCGCTAAGACGTTCGCTGAGGTTGGGTGCTTCGACAACGCATTCAGTGACTCCGAGATCTTTGAGTGTCGCAAACTTGGCTTCACTGCGACTTGTGGCTGTGACAATGGCACCCGCTTCGACAGCTAGGTTAACAGCCGCTCGGCCAAAAGAGGAGGTAGCACCTCTGATGAGGATCCTTTGCCTTCGTTGAAGGTTCAGGTTTCGGAAGAGGCAAGTCCAGGCCGTTGCGTAGCTCTCCGGAAGAGCAGCAGCATCAGCCCAAGAGATGGGCAGCTCTTCATCAGGGTTTCCCAGAGCAACAATGTTGGCAGTATTTGCAACCGTATACTCTGCGTAGCTGCCTGGAATCGTGCGACCAAGTCCTCCCATGAGCGCTGCCACAGGTGTCCCAGGGGCAAACTCGCCACCCGGACACTCTTCAATGATCCCAACGCATTCGATGCCGCTGATAGGAACTGATTCAGCCCATTCTCCGCGACGCATGTGCATCTCGGCATGGTTGATGCCAAAGGCCTTGATGCGGATGAGGGCTGTGCCTGGTACTGTGGCAGACGGTTTCGGGACTTGCTTGATGACGAGGTTTTCGACGGGACCAAACTCGGAGATGACGATAGCTTTCATGGTGGTCGACATTCTGGTGATTGTGAGATGCTGTTGCTGGTTTAGTGATGAACTGTGACTGATGGTTGTGTGCTGTGAATGTCAACCAGAGGAAGGGGATGTAGCATACCTATATAGAACTTGGCATTGCCAATCGTCAACCATCTTTCTGTACCACTGTGGTCACTTCAGCTGCGGGTGAATTACAAAACTTTCCGACATTTGAGTTCATGGCATACCCAAGACGCTCACATCAGCGTCGGTTTCTATCAAGGATGGTGTGCCAGCCATCTCAAGTTGCCGGGAGGATGCTACTATCGCAGCAATAAAGATGATTCCAAAGGATGCCAAGCTCAGGGCGCGCCTTTGAGGCTCTGGCCTGACAAATTCAAATCAATATTGACTGTCGGGACAGTTACGTAGCTGGTCCGCGATGCTTGTTGGCTCGTATTGTGCAACCAATCATGGCTCGCCGGATTGATGCAATCTTGACACTTACGGCATGATGACCCAAGGGCCTTTGTAGGTGCTGCAGGTTGATTGTGTCTGTTTCCTTTGTCCGCGGAGGAGTTGTTTAGCATGATGCAATTTGTCTTCGGGAAATTGTCCGTTGTTATTCCCGTCATGGTTAATGCTACGGATGTCGGTTGGGAGTCCCGAGTCAACGCCAAGGATGCTGACTCAGCTATCTTGGTGATCCGGGGTCTCATACATGTACGGGTAGCCGTACAAATAAGATCACGTGATATTTTATACGGCTACCCGTACACATAAGAATCTAATGACTCAGCCCTAGATAAGCCAATCAAAAGCCAGGTTCTATCAGCCACCAGAGCCACACTTAGCCACAGGACCTTGAGCTTATTGCAAGGTGGTTGCAAGCGGCCTTTGCAAGCCGTTGCAAGCTGCCTTTGCAAGCCGTTGCAAGCTGCCTTTGCAAGCCGTTGCTCTGCCCGGCTTCAGCGCATTCAAGGCCTATATTTCAGTGGAATTAAGGCCTATAATTTAGCACGCTCAGGGCCTTCAGCGCAACTTGTAGGGGCTTACATAATAGATCTTGTTTGTACGCCTAGCCGTGTGATGATCACGTGATCTTATTTGTACGGCTACCCGTACATGTATGAGACCCCTGGTGATCCAGATCGGATACCGGTTTCAACTTTTCCGATGCCAAGGCTCGGGGTGAAATTGGTGGTTTTACTGACATATGTTGATTGTGTTTATTTGTTTGAAATAGAGAATAGTTGTAATAATGATCCTAAAGCCTTGTAACTCGTGGATGACTCTTGAACACCGACGATCCGTCCTGTATCCGTTCAGGCTATTTGACTCGGCCCTCGGCGCTCGCTGGCCTCTCCCTCTCCACTCTTTGATACCGTATCCGTACAAAATAATCGGAAATGTTTATCCCCGCAATCCTTTATTTCCCATTGATTATGAATCCGATCTCCAGTTCTGTTGCAGCAACGAACCCTTCGTTGCACATAGCAAGACAGGTTTCAGCACGTTACGAGGAGAGCTTTCGCACCGTAAAGCGTTGAAATGGATGACATCACTACCTCGCGTGGCCAATCGGCTTCGCGTTCCGTCTCTGAAACTCAACGGGTATGCGCCCTGACCAAGCCACCAGCCCAGTAACTGACACAGCCAAGGTCGATGAGACATCCCCGGGAAACAACCGTGACGAAAAGGCTGTGTATACCGAGGCAGAGACCGCGTCTCAAGCAAATCGTCGGCAAGATGTGGAACAGCAATACCAAGACCCAGGCCCTGCACCAGACGGAGGATGGATAGCTTGGATGGTCGGTGAGTTGACACTCACGCACAACATCACGGAGCTCATATCCTGACAGACCGAAAGTCGTGAGCGGCCATTTCGTCGTCATGAATAGCTGGCAAGTATACTCTCCCATCTTGTGTCACGCATCTAACCTCTCCCAGGGGCATCATCAACTCGTTCGGCGTCTTCCAACCATACTACGCCCAAATGCTCAACCGCGCCCCCTCCGATATATCCTGGATCGGCTCCTTCGAAGTCTTTTTCCTCTTCTTTGTCGGAACCTTTACCGGCCGCATGACGGACGCGGGATACTTTCGACAGCTCTTCGCTCTAGGCTTCCTCCTCGTTATCGTCGGTTGCTTCGCTACCTCCTTCTGCAAGACGTACTGGCAATTCTTCCTCGCTCAAGGAATCTGCATGGGTCTAGGCAACGGCTTCATCTTTTGTCCCTCGATGGCTACCATATCGACATACTTTGAGAAGCGCCGTGCTCTAGCCATGGGGGTCGCTGCCGCCGGGAGTGCTACTGGAGGTTTGGTCTACCCGAGTATCATGAGGCAGCTCCTACCTTCGGTTGGATTTCCTTGGGCCATCCGTGCCATTGCCTTTGTCCAGCTTGGAACTCTGGGAGTAGCAGCTTGCTTCCTCAAGTCTCGGATCCCACCCCGTAGGTCGGGGCCATTGGTTGAATGGTCTGCGTTTAAGGAACTTGAATACTCCTTCTACGTCCTTGGTTCTTTCATGGTGGGTTCTCTCTCCCCTATCAACTTAAATATCCAAGGGCTGACTAACAAATCCAGGCTTTCTGGGGAGTGTACTTTGCCTTCTACTACCTCGCAGCTTATGCTCGAGACGTCCTCGGCGTCAGCTTCACCAAATCCCTCGACGTCCTCCTAGTCCTTAACGGAACTGGCGCAATCGGCCGTGTCATACCAAACTACATCGCAGACCGCTACGGATGCCTCACAGTCCAGATCCCGTTGGCTCTCGTAACCGGGGTAATGATGTACTGCTGGGCAGCCATAAAGTCCACCACAGGCCTATTCATCTGGGCCGCCATCTACGGGATATGGACTGGAGGTGTGCAAAGCATGTTCCCCGTCGGCCTCAGCAGCATGACATCCGATCCTAGCAGGCAGGGCACCAGGCTTGGCATGGCTTTTACGATTGTTAGCTTCGCGACGCTGACGGGCCAGCCAATCGCTGGGGCTATTATCAAAGCGCAGGGTGGTCAGTACGTCGGGGCCCAGGCTTTTGCGGGGAGCTGCTTGATTCTTGGCAGCTGTTCCTTTGTTATCGCCAAAGGCATCAGGGCTAAGAAGCTAGATCAGGGTTGGAAGGCAAAGGTGTAAGCAAGGGGGTACAGTTCTTTGTTCTCTCTCGCTGCTAGGGCTCTAGTTAGAAATCAGCCCAGTCCCGTCAAATTGAAAAGATGTCTCCTCTCCGTTTGTCATTCAGAAACCACAAAAGCTGGTTTCTCGGATACTTCAAACATTGGAGGGTTTTGTCGCCGTTTGGCCGAGTATTTATAATGGACAGTGACACCGCATTGCCACAAACAAACAGGGACTACAAGGTGAACTAGGCAGTTCTCTATCAAAATACATCTAACCCTAACCAGAATGCCATCGATATTCTCAACACTCGGCGCCGCCCGAAGAGACCAAGCGCAAAGCCAGATTGCACTGTCCCGGTTCTCGGTGGTATTCCGAGCAAGGGTGGGAATCCCGACCTAAGAGGAACTCCAAGCATAGCCGGAATGAAGGAATGGCTTCATCGTATTGGTCACTCGGTATGTCCTTTTCGAAAACCTCGGAGCTACTCTGACCAAGAACAAAGACAGCTGACATCGACCGCCTCAACGTCATCCATGTCGCCGGTACCAAGGGAAAAGGCAGCACCTGCGCCTTCATCGAATCATTCCTCAGAGCTTACGGGAAACGAGCCGGCTTCCCACGCAAGACGGGCATCTACACATCGCCGCATCTCATATATCCTGAGGAGAGAATCCGCCTCGATTTCCAACCCATTGACCAGAACCTTTTCGCAAGATACTTCTTCGAGGTGTGGAATGCACTGACTGGAAGTTCAGAAACCTTGCCACGTTACCTTCAGCTTCTCGCCCTGGTCTCTTTCCATACCTTTATCAGAGAGGGCGTTGAAGCAGCCATCGTTGAGACTCATCACGGAGGCGAGTACGACGCTACCAACGTCATCGAGCACCCCATCTTGTCCGTCATCACTACACTCGGGATGGACCATGTGAAGCAGCTGGGGCCTACCATTGAGGACATTGCCTGGCACAAAGCAGGCATCTTCAAAACCGGATCCCCTGCACTCTCGTCTCTCCAAGAAGCTTCTGCGGCCGAGGTTCTTAGGAGTCGCTCATCAGAGAAAGGGGTTAACCTTGAGTTTGTCGAGTTGAACTCGACTCTCCCGGAAGATGCACCCCAACTGAGGCACTATGTACAGCGTATTAATTGCTCTGTTGCACTGGCAGCTGCTGATCGTTTTCTCCGGGAAAAGAACGCTGGACCATTGTCATCCTCGGATAAAGCCCAGGGAATAAGTCAGTTTTCGTGGCCGGGTCGGTTCCAGCATATGGTACAGGATAAGTTCAACTGGTTTCTTGACGGTGCCCATAATGAGATGAGTGTTGTCAAAGCTGCTGAGTGGTTCATTGATAACACACAGGGCCAAAGGTGCCGTGTCTTGATGGCTGCTGCCAGTATCACGCTGACCCCTAGACAGAGCCGCCCCTACGCGTATGTTGATCTTTGGTCAAGTCTCAAACCAGAGGGATGAAGTATCAGTGCTCAAGCGCTTGGCCAAAGTTCTCTGCCGCGTCCAAATTCACCACGTCATCTTCACTCTGTACGATCCAAGGCAGGGGTTCGATGCTGAACCCACCCCAGGTCAGAGCCAACCTCTTCCTTGTGAAACCATGATCTAATTACCGAGTAGCCATAATTTCTGGTCCCGAAATCGTATCTCAGAGGGCATGTGGTGAAGCATGGAGGAGGTTGCACCAGAATTCCCGTGTCATCTATACACCTAGCGTCAGCCATGCCCTAGCTACTGCTAGGAATCTTGGGGTAGCATCTGGAGTAATGCAGACACTTATCACAGGAAGTCAGCATCTTGTCGGTGCCGCACTGTTTTGCCTCAATGGTGGCGCTTTGGCTTAGGAGGCCCGAACCACCCCGCGGGGAGACATAGTCACTGATACGACACCACCCTTCAACAAACACCCGACAAGCCGTCATCGTATAGGGGTTAGTACATCAGTTTGTGGTCTCTTGAAGCACTGAAAACGCAAGTTCGAGTCTTGCTGACGGCAAGCCATTTCTTTTTGCCATTTCTTCTTATTTCAGGGGCGTTCAGCCTGCATCGGTCATGAATCATGATGATGTGACCACGAACACGCCATGCATCAGCAGTGTCCCCGGCCAGGATTCTGAAAGTGCGTTGATGGGTAGGCAAGACAACGCTGCCAGGCCGGGTTTCTGTCAGAAGGCCGTTGGTCTGTCAAATCGAATGGGATCACCTAGCCCCGTTGACCCATCAAGTCGAATGGATGGTTGGGTACATTATATTTAAAGATAGATTAGATTCATTAACCTTTTTGACTTGCTACATCATCTCATCCATGTCGTGGCGGGTTGTTCATCCCAAATCCCGTCGATGTGGTGAATTGAATGGCTGCTTCACGGGGTGAACTGGGCCACTGGAACGGCCACCCTCAAGGACATTGGCGTTGGGACGTAAATGCCCCTACACTCCCTCTTCCTAGTCTCGGGACGTTTCTGGGAGCCATTCGCAGCCAGTCAGGGCAGTCCAGAAGCCCTTCGAGGGGAAATCCGGGCGGTTTGTGTGCGGAAAACTAACGGGGTGGAACACCCCCAGCCCAGCGGACACCAAGGCTGGCGACAAATACCAGATGACACTACCAATCCAAGTCAGCAAAACAATCATAGTCAACGGTGCTGTGACGGCTAAATGTGTTTGGCAACCAGAATCCCATCAACATTTTCAAAGTTTAAAGTGCTCGTGGTATTCAAGACCCATTCTATTGACATCCCCAAGGTGGTCTCTTAGGACTTGAAAGAAAAAGGCCGTCACTAGTCCCCCTTCTTCTATTTCTGACTTCTCCAGCACCAGTAGGACGGCGCCTCTTCAACAGGTAGCTCTTGATAGGACAGCACGGACAAGCTCAACGGTCCTGCGGTCCCGTTTCAACGTTTCAGGAGATTCCAATGATATTGATATTCAAAATAAATCGATAACGAGGTCGTCTTCCTTGCTGTCGTTCTCGTAGGTGATGTAACGTTGGTAGGGGGGGCTGGGAACGGGGATGTTTCTCGCGGGGGGCACAAGAGCTCGAGGGCTTCTCTGATTTCAAAGATGTCTGGGAAGCTGTGTTAGCAGATGACGAGATCAGGCAAAGAAGGGAAGGTCCGCCACTATCTGGGGCTTACAGGGAGGAGTAGATTGGCCAGTGATGTTGGTGCACTTCCTCAGAAAGTCAATTTGTCTTGGTCTCTCCCTGAATCGTTTCGCCTAGCTGTAGGAAGCTGACGAGCTTTTCAAAGGTTCATTGACAAGTGTGAAACTAGATACGGTTAGAAATGTCTCTCTAACTTCAGATGCAATGGATGCAGATGGGCGGCCAGGTTGTAGAGTCTTCGAAGACAGAATTTTCCAAGGTGACTAGTAAGGGCCTCTCGTCCTCTCGTCGCACAAGAATAAATCAAACAATATCCTCTTTTTCAAGAACAAAGGGTAGCCTGCTAGAAGCAAACGTGATGATCCTCACCAAACCATCCGCACTGATGAAGTCCAAATCAGCCCTTTGATGACTCAGCTTCGAGATTTCCCGCGCACCTCGTCGGGGCCACGGTAGCACACACTGCCTTTCCGGTCAGGTCGAAGATACTTTTGTTATACCTAGTTTGATAGTCTTTTGTCAAGCCATTTTGTTGCTCTTTGATTTGACTGACATTCGTTGTCAAAGGGAGAGTACTTTTCCCGGCCCAGCTTCTACATCTCGTCTTCCCCTGAGCCTTGGTCAATGGTGCTCGTACGAGCAACTGCGAAAACATCCAAGCACCACCACCACTTTGAGTCCAACACTCTCTTCAAACGCAAAGCTCATCTGTGAGTCCGACTTTCTGTTTCAATCATCGCTTTGTCCTTAAGGCCCAGATTCGCCATGCTTTCAGGGGGCGAGGATGGTGTCCACCGGTTGCTTAGAACGACTGCAGATTCTCCAAGGCTCAGGTCTACAATTCAGGTCTCTTCATTTTTCCCTTAGATTTCCCAAAGATTGTACTGACTTTTGGTTCTCCTCAGGGAGTCAGATTACCAAGAATCGTGCCAAAACCTCTCCCTCGAGCCCACACCTTGCCTCCCAGGGCACGACCTCCTCAACGTTCTGTCACTCTACGAAGCCCTCGAGGGCATTATCTGACACCCATCTCCGTTTCTCAAGCCTTTTGCTATATCTCAGACAGTTTCTCCTTGTAGAAGTCTCTCGGCAGAAAAAGAGTAACTGGTACAACGGCCCTGCAGCACAGATTGGAAGACTCAAAGCTTAGGAAAGCCACGGCGTTGGGATAATGTAGTCAGAAGTAATTTGATTTTATATTCTACTTCTGCTCTAACGCATGGCTACATGAGAACTTCAGTGGTCCCTGAGAGCGAGGGGGCCCCCCCTTGGAGAACTATGAGAGCCAGGGGCGTTCTTGGACTGGAACTCGGGCACTGCTGGCTTGACGGGTATCTGGTGAACTGCAGGGAGGTATCAAGATATTAAACAGCATGAGCCTCTTTTTTCATGGAGTTGTTCTACATAGAGTACATAGTCTGCCTCAAGATCTAGATCCGAATACCGTAGTCCCAAACCCCCTTGGCCCGCCGACTCTGAAAATCCCACCAGACAGCCCCGGAAGGGTTTCTCCGGTAGGCAGCCATTTTCCAGCAGCACGCTGCGTCGGATCTTTGACAGACAAAAAGTCAGGTGACCGTGATCGCGTCTCCATGGAGACGCGTGATGTTCGTATCATTTGCCACAGTTCAGACTACGCGTGGCGGCATCTAGAGAAACACGTCTACAAGGCATCACGAGCAGAGACGAGAAGGTTTACAGAGCGAAATTTCATTCTGTACTGTGGATGTTACAAAAAAGCTATCCTGCCCTTAGGGCAGTGGCCCTCGACCGGCCTCGAGTCAGATTCCTTTCCATGCTGCTGCTTCCATCACCCGCAGTCAGTGACCATGTTCCCACCCTCATCAGCTGTGCTGATTGTTGAGTGACAGTTCCTTGAGTCCTCCATTGAATGGATCATCTCGTCAGTTGTGAAATGATGGTGCAAAAAGTGAGTGGCGTGTCAAGTGTTCCCCGTAGAACCGACCCTCTACGTGCGTCCAGGCCACTTGGATCGCACTTGAACTCGGATGAGTTCTTCAGAGGGCGATGTTGGTGTAGCCGCGTTCCTTGGGGGGGGCGGCAAACTTGAGGCCAAACTTGAGGAAGTAGAGCTTCCAGCCCTCGAGAGAATTGACGTCGGCCTGGGTGAGGCGACCCGTCTTGGCATTCAGGAGAATCTTGTCGACGATCTTCTTCGCCTTGCGAATCATGACACCCAGGAGCAGGTGAACCACGGTGGGATAGAAGACGTTGATCAAGTGCACAACAGTGAATCCCAGCAGGAGACAGCCGAAGGAACCCTCGGGGGTGACAAATCCAGAAGCGAAGCAGACGATAGCGCTGTAGTCAGAGTTAGGACAGCCATTCCCGACGAAAAGAAGCACGGTTGATACTTACATGCCAGTGCCAAGGTTGAAGTAGTCGATGACAGGCTTGGTGATCTCGTGGTGGTCCTCAATGATGGAGATGATGCGGCCCAGAATGTTGAGCTGACGGGTGGCGTCAAGGGAGCTCTTGATGTAGAGTCTCTCCTGAACGCGACCCATGTAGCGAGCCAGATACCAGAAAGCTAAAGAGAGTACAGTTAGCAACGTGCCATGAAACAGACGCAAGGTGAGGAGTGGCTTACTGCGAGAGACGCCAGGCTGGCTGGCAGAGATCATAGCACGAGCGTAAGTCTCGAAAGCGACGAGATGAGCAACCATGAAAACCTTTGCAAACCCGTGGCGGGACTCGAAGTCGGCCATGAGGTCAGGGCCAAGGCTGACGATCTCAACGTCGGTTCCCTCGATGACCATGCCGCGGGCGAAGGCTTCGCCGTTGTTGCGGCGGGTGTCGACAAGATCCTCATGATGAGCATGGGTGTAGCGCACAAGGGCGCGCTCGCGCTCGTACTGGGTCATCAAATCCATGGTGATGAGGAGTCTCTTGAATCTTGAAGGGAAGAGAAACAAACAGTCAAGCGACTTGGGAAAATCAAAGAGAGGATGCGGGTGATAGCAGATGCTCAAAGGGCTTTGTGATGATGCGTGCTGGGGAACGATGCGCTTCGCGACAAACTCTTCGACGAAGAAAAGAATGCTTTGAAGAAAAGGATACTTGAAATAGTCTTGACGACTCTTTCGAAGAAGTGAGGGTGCGGTTGCAAAAGGGAAAAAGTGAGGGTGAGTGGGAAGATTCTCCTGGGGAAGAAGAGAGAGAAGCGGGGAGAGTTTTGTTTTTCTGAGCTGGCTCTGTTTATATGCCCGCGTGGGAACGCTTGACACTGACGGCTGGCACTGGCAGGATTTGGGAACTTATCAGCCAATCTCGAGCGTGTCCCTCTTTGGAACAGTTCCAGGGAGTTCGGCCACTACGGACGGTTAGGCCCAGGGGTTTGATATTGGATTTTCAGTGGTCTTTTGCAGCTGCACTACCCGTATGCCGACAGCCAGAGCAGTACCTAGCCTCTAAATGAAGCCCTGGTGATGCATCATGCTCCCTAACTTGCTTGTGCATCGTTGATTGTTCCGACGTATTACACCCTCCCAAGTTCTCGAGTCCTCGAGTCCAATACACCTCGACAGAAGTCATTTCTTTGTTCTATTCACTTCTCTGCATGCCTGTGAGCGTCATCTAACACTCTGCGTTGCAAGGTAGTCGTGGTGCATCGAAACCCTTCATCCCCGACCAGGTGCAGCACCCGTCAGTCCGCTTCAGCTCTCTTCCACGACTCCAATCTCGTCCCAGACACCACTACGCTCCTCCAGAAGGACCTCTTCAAGCTCTACATATACATACTTGTCTGTCATTGACAGTGCTTCCGACTGAGTCCAGCGAAACCTGCCGATCTAGACGGTCGCTACCTTGAAACTCGACCTCTGCACATCGCCCGCGCAAGCTACCCAGGTATAGCATCTCTCAGGGACAGAGATAGATGCTTTTTACTGCTCCTTTGAGTCTCTGGCTAACTAGCATCCTGGTTTCGCTTTGAAGAAATCGTTTCGCTACAAGCTCCGGTGCTGCTGGCTGTACTCCAGACCGACATTTCTCTCCCTCGCCCTCTCCCATGAAGATCCGACCGTTCAATCATCACATTATCTCAAAGAAAAGCTTCTCAACTACTTCTTTCCATCAGGGGTAAGTTCCCCTGTTCCATCAGGAGGGACTATGAAGCAACCGTACTGACTTACACTACCAAACAGTTCCTACGATCGACACCATGAGAAGATTCCAATTCCCTCGAGCCAGACCGTGGCATTCTTCGATCGTCTCCAACTTCCTGCTCAAGATTTCTTCCTTTGCTCTGGGAACCGTTGTCGGCGGAAAGGGGGTCGAAGACCTTTGGTACATCAGACACCATGCCAGCCCCAAATACTACTTGCTCCCCGTCCCCCAGAGCTCTCGCCGGATACCTGTCAGAGCCAGTATGGCAGCTATAGCTTCCTCGTAGTACAAGAGTATGTGGGCGTTCTTCTGTGAGCTGGTTCGAAACGTGCGTCCAAAGGCTATCCTGGTCCCATTCGACGCTTTCCATTGCCGACGTGGACGAAGGGCAGTCAAACTACCACCAGGTATTTCAGGGGCAGGTCAAGGGCATCTTCAGGAGTCAGCTTTGATCTTCTTAATATTCTTGCTTGGCATCTATAAGTATATTTGAGTTGGAGTGGAAGGCATGTCTTACACAGCAAGTAACAGCCGACCTCACACTTCTGAAGCTTTGCTAACGACTATGCAGTTACCAATCCCATACCTTTCCTCTCTCGAGCGTTCCAAGATTCCAAAGCTACATTCGATACGGTTTAATAGACTTGAGTCGTCAGGATTGCTCTTCCGTCGACGGGGAAGGGGGAGAAGAGATGCTAGTTGACGAATCTCAGGGTAGGCACGGCGGGATCTTGGGAGTCAGGTCTAGAAGAAGAGCTTCTCTACATCAACATATGCGGTTCCTTAATCATATACTACAATTTTGAGGATTTACGGAGGGTAGAGCAGACGAGAACAGGTTTGACAGTGTAGAATCAAGCTGGTCAGCACCATTCGAGCTGCGAGCTGCGAGCTGAAGCAGACGAGGTCTCAGCTACCCCTGAAATCCACCTGGAAAATCAAAATCAATTTTGAACTTCATAAATAGTTGATTTCTATTATCGTCTTCGAGCGTAATTTTCTGTTTTTTTTATGTTGGAATTCCATGTCTCCTCGTACGCCTATCCTGATTCATCGTAAGTGGCTCTGCAGATGGTTTTCGCGGGGCGCAGCGGCATCGGCTTTCGACAGATATGTTGCGTCACAGCATGGATTTCCCGGTAATTTACAGGGGCCGCGTCCACTGAAAGGCTGTTTCCCCCACTGCCTGTCGTAAACCGTATTGCTGCAGTTTGCGTTGCCAACATCTCCCTCACCCACCACAATCATGACCAGTCCTAGCATGACAGCCGCTATTTTCAAGTCGATTCAAATGGTGTGAGCTTGGTACGCCTTGAGTATGTATAGCTGACCTGTGGACAGAAATCCAACATGTCCTGCAACGAGCCTCCAAGTGCAAACCGCCAGCCGCAGAAGCAAAAGAATCCAACATGAAGCCGTCGACACTCTCCCTCCTCTGGCTTCCTCTAGTCTCTTCATACTTTCCCCCAACTGTCCCAGTCCTCCGTCCTCCAAAGTTCTCATCAGATGGAAACCTCGCCGGCTCCTTGGCCAAAAGCCTCAGGGATCTCGTGCAGTCAGGCGAGCCGTGGAACGCTTCGACAAATACCTTCTCCATCAAGATGACCAGCAAGGAAGAGACTCTCTCCAGATTCTACCATACCTCTGATAATGTCAACAAGACTGGCCTCAGCAAAGTGACCAGCGGTTCCATCTACCGCGTGGCCAGCGTCACAAGAGTCTTCACCATCCTGGCTCTCATACTCCGCTTCGAAATATGTGCCAGAGTTAGCCAGGTTCAAGCAATACAAGCGCATCAGGCTCATTGTGTTGGCTAGTCAGCTTAGTGGTGTTCCTTGTGAAGGCAGCCAGTCCTGCTCTGCTGCTTCGACTCGTTCCAGCCCCTAGTTGACTAACACGTTGTAGGACACGCTTTCGACCTAGCTACAGGACTTGAATCGAAAACTCTCCAAGCTCTAGGCTTCCCAGAAGCACCTCTAACCCTTGATTCTTCTGTCTGTGGCCCTACTGACACTGGACTGTGTAGTCGCGCTGGTCAGTAGGGTCTGTTGTCAGCCATCTCTACGCTTCTTCTAATAGTATCTAGACAGAATTCTTCGAATCCCCCAAGGACAACAACCTAACCTGGCAGCCGGGCCAGAGAATATCCTACTCTAACGGCTGCTCCATCGTCCTGGGCTTTGTTCTAGACAAGATGACTTCGATGAAGTTCAAAGACATCACCTACGAGAAGATTTTCAACCTCCTGGACCTCTCCCCGGCCACTGGCCTCAAGCTTCAAGACCCGCTACGGGCAGTACTACTCCCTCACGGTGGGTTCGAGCTGGTGTCTGTTCCCCTAGGTAGGGAACTATGATCAGTGAGCTAAATCCTCTCTCTTCTATGAATCAACTACTAACTGCTTTCGAAGAATAGCTGGGTTGTACACAACCCCTGAAGACCTCGCGAAGTTCGTTCGAAGAATCCTCTACCACAACCTCCTTTCCGTCCCCCGAACCGACCTCTGGCTCAAGCCTACCTCTTTCCCCTCGACCGCTAAAGATGCAGCTGGCATGCCCTGGGAGACCTACCGAGTTTCAGATCTGACAGCCTCTCCTCGGCCTGTCGACGGTTACTCCAAACGGCGATGGCGACCTGTACGCTGCCTACATCGTCATTATCCCCGAGTATGATTTAAGAGTCACGATCCACGTCTCAGGGCCAGGCAGCTACGCAGTTGGAAGAGTTCTACTGAATCTCATGGTTCAGGAGGTAGTGCGTTACTTCAAGAACCTAGCTCGCGAGCAGGCACACAGCAATACACCGTGCAATACACGAACGACAAAGACTCCCTGGCTCTCACTGCTACTCAAGGTCATGGAATCAAGATCACAGAGTCGACAAGTGAGGCCAAGTCTATGCCGAAGGCTTAGGCAGCGATGAGTAGCAGCAACGATCCCAACGTCGACGCACGCGCCTGTCCAGTCGGCGAGAACGAGCGTTGGAGTGTACTATTCGAGTCTATCACCAACTGGAGGTCTGTGACTGATATTTTCAAAGATTACTACGGCAACTGGTTCTCAGTTGACCAGTTCCGGTATCAGGGGTCGCCGATGGACGAGATTGACTTTGTCACCGAGGATAGAGTGATCAAGGGGCTCAAGGTCCCAGGCATGAGGCAGGAGCTTTCAAAGAAATCTCAGAATATATTAGAAGCTGTATATGAGTGCATGCAAGAGACAGTAGGGGCACAATTCAGTGTAGAGCCAAACATCATGGTGATTTTTTCAAAGTGCGCACCACGGGCACCACGCACCACGACGTTGATTTCTCTAGATTGCTTCCGTGCATTTCAAAGGGCATAGTGAGAATTGCATCATACAATAGATACAAAGGATCTAGCATCCGGCTGTTTGTCCATCAAGGTCAGCTGCCATTGTCGAGTCCCCTGACTGAATAGCTTGCAGTGCACGCGGGAGCAAACGACAGTGGATATTCGGCCAGTGCTGTTCAGGCACCGACTCACCTATACGGTGACTGTAATCTGCGGCACTGTGACTGGCCCGTTGCCTGGCAGCACGAACTTGGAATTGTTCTGCGCCGGATTTCAACTTCTGCTCGTCAACCCCTCCTCTACCAAACACCAACGGCATTCGATATCAAAGCATTGTATTTGAGCATTCTCTACGACTTTAAGCCTTCCGCATCTCCAGGTATGATATTCTTTCAGGTTCCGAAGGTATCATACTCATCTTCCTCTTCAGTTTCTTCAGTTGCGCAAGCATCCCCGAGTCTCCTTCAGTTCACCAGCTTCTCCTATCGACACCAACCACCATTCTACTACCGGTACAGTCACTCCTCACTCCTCATTGCATCCTAAGCTCAGATAGCTAACAAGTCTCTCCTGCAGAAAATGTGCTGGTTTGACGTTGCCCCCTCCAGAATGGTCTGCGGCCACCGCGGCCCAGACGAACTCCTCCGCATGCGTTGGTGCTGCGATACCAAGCCCTGCGGTGATTATCACCTGAACTACTTTGGGCTCACTCGAAAGCGAGACCCCTGCGTCGACTGCATTCTCGACCGAAGCTGGGTTCTGGTGAGCGGTCGTTGGCGCAAGTTTTCCATTCTGATGTGAGAGGAGAACATGGCCAGGGAGAGTTGACCTACGCCTCATCTTTGCAAGCAATGGAGGATACTTGATCACAATGGACATGCCATGGATTTTAATGGGCTTTGAGGCATGATTTCAAATTACTTCTTTTATGAAGCCAAATGGTATTACTGGCACTGGCACTATTATTCTGTAGCTGGTAGCCAAGCATCTTCTGAGTCACACTCCACCACCATGCGCCACACCATGATGCACTGCCAAATCTCGTGATGTAGATACAATTTCCTGTCCAATCCAACATGCTTCGTTTGATTTTCTAATTCTTCTCAAAAGGAATGAGGAGCCTATTTTTTGTCGCTTGGTAGTAAGTGCTCATTAGTATGCTGTCTCTGCGCCTCTTTTTCATCCGCCCTCTGCTTCGCCTGCGTTCCGCAATACAAGTGTAAGTGCAAAGACACAACACCAAGAATTAGACAACAATTACATCTCCAATCTCTACCTTCATCAACCTTCCCTCTATCAATCCCAAATAAAAGGAGTTGAGCATTGTTCCCTGCACGTCTATAATACGACGCTGCCAGCCAATCAACGCTGTGGACACGTCGGTGGGTCGAGAGATCGTCGGTACAAGTCTCACCCACACCAACGTCCATCCATCAACGTCGCCCCCCGACGAGCGAAAACCCGCCTCAACGCAAAGTCCCAATGTCCCCTCGACCATGTCTCCGTCCTTGGGCTCGACTGTCCTCCGCCTCCTAGCCATCTCGTCAGCCTGGACGCCTCCGACCCAAGCCCAAGCCCAGAACCAAGAGTCCAATCGCGCCGACTCGTCGACGTCCACCACCGTTTCGTCCTGCGATGCCCGAACCATCAACTACATCACCCATACCCTCCCGCAGTCCTGTCTGACGAGCTCCTGGTCGAGCGCAACCGCCTCGGCAGCCAATGCGACCGCCGATACTCCGTCCAACGTGACCAGCAGCGATGCGCCGCAGTCCTCCAGCGCAGACGCCGAGTCCCAATCGCCCACCCCCGCCGCCACCGCCGAGGGCGAAAAAGATGCCGCAGGCGAGGAACCATCAAAACCCTTCATGTCCTTTGAGGACTGGAAGGAGATGATGCTTCGGAAGACAGGTCAGGACCCCCAGGACCTGCGATCTCGAAACAACCAGCCTCGTCGCGCAGAGGACAGGATACCCCCGGACATGGGCCACGCCGGCCTCGGCGAGGAGGACGAGATATCTCTCAACTTTGACAGCTACCTTGATAACGCCGGGGAGCAGAAAAATCGCCCCTCTAGCGGCGACGTCGAGATTCCCAGGAGGGACGGCGCAGGCAAGGAGGTCGTGTACGAGATCCACAAGACCAAAGACGCCGGCAAGACATGCAAGGAGCGCTTCTCCTACTCGTCGTTTGACGCCGGCGCAACCGTTCTCAAGTCGAGCCCCGGCGCAAAGAACGCCAAGGCCATCCTCGTCGAGAACAAGGACTCGTACATGCTCCTCGAGTGCTCGGCCCCTCAAAAGTTCGTCATCGTCGAGCTCAGCGAGGAAGTCCTCATCGACACCGTCGTCATTGCAAACTTTGAGTTCTTCTCCAGCATGGTCCGCCTATTCCGTGTCAGTGTTAGTGACCGCTATCCCGTTAAGCCCGACAAGTGGAAGGAGCTCGGTTCTTTCGAGGCGAGGAACTCGCGAGATATCCAACCCTTCCTGGTGGAGAATCCGCAGATCTGGGCCAAGTATGTCCGCATCGAGTTCCTGACTCAGTATGGCAACGAGTATTATTGCCCGGTGTCATTGATCCGTATCCACGGTTCTCGAATGCTTGAGTCGTGGTTACGTGATGATGAGAATCATGACGATCATGAAGAGCCTCAGCAGCTACCCAGTCCAGAGGATGAATCTGCAAAGCCCCAGGAGATTGAGAAGCCTCAGGAATCCATCGTGCCAACATCGACTGAAAAGATGCCGTATTGTGAAGTCGAGGACCCCACGATGCTGTTCCTGGCCCCATTGGTCTGCCCTGCCTCGTTCAACGCAACGACAGGAGTTCCCAGCCAGCCTGATACCAGTTCTATCGAGGGAATTAGCGCAAGCTCTCAGAACGTATCAACGGAGGATAGGGAAAGGAGTGGTGCCTCGACACCTCACGTCCGTAGGGCCGAATACCCAGCGACGGAAGATGCCACATCCTCGTCATCTTCATCAACCGCATCCCCAAGCGCAACACCAGCCATTTCACCAACCAGCCCTTCTTCCATCTCTTCATCGAGCGCCAGTACCGGCTCAAACTCGACAGCTCCAGCAACAAGCGCCAAGGCAGCTTCAACCTCATCCACCTCGACCTCTAGTTCGGCCTCCACATCCATCGCAAAACCCTCACCAGCAAACACGGCCAACCCCAAAAACCGCACAACCGCCACGACATCGAATTCTCCCGCATCCCCCACTGTCCAGGAAGGCTTTTTCAAAGCCATCTCCAAGCGTCTTCACCAAGTCGAATCCAACCTCACACTCTCCCTCAAGTATGTCGAGGACCAGGCTCGCCATATGTCCGACACCCTCCACCGCACGGAGCAAAAGCAAATCTCCAAAGCGACCCTATTCCTGGACAACCTCAACCAGACTGTCCTTGCCGAACTGCGGTCCGTCCGGGAGCAGTACGACCAGATATGGCAGTCTACTGTCATCGCACTGGAAAGCCAGCGCGAGCAGTCGAACCGCGAGATCGTTGCTCTCAGCACCCGTCTGAACCTTCTCGCCGACGAGGTCGTCTTCCAGAAGCGCATGGCCATAGTGCAAGCTGTGCTTCTTCTGTCCTGCCTGCTGCTCGTCATCTTCTCTCGGGGTGTATCTCTCCCTTACCTTGCGCCCTTCATGGACCAGGCCAGCTTGGCCTCGTATGACGCCTCAGCTTCGTCACCAGGTCGTGTTCGCGCTCTGTATGGGAATTCATACGATACCGATGGGGAAGATCCGTCTCTGTTGACGCCTGGGTCGAAAAGAGGCTACATGCCCCTGTCGTCATCAGCTAGAGACGTGTCTTCTGCTGATCTTCGTCGTCGCACTTCGTTCGTCGACGACTCTCGTCTTGAATGTGAGCAGCTCTCGCCGCCTCCAACACCCGGGCCTGCTGATGGTTATACCTCCTCGACGGATGCCCCTCTCTCATCTCATGAATCCCAGCCTGCTGTCCTCAGGCGCTCCCCTGCCATGCATCCAAACAGCTCACGTAAACCCTTACCTGCTTTACCTGAGAATCCCTCATCCCCATAAATCGCGGCTGGCCGCATAGATAGTAATGGCGTATTTTCTTCGGCTACTAGATTGTTAGAGGTACTTTTCACAACGTGAAATGCTTCGTAGTGACGTGACAGGGACGCCAGCTGCCAAGCACTGACATGCACACACATGCATCACTGCCAAACTCTTGTTGACCCATATCATTGATTCCATATAGCTACGAAGAGCTACTTCTTCCTGTGACTATTCGAGACGACCAACCGAGATAATGCAGACCAGGCCATAGCCTTCAAACCCTGGAAAAGCCTCCGAAATCGAATTCTGTGCGTCAAGCCAATGGGCGTAGTGCCAATGTGCCTCAACGACCACTCAAGGAGCAAAATGACTTTTGAAAAAAATCAAAAATCAAAATGACTTCTGAAGAGGAAGAGTGATGTGATCCAAGCCTCAACGACGCATGTTGAGGTCGCGGGCGTAGTAAGGCCCGATGGTAGTCTCGTGCATCTCCTCCAAGACGGCGAGACGAGTACCCCGGTCGTACTGAGAGCGACGACGGCGCTGCTCGTCGCGGTAGTGCTGGCCAGCGTTGGGAGTGAAGAGCCCTGTGGCAAGTGGAGTCAGCATATGAAACAAGACTGGGATAGAAAAACACTTACCGACATGCTCAGCATTCTCGCAAGATCGCTTCATCTTAGAGTGGTTGTCAGGACCGGGGAACGGCTCCTCACGGCCAATCAACTGCTGATCCTCGCAATGCTCAGTGTAGAACAACTAGGCACGTTAGAGAAGGAACAGAAAATGGTGGAGGAAACAGCTTACCTTAGGACGGTAGTGTTCCGCCTCCAACATCACCGACGAGTTTCTGAACTTCTGAACAAGGCAGTCCTTGCCTTGAATGGCTAATTCGTGTCAGTTGCTGCCGCTTCATCAAAAAGAATGTAAACTTACTGGCATAAGACACCTCAGCCACCTTGTCGGAACGGAAAAGGTTCCTATCGGGTTATTAGATATGATGGGACCAGACTCACTATTCAGATACTTACCAGCGCTTGTTGGCGCGGTGCTCAACAAACTGCGTCACCAAGTCAGTTGTGCCTACACGTAGGCTCCATCATGGACGTTTGACATACAGGAATGATGTACTCCGCCTAAGGTCATCAGCATGGAACATGAATAAGAGTGTGTCGGAACTTACCTTGGCGAAATTGATGAATGCATATCCGACACTAAAAAGAATCAGCACTGATCATGTCCACAAAACAGAAGTAACTTACTTGCAGTCATTCGCGAAATCGATTCTCAAATACATGAAATCGTATTTCCCAAAGCTCGACTCATCAACGAAACGCTTGAGCATGGGCTGATCGACCTTGTTGGGAATGTTGCGCAGCATGATCTGTTCACACATCAGCATCTGAAGGAGTCTGCGAGACAACGTGAGGAAACTTACGGTCGTGCGACAGTCGCGACCAGAGATGACTTCCTGGAGGTCAACATGGTTCGTGCTGTTAGCGTTACGACCAGAGCGGTGGGGACGAGGCTGACGACGAGGATCCCATCGCGTGAGCATTCCATTATGATACGCGTGATTGTAGTTATAATGGTTCCCGTTGCGGTAACGGGAAGGCGAGTGGATGTTGGCACCATGACGAGAAGTCATAGCAGGCGAGGGAGGAGCCTGGTAAACAGGACCGACAAGGTGCATGCCCTGCATCCCATACTGCATGCTGGCCGGAGCAGTTGGGATGAGGTAGGGAGCATGAGCAGCGCGGTTTCCACCTCCAGCTCCCTGTTGGCGGTTGGCGACATGGACAAGAGCGAGTCCATGCATGGCGGGATCGTTTCCACCATTGGGCTTGGGCCCAATAGGCGCGGTAACCTCCAGGTGGAGTCCCTGAGAAGCAGCGTTAGGTATCGTCTGCATATTTTGAATCATTGGGACGAAAGGAATACTTACGTGCGGAGTGACACCGTTGAAAGTTCGAACAGCGTTGATGGCGTCCGCGACCTTGCAAAACTGGCCGATGGCTCGGAAAGATCCATCAGTATACCCGAGCTGCTTGACGAGTCCAAACAGCTGGCCATGCGCATTCAGGATGGCCTTGGCTACCTCAACAACCTGGGCATGATCGGCGGCAGCACCGAAAGGGGGAGAGGCGTAAATGGCAACTTGACCCAGGTGAGTCAGTCGCTGATCGCCGGCATATTCGTAGCCGTTCTGAGAGACTATGTTAGCTTATTGTCGAGTGAAAGCATTTGGTAAGAAGACTAACCTCGGTCATGTTTCCGTGAAGAAAACCGTTGGTCCACCCGTGTCGCTGACGAAGGGCGGTAGAGGCCCAGCCAGCGTCGCGCAGGTCCTCGAAGCTGACATACACCTTGCATTCAGTGGTCGAAAGGGTTCGACCGCCATGGAGCTGGACTCCATCTTCCTTGGCCTTTTCCTGACGGTATGTTAGATTCTTCGTTCACTCGTCGGCAGGAGATGGTACTTACGGTAAGGAAGCTTCCGACTTCAGCGACGGTGACGGTGACACCCTCGCCAGAGACCTCGATCAGACGAGAGATTCCCAGGTCAGTGCTGAGAAAATCATCACGCTGGGAAAAGGTGGGAGTGGGCTGAAAAGCCGAGGCCATGGGCGAAAGACCGACGTTGTTAGACTGTCCGGGGACAGTCGACGGTCCCGCGAAGGGATCCTCTTCGACGTGACGGTAGAAACGCGTTTGAACAGTAGCGGTACCGGAAGAAGCGTCAGCGAAGCCGTTGGGGAGGTCGACGGCACGACCCTTGCCCTTGGCAGCGTTGGAAGCTCCCTCGTCGGTGGAGTACATGGCAACGCGAGTGGCCTCAGACGAGGTGGGAGAGACCTGGAACGAATCAACTGGATCATTGTCCGAAGGAGGCGAGATGGCCTTCTCGAAGGCGGGATCAAGGCGATGAGCCATGTTGCCTTGGTTCGCGATGATACGAGATATGAACAAAATGACCAAGTGCTAGATCAAAGAGCAGGTGTTGCTGTATGCGATGCTCCCGAAAGGAAGCTGAGAGAGAAAGAAATACGATCAAGATCAAGATCAAAGAAACAAAGATCCCGGGTTCACTCCCATGCGGGTATGGTGAACCAGGAAGATGTTGTTGATGTTTGATGTGTGGGTGAGGGAGGGAGGGTGAGGGTGGAAGGGAAGAAAATCTCGGAGGGGAATCAGGTTGGGGAGGTGATGGGAGAGAATGTTGTGGAAGGGGAGCGAGGGTTGTTGGGAATTTTTGCCCTGACCGGAGCAAGAACTGCGGGAAGGGAAGGGGCGGCTCACGAGCGTGGATGCTTTGTCACGGCCACGTTCGGACGGTCCGTTGCCAGGTTATCAGACGGAAGGAGCCACGCCCATTGGATAATAAGGACAAAACCGACCGAGTCCAGTGCGAGACAGACGTACAGCATAGAGTTTACAGGGGTGATGCGTCTTGGCACGCATTTATTTTGATATAGGGAGGGCGACTGCTATCCTGGTCCGCTGGGACGAGGTCTACCGGCCTTGCACGTCCCCTGAGGTCACTGTAATTCCCTGAGATTCCATTGAAGCATCCCGCCTAATTAATTTTGATCCATTTGATTTGAATTGCGATTTTGTGTGCTCGCCTCGCTTGGTGGCGAGGAGGTGATACATCGTGGGTTGATATCAAGGTGCAGCTGGGCCGTCAGGGTCACGGCTACGGGTGCCGATTCATCCACGCCAGGCGCGCCCCAACCTGACGCACGCCCTCCCAGATGAGCCCTCGCATCGAGTCACCTCATGCCCGTGATCCTAAAATCTTGGTGTTGATGATGATTGATATTTCGTAGAGTGTGTCACCTGGGCATGGACATTTACATATAATGCACTCGAAGATGTTTGAAAACTATGTCACAGTAGAAGCATCTCTTCCTTCATGGATTAATTCTACATTGATACCGGATGCATGCCAATCCATTAGACGTGTCGTGCTGTCTTGGTTCTTCTCAAATGTGCTGTGCTGGCGTGGCCGACGGGACGGGAGGGCATTCAGGATCCGTCGGCCCCTCCAAACCGCTGCCATCACTGTTAGTCCCCTGAAGTTTTGGCACCAAGCCGCGTCCCGTTCGTCAATGATTCAGGCCCCATTCTTTATTATTTGAAACATACGGTCAACGCCCTTGGTGTTCCAAATCAAGCCCCTTTGTCCACGTTTGCTTCGTTTGATTTCCAGCGCGTCCCCCTTTGACGGTATTCTTCCTCGACCTGCATGAAGCTTTGAATAAGGTTCATGCACGCAAGCAAACATCTGTCTAGCTGTTCCAACGTCCCCGATCTGCCCCACTGGATCTATGTGCCAGGGACGGATCACCATCCATGCATCCCCGGGTGGGGAGTGAAGGTTCACAAGTACCGGGCGGCGGGAACGAAGCCGGGTCTGATTCCATCGTCGCTTTGTTCACATTTTCCACCTACCAGGTCTTGTGCCAGCTAATCTGGCAGACAGGAATACTGATCAAACCTGACTCTTGCAGTAGAATTATGTAGGAGGCTCCAGCATGCTCAGCCCATCAGGTCGGTCATTAATTCCCCAGTACCCTTCTGCTGCTCTCTACTGATGGTTCTCCCCAGTTATGAAGCCTTTGAAGCGTTGCTACAATACTCGTGGCATTTCAGTCATCGATCGAAGACATCCAACATTGTCCACGGCCCTCCCAGCCCCTCAGGGGCTGTCTCACCAGAAATATCGACGGAATTGTTCCATGTTCATTGCCTCTCCAGCGCGCTTGATGAGGTCCAAGCCGTGAGGTTGCTCTTTGAAAGGAAGAAGGTTGGTGCTGGATGGTTCGCCTACCTGGAGAAACCTTCGTCAGGCACCAGCCTACTCGTTCATCTACCCAGACTATCCAAACTGCTGACTTTAGTATCATATTAGCATCGCAGAGTCCATCGATCTCGCTCTACACTCTTCCAAGCCTTCTTTGACAACCGAACCGAACCTTCCACCTTCCATCGAACTATCGATCCCCATTTCCGAGCCAGACTGTTGTTGAACAGCAGCGATCCTTACCTGAAGAGGATGACTAGACAAGATCAAGGAAACGCACAAAAGACTTTGAGACCATATGAAGTCAGTTGAATTAAAAACACTGAAGACTGGCGAACTGACAGGCCCAGGGGAAGAAGCTTGAGCCTCGAGACAAAGCGCCTCTCACAGAAGACGCTATGAGAAGCAAAGACTCTCGAGTGGTACACCTTTTGAATTCATCACTCACGACGATCGTTCCCTCGTCTGAGAAAGAACATTCTCGGGAGGTACCACGCTCGAATGAATCCTCTCAAAGGGTTCTACTTTCGAGAGGGGGCATTCTTAGTGGACAGCGCCCTTCTGAATGGTTTCTCGGCGCTTTCAGGGACAGGGAAAGATCAGAGTCTCTACAGACAGGATATGTTACATTTCATTCTTGTTTCTAACTTCAGGGGACATGGCTAAGTATGCTTCGAGAGGTCACCAACTACCAGTGATCTTGTGGTTCTCCTCTGGGAGTCGCCTACAGCAAGGTTTCGTGTTGGTTGCTGCGCTGGAGTCTCCCATACTGAAGAACCACCTGTGAGTAGCATAGGAGTTTCCTAGATTCTATCATACTGACATACTTTGCAGACTACGGTGCCCTTCCTCACGAGAAAACGATCCTCCCACGGCCGTTCCATGTCTCCATTTTATCCTCCCAAGAAGCCTACAGTCAAGTGTTCGGGTACCCAGTGGAACCACCAACTCCAAGGTGCCGTTTGGTGGCGTGGTAAAGAGCAAACGTATCGTCAGAAACAGCCCAAGGGAAAGTTTGCCATGCTCTTGTACCTGTAAACTTCGCTGAAGGTGTGCTCGATAATTCAACCTCTGGTTTCAAAATTGGGCAAAAATCAACTTCCCTGGAGGCAATCCACGATTATGTTTCCGACCCAGAAGCCGCTCAGATGTTCGGTGGATCGGCAACTTCAGAGAGGGAGACGATCCACAATGCTCAATCTTTGCTGTGCCAGGCATCAATTCCGGTTCCTGGTTACACACAGCCTGCTTGTCTTCTGTCCCTCCCCAAGAGTGTCCAAACCTCATACTTCCGATTCCGTAGTTCTATATCCATTCAGCCTCCCAAGTCCTACCGAATACTTTGGTTTATTAAATAGAATGTCCAAAGCGGCATCACTTAGACGTGCCTTGAAGGGTTGGAAATACAGTGTTCAGCGTGTTCCTCTTCAACACGAACAACCCCTTTTTTCCCTCTGCATTGCCATACGCCCCGAACTCTTTTTAAGTCTAGTTCTAGCCTAAGATTATTTTTCTCATGGTGCTCTAGATCCTGCGCATGTGTGTTATGTAACGCGCCTTGAGTGAAGCTCCTGGCAGCCAGCATCATGCCGATTGCGTACACGGAAAGGTCACCCTCCTCCTAAGATTGGGAGGCATTTTCCTGTGGTGTTTTGTCTCAATGATCATAATTTTGGCTTATTTCCTACAGTCCGATTCGGACGAGCTGGGGAAACCCTGTCATACTGCGACTTTGCGATGCTGCTGTGGATGATTGTCAGTGGATTTGGCTACCCTACACCTTCGCAAGTGCTCGAGGTTCCAGGCTTGGAGGCGCGTTTTCTACATATTCCTGATCCCCTGAAAGGCCAAAGGTGATTCTTAATGGTCCTGCGCGTTTGTTACTTTATCTTGATACCGTTCCTGACTTTGCATCGTGCTAGGTTCGTCGATTGAGCTGGTCTTGATGAATTCCAGAACATAGCACACAAACTCCCCAATATGATTGCACGTCGATTTTTTGACATCATTATGGAAGACTTAGAGTATTTCCTAAAGGAAACAGCGCCAAAAATCAAGCAAACAATTTCTATATTGCATTTTCTGGCGACACACTGAGCCCGTCGTCGCTTTCATCCAGCACGCAAGTCGGCATGTCGTCGTGTGTGGACCGTGGCTGGTGTCTTCAGCCCCGCGTGGCTCACGCGCTAGAGAGCTCTCTCGTCAGGCCCGCGCGCTGTCGTCTCATGCAGGCGCAGCTTGAGTGGGGCACTCGAAGCCTCGAGGGGAGCTTCAGGCAGCTTGCGACACGCGACGTCAAACGACACCCAACCCCATCGCCAATAGCTCCGCGCATCACCAGGTAGTAGGCATGCCGCGACGTCCACCTGCCGTGGATGACTATGCATCTGCGGTGCCTCATGTACGACTTTCCGCGGCTGGCGCTCGTTTCTGGGCTGTACGCTAACCTCCTGTCTCTAGGTCATCCTCGCGTCTTCCGATGCCGAGTTCCTCGACCAGCTCATCCCCGTCCTTAAGGATGCTGCGCACTCGAACCGGACTCCTCTCCTGAATCAGTGCTTGGTCCGCTATCACCAGGATCGTGAAGCCGAGATCGAACGTATTGGCTTAACCCGCCATGAGGAGTTCCTTGACTCGATCAACCACCTTCAGAATGTCCGCGAGGAGACAGTAACTCTGACCCATGACATCCTGAACCTCAACGAGTCGATCGCCGATAGTACAAAGAAGCTGGCAACCCAGAAAGAAGCCCTCGTGAATACATCCTCCGTTCGCCAGAACATCGCCGATGCCACCAATGCCTTGAACGACTCCCTGACCATCCTCCGTGCTGTCAACAATGCGCACGACCTCATCCGTCGCAAAAAGTACTATCCTGCTCTAAAATCGCTCGAAGATCTACAAAATGAACACCTCGTACCCATCATCCAAAACCGCTACTCCACTCAACATCGGCTGGCCGATGTCATCCAAAAATCTATCCCCGCCTCCCAGAAGGCCATCTCCGAGGCTGTAATGACGGATCTCAACACATGGCTGTTCCGTATACGAGAGACGTCCCAGTTCCTCGGCGAAGTGGCATTCTACCACACTGAGATGAGGAGGACACGGCAAAAGAAGAGGATAGAGGAGGACCCATTCCTGGCCAACTTTAAGCTGAACTCGGCCATTGAACTTGTCAGCGACGAGAACGAGGACTTTGACGTGTTGGACAATGAAGAGTTGCAGGTTGACTTTACGCCTTTGTTCGAGGCCCTCCATATCCATGAGGCCCTTGGCCAGCTCGAAAAGTTCCGCTCAGAATATGGTGCAACCCGACGGCAGCAAAAGGACCTGTTGCTTCCCAGCTCGATTGAGCTACTAGCGGAGGATGAGTCGTCCCTGAGCAGCTTGCTAGAGGGAATATCGGGGTTCGCCATTATCGAAAAGGCAACAATGCGACGAGTGCCGCATCTACGATCTGCAGCTGACGTGAGTAACCGGCGCATTTGGTCGAGCTGTCGCTAACATGTAACACTACAGGTCGAGGAGTTATGGGAGTCTATGTGCACTGCGGTCATCAACTTGACCTCGAAGTCTCTGAATGATGTTACTGACGCGGAGGCACTGATAAAGATCAAGACCATCATTGCCCTCTTCATCCAAACAATGGAGGTAAGATGCCGTCAACCCGCCACTGAGGGACTTGTCCCTGGTGACCTTCATGAGGCTGACATGACTTAGGGCTGGGGATACACAGTGGCCATGCTAGACAACTTCCTCCTCAAGCTGTTCGACAAGTACGCTGAGCTCTTGAAACGACGGTTCAGTGTGGACTTCCAGGAGGTAAGTCGACTGGCCCATTCCCTTGCTACTATCCGCTCACAGATTCTATAGATCGTGTCTACCGATGACTATATGCCCATGGCCATCAACACACCCGAGGAGTACGAGAAAGTGGTCAATGTCAGCTGGTTCACTCAGGAAAAGCCAGCAGACCAGCTCACGTATGTGCCCTCCCCTCACTTACACACGATTTACTGACTAGCTAGATTCCCCTGCGTGCTCCCCTTCTCCCAGATGTACCCCCTGTGCTGCATAGATATCCGGAATTTCCTAAACCAATTCTACTTCTTTTCCGACGATCACTTCCAACACCCCAATGTTATTGATGAGACACTCAAAAAGGTGAGTTGGCTAATGCACTGAAGTGACCTGATACTGATGCCTGTCAGTCCTTGGACGAACTTCTTACAGAAAAGGTCTGTAAGTCGTTGGTTGAGCGTCTGAGCTCCCAATACTTGGGCCAGATCGTGCAGATCCTCATCAACCTAGAGCACTTTGAGATTGCCTGTCAAGAGCTCGAGCAGCTGCTCATCCGGGCACGCTCCTCGACCTCAGCAGGTGGTCCGGTGAAACTGAATGCCACCGAGTCCTTCAGGAATAATAAGAAGACTGCTGAAAAGCGAATCTTCGAGCTCGTCAACTCCAAGATTGACGATCTCGTTGATACTGCGGAATACGAATGGTATGTTTCCGAGATTATCATGGATGACGGTTCTAATGTGCTTCATAGGACGGCAACGACGGTTGAACCGGAGCCAAGCAACTACATGCAGACGCTGACTCGGTACTTGTCTAACATCATGAACTCGACCCTACTTGGTCTCCCTAGAGAGATCAAGGAGCTCATCTACTTTGACGCACTGAGCCACACAGCCAACAAGATTCTGGTATGCTGATCCTGTGCCAACCCTGAGATTCCCCTCAATGCTCACACTTTGAAAGGCCCTTCCGCTTTCACCCGATGTCAAGCACATCAACCCCAACGGTGTGGCAGCCCTCGCACAAGATGTAGAATATCTTGTACAGTTCGTCGACAGCCTCGAGAACGGACAGATGCTGCGGGAGAACCTGGACGAACTCCAACAGACCATCAACCTTCTCCAGACGGACAACCAGGACGAGTTCTTTGACATTTCTACACGCAACAAGAAGTATGGACGCGTGGACGCCCTTAACGGGCCTATGCTTCTAGAAAAGTACGATTTCCCTGAAAATCTTGCAATCACAAGTTACCCAAGTTACTGACAAACTACAGATTGACACCCATCGCGGCCAGTCCCGTTAGAAGCGCACCCCTGGCCAACTTTTCTTCACGATTCGGCATGAACAGGTAAACAAGCATGTAGTACCACGAATGTATAAATGCAAAACAATTCAGCCTCTGCCATCCCACTACCGGGTCGGCTGCTGAAAGTCTTTGTTGTTCAATTGCAATGAGCGAGTGTTTCTTACTGTAATGTGCAGTCCACCAGGTCTACCTGGGAAGCTAATTGTGTTTGCATATAAAGCATAAATTCCGTTACGCCAGACATCCTTTCCATCGTGAACCCTGAGCCGGGCCGAGCGATTGCTCAAATTTGTACACCCAAGTATCATTGCCTCATTTCCTTTCCTCTAAGGATCAAGCGCTTGAGATAGGGACGCATAACATGTTTGAGTGTTTACTCAAACTCTTCCGAGGACATGGGAGCCTGCGCCTTGTTAGTGACGAACAGTAAACTCGAGACTGGAGATCATACCTGCTGGGGAGGCATGGCCGAGTATGGATACATTCCCTCCATCTCTCCGTACATGCCTGGGGGCTGGGTCTGTCCGTAGGCGGCCTGAGGAGCTGGGACAGCCTGACCCGGGTACATGTTAGGCTGGTTGCGGTAGTCCTGCTCAGTAAGACCGTGTCCGCTCATGTAGTCGGGAGCACCCATGGGATGAGGCTGGTTAGGAGCCTGGGGCATGTTGGCGTGCTGGCCGGGCATCTGTCCTTGGCCGGGAGCGGCGGGAACAGCCTGGGGAGCGGCAGCTGTCTGGGTAGTCCGCTTCGCGTGAGAGGAAGCCTCCTCGCGGGGCACAATGTCGATGAGGAAGTCGAACATGTCGGACTTGGCTAGGGCGGACGCGATATCGGAGCGCTGCAGAGTGCGGCGCTTGTTCTCCTCGGCGTGGATCCAGGCGCGCATGGTGAGCTCGGTGATGAAGATGTCGCAACCCTTGGCAAAGAGGATGGGAGCCTCAGCGGAGATCATCTTGACCTCGGGGTCAGCCTTCATGACCTTCTTGATGCGCGCCAGCGGGAGCTGGTGGATCTTGTAGTCGTGGGTGTCATTCTCGAGGTGCGAGATGGTATGCTGCCAGTAGGTGGTCAGGATGTCCTTGTACTGGCCGGTGAGACCCTGATGAGCCTGCAATCGTTGCGTGGTCAGCTTTGCGCGCGCTTGGAGACGGTATGCGACATACATTGGCCCAAGGTCCGGTGTACAGCTCCGAGGGCGCGAAACCCTGGGATGCAAGCTATAGAAGGACAAGCTGTCAGCGCATGGAATTGGAGCTATCGCGAGACGCGGCGAGGTACGCGCGCGATCGTGAATCGAAGGGGAATCTAAGCTAGACGTACAGCAGCACATGCGCCTGCGCGTCACGACAAGGTCAGCCATCTAAAGACGCGGTCAAGAGGGAGGGGCTCCATGTTTATTCGCCGGCGCGCGTTTGACTTACTATAGTGACCGCCCTGACTGGGGTCGTAGACAGGGCGTTGGCGATTCTGCTGAGCGCCTTGGGGGTTCTGAGGATCCATTTTTATGAAGCTGTTTTGAACTGGTAAGTAAACGAGAAAAAAACACTTGGACACGACCTGGGGGGGGGATTTGGTGTTGGTACCTAAACAAACAGCTGAGACGGTGGTTGGGGTTGGCGGAGGGCGATGAGCCATGACGATTGGGCGTCAGAAGGTTGGAGTGATGGGGCGCCAACATGGTAAGCGGGCCTTGGAAGGGGGGACAAATTAGTGTGGGCACTGATACGGCTGCGTTGACTGTCTGGATGGCTCTAATTATGTCACCCATGCTGCTCCGAATGTGGCTGGTGCATCACCGCCCGTGCCACACTTCCCTTCTCCACCAACCTCCGTCTCCATATTTTTTTTTCTGCCGTCAACTATTTCTTGCGCCAGCCTTCTCTCCTCGACCTGCTTCCTTTCTTTCCCTCTTGGTCGACAGCAGATCATGACAGACATCTTGGATGCTCAGGTCGATGAACTGCTGCGCAAGGCTGAGCAGCGCCTGAGAGATGGCCCTGCTGCGTCTGCCGACCTCGTCCCGGCTGCTGCTCGGGGGGTGAAGCCCGACACAGTCAAGGTCGTGCAGCAGCCTGCCAGCGAGAGCAGCAGCAGCAGCAGCAAGAAGAACGACCTGTCTGTTCGAGCACCCCCTCAGCCGCAAGCGGGACTGATGTCAAAGGAAAAGGTAAGATTCCTACTTCTCTCTACTCCCTTCCACTCTTGCGCTTCATGATGAAAGTAAATCCCAAATTTTCTCTTGACATGGGACAGTATCCGTTTTGGATCAAAGGACCGTGACCACATGATATCTTATTTCATAGTTACTCTGACATTTACCTGGCGCAAACAATTGGCAATCACACGAGGACACCTCTTCAGAACCTCCAAGCTAACATGTTTTTGCGATTAGACCACCGCCGGAGCCAACTGGTTCGACCTCCCAAAGACGGTCCTCACCCCCGAGTTCAAGCGGGACTGGCAGCTCCTCCGCATGCGAGGCATCCTGGACCCCAAGCACCAGAAGAAGGCCCTCCGCGCGAGCGCCCCCGAGTATTCCCAGGTCGGCGAGATCATCGCCGGACCCACCGAGTTCTACAGCGCCAGGTTGACGCGCAAGGAGAGGAAGGCGACCATGATGGAGGAGGTTATGAGCACCTATGACAAGGACAAGTTCACCACAAAGTACGCTGGCATTCAGAAGCAAAAGACCAGCGGAAAGAAGGCATTTTACAAGAAGCTAGTGGCTCAGCGCCGTAAACGTAATTAAAACTTCAAGATCAAAAAAATCTTCGAAACCACTCGTGTGCATCTGGCCCAGACGTGAGATGTTGTCTTCAGGCTCTTTCAGTGCCGGACACAGTGACACGCAGTGATCTCAATGCCATCCCCTAAACATCATGTCGCCTTGTCCATCTTTGTAGAACAGACTCGCCTTCAAGGACTTGTCCAGACTTTGCAGCAAATCTCGAACTTTTCGTTCCTAAACGCGCGCTTAAGCGCGTGTGTCGGTTGTGTGCGGTTGTGGTCCGTGCGCAAAAGTTCACCCGACGTTTTCAAGGTCGGTTACATCTCGAACCAAATCTCGAGCCTCACATCATCGACGCCTAGGGACCGGCAAGATGATGCGCCAAAGTCTTAGACCCTTACGGGTCCTCTCGGTAAGCCTCAAAATATGTCGTGAGAAGTCAATTGGCACATATACTAACGCTCAAGCAGGCCGAAGTGCCATGGATCGCCCGCCGAACGAAGGCCTCACTGTACGTCTACCGAATCGAATACTCCGTTCCTCGAACCGAAACCTCGCATTCTCCGAGCCCACGCTGATAAATACATATAGAGCAAAACCTGGAGATCTTGTCCCCAACAAGATTGAGAACCAGACCCCCGTGGAACCACGATACCCGCGATCCCTCGAGGCCCTGCACCTCAAGCCTCTGAAGCGAGAGGCCGAGCACGGAATCCCCTCATGCGACCTTCAGCTTCGCTCCTACAGCGTCCAGCCCCTCGAGTTCTTTTCCGACTTTGCCCTTCGAGCGGCCTACTACCTCGGCCTCCCCGCCTACGGACCCGTCCCCCTCCCCCGCATCACGGAGCGCTGGACAGTCCCGCGAAGCAACTTCATCTTCAAGAAGTCGCAGGAGAACTTTGAGCGAAAGACCCTCCGAAGACTAATCCAGATCCGCGACGGAAACCCGGAGACGGTGCAGATCTGGCTCGCCTACCTGCGCAAGCACCAATACTACGGCGTGGGTATGAAGGCCAACGTGTGGGAGTTTAGCGAGCTCGGCGTCGGCAAGAAGATGGATGCCCTGCCTGAGGCGGATCAGGGACAGATCGAGGCCAAGTGGGCGCATCTCGGACAGACAAAGACGATTGGTACGGTAGAGAAGGTTGAGGAGCTGCTCAGCCAGAGGCGATTCCGGGAGGCGGCGGGCTTGAGGGTGCCGCCTACAACGGAGTCATAAAAGAGAGGGAGGGTTATGATGTCCTTGCTGCTCCGGGAAGAGTGGCCATCTTTGCCGGAGGGGAGGGAGCAATGTTTGGATGTGATGTACAATAGGCCATAGAAGGCTTGAACCATGTAAAATCAACAATTGGCAAAGATGAATTGTAAACAACTTGACTGTGTAGATCAACTCCCAGAAGCTCCTCGTAAAGTCCTGGGGTGGTTGCTGTAAGTGTCTGATTCTGTCTGACCAAGCGTGACAACAGAAGGGTTTCAACCACGACTATACCAGCCATGCGAGGAATTAAACTAAACTATATTTGAATTGCCTTGTTTCGATCAATATGTCTGTTAGTCCAAGATAGCAATCCTCCTTGAATGGTTTTGTGACTCGAATGTCATAGTCGGCATACACCCCGCTAAGTGCATACAAACTTGATCTCAACAACCTCACCCCAGTTCCCCATCACTCACACCCCCAATCCCCTCCCCCTCAACCGATCTCGCCCTAAAAACAATGCCAAAAGTAAATCCCAGGGTGATATTCTCAGGCATCCAGCCCACGGGCGTGCCACACCTCGGCAACTACGTCGGCGCCCTCCGGCAGTGGGTACAACTCCAGCGCAGCGAGGAAGCGAGCACAAAGCTCATCTACTCGGTCGTGGACCTGCACGCCATCACCATGCCTCAGCCTCCGGAACAGCTGAGGAGTAGGAAGAGAGAGGCATTGGCTGCATTGCTGGCTATTGGGATTGATCCGGAGAGGGCGACGTTGTTTTACCAGTCTTCGGTGAGTTGCGGAATCTGTTGCTTCGTGTTAGAGGGCCATTGAGAGTTTAGACTCTTGGCTATGCTGAAACTCAATCCCCTAAAGTATCGCTGGTGTTTGATTCCTTATTAACCGAGTGTATAGGTCCCAGCACACTCAGAGCTCATGTGGATTCTCAGCTGTACAGCCTCTGTAGGATATCTCTCTCGAATGACACAGTGGAAGGTATAAAACATCATCTTGTATATCCAACAAAGACTAACAAGTCCAAGAGCAAGTTGAACCTTGACCAAAAGTCATCTATCGAGGATCGACAAGCTGGATCCCGCCTCAAGCTCGGCCTCTTCTCATACCCAGTCCTCCAGGCCGCAGACATTCTCGTCCACAGGTACTGTTATTATACGAGGCTATCTTGAACTTGACCACTAACACGTTCTCTAGAGCAACTCATGTACCTGTTGGTCATGATCAGCAGCAGCACCTAGAGTTTGCCCGTGAATGTGCCACAAACTTCAACCACGCCTACGGGAACCATCTCGTTGCCCCCCAAACCCTCATCCGTAAGTTCTCGGCACTGCTGTCTGCCCAATACTCACCATATATAGCCCCTGTCCACCGCGTCATGTCTTTGACAGACCCAACCTCAAAAATGTCCAAGTCTCACAAGGCTGAGAAGTCACGGATCGTTATCACCGATGCGCCCAAGGACATCAAGGCCAAGATTTCTTCTGCAAAGACGGACTCGATCCCAGGTATCTCATATGATCCTGCTACTAGGCCGGGCATCTCCAACCTGCTGGATATCCTATCCATATTCGACGCCGAAGGGAGACAGGCGGCGCAGCTGGCTGAGGCTTACAGTGATCTCAGCCCCAAACAGCTCAAGGAGATGGTATCAGATGCCGTTGTTACCGGGTTGGACGGCATCCATGATCGTTACCTCGAGCTGGTGGGTAAGGGAGACGAGTATCTCGACAGCATCGAGGCAGTAGGCGCCCGCAAGGCACGAGAGAGCGCCGAAGAGACGATGCAGCTGGTCCGAGGAGCCATTGGATTCTAAGAGCCACGACGACTTTTATTCTGTACACTACACCACGACTCCTACATTGTACTCCTCCACGCCATAGAAAGATGGTGCTGTAAGAATAGAGCTCGTGTACGAGCAATGCCAAGATAGATGAACCACATACTCCCCGACTTTGGTACTTTTGTCTTCCAACTAAACTTCCTTGACTCCACGCCTTATGAAGCATAAGCAAAGCTAGATCCTTTTGCCGATAGCCAAAACTCCCTCACAACCTGATTCGTTGCCCTAGCTCCTCTAAGACTTCATATCCACTCATTAGCTGCAATCCGACGCCAGAGGTGCACATCAACTTACCTGATGACCTTCTTCAAGAACATCGACTTCTCCTGGGGTGTGATCCGAGTGCTGGGAAACGACTCGTGTCCCAGACCGGCCTCGAGCCAGCTCTTGGCCATGGGGCAACGAACAACAAGCTTCTTCAGGGGCTCGCTCAGCTTATCAAGTTCGCTCCTGGAAGCGTTGCCACCAATGTTTCTTGTGAGACTCTGAGCGAGGAGGGGACCGAGCATCTGCATGGCTTGCTGTGCGATGTCGTTCAATTCTTGCGAATCACACTTGAGGTCGACAAAAACGGCCTATTCATGTTAGTTGTGCAGTTACACAGTGATAGTCGGGGGATTGTATACCCAAAATACTGCTGCGCTAGCCTTTGGCAGCGGCTCCTTTCCATCCAGCACTTGAAGAGTAAAGAGGAAGAAGAACTCGGCGGCGTTTTGAGGTTCTAGCCGAAGAAGGATGACAGGACTCTTGGAGAGCAATCGAGTTACGAATTCGATTCCGTTTTGAGAAAGCTCCGGGTCGGCTTCTGGGTCTATCAAGTGATTCATATTAGTTGAAGTCGTTGCCATGTATAAGTGAACTTACTGGGGAGTTGTTTGAGGAGTCCCACAACCCAGAGAAGAACAGAGTTGAGCATCGCGTGCTGACTCTGAAGTCCATCGTGCTCTAAGGAACTAACAAACGAGCAAGCGGTGCTGACGAGCAAACCGACCCTTGGTGTCTCGAGTCCCTGGTTTGTCAAGTATTGTGCAACGCTGTGAGGCGGTAGCACAAACGGACCAGGCTCTACCTCAGAGAAGCCACTGCGCAGCACGGTGCAGATGATCTCGACAACCTCTCCACTAGTGTTAAAGGCCCTTTGAATCTGACCGATCATAGTCATGATGCTCTCCTGGAGGTGAGATAGCTGTGGATCAGCCTTACTTGCCCTGGCCTGCTCACCATCCAAATCAACTGACACGTCAGGAGCCTGAAGCCCCCTGCCAATACTAGCAAGACATCTCAAAGCCTTCAAGGCCGTGTGGAGTGCAGGGCTCTCATCGGAGGCAGCATATGAGCAAGTAGGTGGCACGAAACAGGGGGCAACTCCAGAATCAGGAGAGTGTAGCAGCTCCAGTGAACGTTGCACGTCAGCCTGGACGAAGCTCAGGAGTCGAGCACAAGATGAATATCTCGAGTTCGAGTCGGGAATCGCCTGAATGACCGACGCAATGCCACCGGAAATTTTCTCACTAGCTCCGCAGTCAAGCCGACCCCCGGAGACGAGGTTCTGGTACTCGTTGAGGAAGCCATCAGCCTCGGTGTGAAGGTGACCTCGACAGGAGGAGCAAAGCCTGTAGATAGACTTTGCCGCAGCACTCGCCATGGGATGTTCTCCGACAACGACGAAAAGCAGGTTGAGAGCAGGGGGCAGATGCGAAATGTTTCGCTCGAAATATTCCGTATAGTGCTCGATCAAGGCAACACAGGTCTGCCGTGCCTTAGGTGGAATGTCTGCTTGACCGGGGCGCAATGCTGAGAACAGGGGAGATGTAAAGACGGATGCAAGAGCGCCATCGCAGCGAGTATCCTCGCCAACACAGTCAGCGAGTCCACCGAGGCAAAAGGCGGCAGCCTCCAGTTGAAGCCAGGATGAGCTTGACAGAGCCTTGAGTACCAGATCCGCGAATGTCACCAAGAGCTGTGGTCCTGCCAGGGAATAGACAGACTGAAGGAGATCAATAACATCTTTCCGGGCATCGTTGAAGCCGATCCTCTCGTTGGAGTCCCAAGAGACAAATTCTTCATGAGGCGGGTAGACCACCTTCTGCCATGCATTGGACACAGCCTGAAGGACATGGGAGAGGGCCTGGGGAACCCATGTATTAGCTGCTCCTTCGTCCGAGTACATGGAGTCAGTCATTGTTTCTGCATATGTAGACCAGAACTCTAGAGCAGGCATAAAGATCTTGTCCTCGGCAACCGGGTACCCCTGGGCAGCAAGGAGACCACACAGGTTGGACAGCAGGTTCTGACTTCGACGGTCGTTCAGCTGCATAAGCTTCTCTACCTTGGCATCACCGAAGGCGAGGAGAAGCTGACCGAACTGAACCGAGTCAAAGTCAAAATCCCCTTGCATGAGCGCTTGATAGCGGTTCTGGAACCAAGAGCTGTCAAAGAGTTCAGCCAAGTTCTCAATGTGGGCGTCGGTCAAGAACATGGAACAATTCGACAGCAAATCTACCATAAGCTCAACGGATGCATCGTAGAGCTCGTCTACTGTCAACGAGCTGATGACAGCTGTGACGAGTGGTCCGATGGGCTCTGAGAGTCTCGTGTCCCGAGATGAAACTCTTTGTGCGAACCAGACCCAGGACTAGATGATGTTAGCAAGCGACGGGGAAAGAAATATCTGCGGCTCACCTGAAGGCACTTGATCGAGTCTTGGTGGGCGGCTTGAGAGGTGGACTGGGGTGACATTCCACGGCTCATCAAGGCCACGGCAGCCGGTATGTTCTCCAGGATGGCATCGTATAGGCCCATGCTACTAAATGTCAGAAACAGAAGGCATACAAGGTAGTAGGGCACAAACTTGTTGGCAGAGTTCAAGTCGAACTTTGCAATATCCTCTAGTACGTTGCTCAGCACCCATAGTGCAGCTTGTGTCTGAGTAGAGTCAAGGCTCTCAATAAGGGCGGATGATCCGGGAGCATCATCAAGAGCATCTGGTCGTAACGGCTGACTGGATGCAAGACAGAGGCAGAGATGGTGGGTGAAGCGACGCCATACTCGGTGGAAGTGAAGGAAGAAGGTTGCAAGAGCCGAAGAGAGTTTTCTTATAACCAAGGGCCCTGTTCCATTCCGTAGTGAGTCCAAATACCATCCTATTAGAACTAGTAGGAGTTCAACTGCGTCGTCAGATGTGAGTGAGGAGCTAGAAGAAAGTCAGCGGATCAGAGGAGGTCCCGTCGGTGTCTTGGTCGTACCTCTCATTGTTGAGCTTGATGATGATGGTGAGAGCACCAAAGAACTTGACCTTCTCGTCAGACCTCCCTAGCAAGTCTCGGGCTATCCCCCAAGCTTGAGGTGAGCTTTGTAACCGGGACAAAGTTGCTTGCGTTCGTGCAATGGTCTCTGGAGAGTTTGGCTGGTAGAGTGAGAGGATGAGCTACAACCGTGTTAGCACTGTATCCTACATTCGGCCCTTGAGAACTAGAAATCTGTTATCCAATTAGGATCGAGACTTACGGCTTCCACCTCCGGTATAGAGGTGGGGAGTGGTTGCTCCTCCATGATCTGGAGATGCAGTAGAGCGAGGGGGCTGTTTGAAGACGAGTTCTTCTAAGAAGGACCTTGCCGGCAAGTTGGCAAGGACGGTAGCTCGGGATTAAAAGTGCCTAATAAATATATTTAGTTAGAAAACTCTTTTGCTGCATATGCTTTCTGTGAGAACACTCAGGGCTCATCCTACCTAATGGCAGTTTACGAGGACTCAATGTGGTGTCCCAAGGCTTTGGCTTTTGTGCTTCTATTCATGCCTATCAATCCATGTCAGCTGATTCCTAGGAGTACTGCATAGTGTGAAAGTGAGAATGACCTTGCCGGTGAGCGCTTTGTAACACCAAACAAAACCTCTTCGTCCCGACTTTTTTCTCCATGCACGTTAATGCGGGTGAACAAAGGAGACCACAGAAGCAAGCAATACTTACCAATTGCCGTCAACTCTATATTTGCTTGCACAGGAAACTCGTGTAAAGCGTGGATAGTTGAGGATAAGATCCGCGGTCTCTATTTGGGGGTAGAGAATGGGGGTTGTTGGGGTGGCTGCACAGGTCCTTTGAGGAAAATCTGGCGCAAATAGGAAGCTAGTGTGGTCCAGACGGGTATCATAAGACGTCCTAGACAGTTGAACTCGAAATGTCTAAAGACCAGTAATTCCGGGAGAAAGGCAGAGAGTGGCAGTTGGCAAAGCCGGCGAATCTCAAGCAGTGGTGAGATATTCAGAATGGAACCCAAGGTGTTGAAAGACACGGGTACCTGGCTCCCAAATGTGGGTACCTATCGGCCCTGTCACGGTACGAAAAGGTATTGGTGAATTATGCGGATCCGACAAAGTACCCGGCGTCAAGGTCACTGTACCGACGTTGGAGATTCAATGTCGCCAGAAGCACTCCACTTGAGAGCTGCAATGGAGCTGTTCTTTCAGTGGTTGATGGCCTCAATGCTGGGGCATCTCGTTCCAGTCGAGTTTGTAGATATGGGGGTCACTCCCGGCTTGCCTCGGGTTGCGGCCATTCCAAAGATCCGCTCTTGCCCCTCAACCCCTCCACATCCCACATCTTGACGCCCACGCCAGTTGCCCGCCCGTGCATCATCGTCAAGTGTCTCGTGAGGCTTGACGACCCTACTTCTTTCATCATTTCGTGGATGGAATCTAATGCTTGACTGGCCTTGACGACTACCTGCTCACCTCTCATCTCGCATCTCTATTGTTAATCATATTGAAATCTACTCGAATTTTGCATCTAAACCCATTTGCTCATCAAGGTATGACCCTGTCTGCATTCAATATTGAAGCATGCAACTCTCCCAAGCAATGACTCCATTCCCATCTGCCCTGCCCTGCCCCTCATCCCTGGACCTCCCTCACCATCTTGTGCCACGCAACACAGCGCATTTGTGTGACCTGACTCTTGCTTCTCCCTCCCCAATTTGCATTTTTGCCCATTGCTTCCTGCCTTTTTATTTCAATCTCAACACATTCGCCCCGTCTTCCTTCCCGCCCACATTCCGCATCAGTTGATCGTGACTTGCCACTCTCGACTTGCCTCACCTTGACTTGACCTTGCCTCACTTTCAACCTCATCCCGATACCATATTTCAACTGATTCCCAGTTCGAGAGCAACTTCTAAAAACCCAACCAGTTTTCATATTTCGAGAACATCGTTCCTCAACCTGTAATCGTTCCGGTTCGAGTGATTCTCCTCCCTGGCGTTTGCGTTGCGTGCGTCTGATAGTCAATGCTACTCCAGTCCACGACCTCGCTCCTTCGTTCAACAGCACCACGGCGATTGGCCTCATTATCACTCCTCTCTGACCGTCGCTTTCTTTCCTCCAAAGCAATGGCAAAGATCGACACTACCTCCAGGCTCACCAGCCTGCGGGGTTTCATGAAGGAGCGCAATGTTCAAGTTTATAGTGAGTTTTCCCTATCAAAATATGTTTTTATTCATTGGCAAGACGGCATGACTGACACCCCCCAGTTATCCCCTCCGAAGACAGTCACTCTTCTGAATACATTGCAGACTGCGATGCCCGGCGCGAGCACATCTCAGGCTTCACAGGCTCGGCTGGCTGTGCAGTTGTCACACTCGAGACCGCCGCACTCGCCACTGATGGACGCTACTTTAACCAGGCTGCGGCGCAGCTTGACAGCAACTGGACCCTTCTCAAGCAGGGTCTTCAAGACGTCCCCACCTGGCAAGAATGGTCCGCCGAGCAGTCCTCAGGGGGTAAGAATGTAGGAGTCGATCCATCCCTCATCTCTGGAGCCACCGCCAAGAACCTCGCCGAAAAGATCCGCAAAAGCGGCGGTGCTGAGCTGGTCCCCATCGAAGGAAACCTCGTTGATCTTGTCTGGGGAAAGGAACGTCCAGCCCGGCCTTCTGAGAAGGTTATTGTTCAACCCGATGAGCTAGCTGGAGAGTCTGTCACCAACAAACTTACAAAACTCCGTCAAGAGCTGGAGAAGAAGCGTTCGCCCGGTTTCCTCGTTTCCATGCTGGACGAAATTGCCTGGCTGTTCAACCTGCGTGGAAATGACATCCCCTTCAACCCCGTCTTCTTTTCCTACGCCATCGTCACTCCTGATGTTGCCACCCTTTACATTGACGACTCGAAGCTGGATGACAAGTGCCGTTCTCATCTCTCTGCTAACAAGGTTGAGATCAAACCCTACGATTCCATTCTGGATGATGCTCGCAAGCTTCACGCCTCAGTTAGTGAAAAGGGAAAGTCCGAGAACGCTGCCCCCACTGGAAACTTCCTCATCTCTAACAAGGGCTCATGGGCTTTGAAGCGGGCTCTTGGCGGTGACTCGTCGGTTGATGAGATTAGAAGCCCTGTCGGTGATGCCAAGGCTATCAAGAGCGAGGCTGAGCTCGTGGGCATGAGGGCCTGCCATGTGAGGGACGGCGCTGCGCTGATTCAGTACTTTGCCTGGCTTGAAGATCAACTCGTGAACAAAAAGGCCACTCTTGATGAAGTAGAAGCCGCTGACAAGCTCGAGGAGCTCCGCTCCCAAAAGAGCGACTTTGTCGGTCTTTCATTCCCAACCATTTCCTCCACTGGTGCCAAGTGAGTTCATGCCAAGCAACAATTCGCTGATGGACCAATGACTGTAGTCATTACATGACTTGGCTCTGTTTTTACTTGGGAGGCATTGTACTAACCAGTGCCCTCTGCAGTGCCGCAATTATTCACTACGGCCCTGAGCGTGGGAGCTGTGCCACCATCGACCCTGAGGCCATCTACCTCTGTGACTCGGGAGCCCAATATCACGACGGCACAACCGACACGACTCGGACGCTCCATTTTGGAACGCCCACTGAGGCTGAGAGAGAGGCATACACTCTAGTTTTGAAGGGTCACATTGCTCTGGACCAAGCAGTTTTCCCTAAGGGGACTACCGGCTTTGCGCTCGATGGATTGGCTCGTCAGCACCTCTGGGTAAGCACAGCAAGACGGTTGATATAAATGATAGCGCTGATACCCAGAACAGAAGAATGGCTTGGACTACAGACATGGCACCGGCCACGGAGTTGGATCATTCTTGAATGTCCACGAGGGTCCCATTGGCATCGGCACTAGAGTCCAGTTCGCAGAGGTGGCCCTCGCTCCAGGCAATGTGTTGTCCAACGAGCCCGGATACTACGAAGACGGAAAGTACGGTATTCGAATTGAGAATATCGTTGTCGTCAAGGAGATCAAGACCAAGCACAAGTTCGGGGACAAGCCCTTCCTGGGTTTCGAGCACGTAACCATGGTGCCGTACTGCCGGAACCTCATCGACACGAAGCTGCTCACGAGCGAAGAGAAGGAGTGGCTCAACGCTTACAATGCCAAGGTTGTGGACAAGACGCAGGGTTACTTTGAGGGCGACGACGTTACTCTTGCTTGGCTGAAGCGGGAGACGGCGCAAGTTGAGTGATGTTGAGGAGTCGATCCGAGCGACACTATAGACGTACAAACGCAGCCAAGATGAATGTTACAAGGAATGACGACGTCCACAATGGGTCCTTCTTGCTCCTGGCCCATAGGGCACTTCGGTTCAAGTACTTGTCGATGCCGAGAGTGCGGGTAATGTCCAGTCCGTAGCGGGAAGCGATCTAGCGGTGTCAGGGATTGTGGGCTGAGTGAACAAGTGGCGGTTGTTAAGCTTACATGGATAGACAAGGCGACCAAGCCTGTGAGGAGGGCGAGGGTTTTAGAGAAGAGGCCAACCAGGACACCAATTCCGAATCCTACAGTACATGTGAGCTTACGGCGTGTTGGGGGACAAGTTCCAAGGCAACGAACCTGCGACACTTCCGCTAGAGAGCTGGCGAACGGTATCTGGTGAGATATCCAGAGAAGGCTTTCGGCGTCGAGACGGACCAGTAGCCAACGTTGGAGCATCGCAGCGGATGACAGGACGAGTCGCAACGAAAGCTCCGACACAAGCAGCCGGGCCAACGCCAACAGTCATAGCCCGAAGGGCGACTCGTGAGTTGAATGTTCGATACATGGTCGTCCTGGTGAGTTTTGAACCTGGTTGAAAGGAATTGAGTTTATAGCAAGAGTGAAAGTGAGCTATGACAACCTGGAAGTCGGAGCTGGAGCTGTAGTCCGGCCGGCGGTCGACTTCATTACGTCAGTGACATTGAGCTAGCTGCACAAGCTCCCAGCCAATAGATGAGCAGCGTGGGGAGAACAAAAGAATGTGAGCTCCTCCTCCTGATGCGCCAAAGATACCTCGGCAACCGAATTGACTGGCAATGCTTTATTGCAGATATTACAGATCAAGATAAAAGCACTCATCCGCTCAAAGTGCTACAACCAATGCACTCAACATACCAAGCAAATCAACAGGAAACCACAAGCCCGTAGGTATTTGTCCTCGAGAGCGCCCAACGCCGTCCATGTCCCATCCTATCCCCTCTCCATTGTCGCATTACACCGTATCAGTTTTCGTCCCTTCTTAACCCAGACCTCCCCAGATACCGCGTATCCGTCTCGCCAACTGGATATCCTTCTGCATAATGGTCACGCGCTTCGCGTGGATGGCGCATAGGTTGGTGTCTTCGAACAGGTGCACCATGTAGGCCTCGGCAGCTTCTTGGAGGGCCATGATGGCTTGGCTTTGCCAGCGCATGCCTTCGCCTCGTGGTCGTACGGTCAAAGCGATTTCTCGAACCTGGGAGTGAAGGGTTAGTTTCAGGGGCGCAGTTCCAGGCACGAATGCCACTCACTAGGCGCGCAAAAGGTAGTTTTCGGAGGAGGAGCTTTGCATTGCTCTGGTAATGTCGGATTTCGCGAAGGGCGACAGTGCCAGGACGGTAGCGACGCTTTGCGCGAACGGGGACGGGATCGCCAGCTTGAATCTCTGTCAGCAAGTGTCTTGACGACGATTATAACCTTTCGTACCTTGAACATCGCTTGTCCGTGACGGTCGGCCTCGGCCCGCACCAGAAGCTCTCGAAGCTTTCTTCGGAGGCATTGTGAGGAGCGTGTAGGAGAAGGTCGGTCTTGGTTTGAAGCTCCAACAGCTTGTTGATCGAACACCGTAAAGGACCGGAAGCGAGTGGTAAAGTCTCGAGCAAAATACGAGTAGTTTCTGAAATTCGATCGCTCGAAACAAATAATTATTTGAGGTTTTATTGGGACAAAGAGAGAGTTGAAAGGAATGGAAACGAGTGTGTGCGATTCGCAAAGGTGGAAAGGACCAACCGCGTAAACTATGTAGGAAGGGGCGCGCGAGAGCGCGTGCTTCTCCCAGCCCCGCGATTTTCCAGTTTAATTGATTTCCCTTTCAGCCACTCACAGCGCACTAGCCACATAACTCCCCAGCCACCTTTTTTTAGAGAGCAAAAAAGGTACATCGGCCAAAGTACTCCGTACCTGCTGTGTTTGTCATTCCGGAGGTGGAGGTGAGGTGCCCCACGCTAAGACGGGATTGCCTCGAGCCCGCCGATGTCCCTGGATCCATCCATCGGTTGCCGGCGCCTGGATATCCCGCCTTACGTGTCTCATCCTCTATTCTGTCATCTTCCGCATATCGCATTCTCTCTCCAGCTTTGCATCATTCTTACCCGGAGAATTTCATGGACGCCTAATGTTTTTCCTCTGCACCTGAAATTCATGGTTCCTGTCTATCCCTTGCGTTAGCATCCACGGACGTTGTCCTCCAGCTCCGATCATCGCCTTTCGCTGTCCCACCTGCCCGCGCAGCAGCAGCAACACACCCTCTAGAAACGTCCTTGATACGAAAACTCTCCCCCTCCTCAACAACGTTTTTTCAAACGCTCGCCCCCAATGGATCAAGTCATGGATGGAGGCCGTCTGCCTCTTGAGGCGTGGTTTTGGGAAATGCCGACGTGTACTCGGTGGTGGACCACTGCGACTGTTCTGACAAGCGCCTTGGTTCAGTGCCAGATGGTGACACCTTTCCAACTCTTCTACAGCTTCCGCGCTGTATTTGTGAAATCACAGGTTAGTTTCAATCTTCTCTATGCAGTAGCTCCCTATCTATGTTGCTTCTCTCTTTATCCTTCGCTTCCCCGAGAGTTGGGTCCTCATATACTCTTGCTGACATATCCTCTTTTGTAGTATTGGCGGCTCTTGACAACATTCCTATACTTCGGCCCCTTTTCGCTCGATCTCCTCTTCCACGTCTACTTCCTCCAACGCTATGCACGACTTCTTGAAGAGTCATCCGGGCGTTCGCCCGCGCACTTCTCATGGCTGCTCCTCTATGCGATGGCTAGCCTAATCGCCTTGTCGCCACTCGTCTCGATGCCCTTCCTCGGCCACCCGCTCTCATCCACGCTCGTATACATCTGGTCCCGGCGGAATCCCGATACCAGACTTAGCTTTCTGGGTCTGCTCGTCTTTACCGCCCCGTACCTCCCGTGGGTGTTGATGGGCTTCAGCCTTGTCCTTCACGGCACTGTTCCCAAGGATGAGATCATGGGTGTTGTGATTGGACACGTCTGGTACTTTTTCAGCGACGTTTACCCCCCACTGCACAACGGTTCCCGTCCTCTGGACCCTCCAAGCTGGTGGAGGCGTCTGTTCGAGCCGCGTGCCCGTAACGACGTGGATGAGGGTACTGACAATGACATCTTGGTCGCTGGAGCGAGGGACGTGGCGCCCCGTGACTTGTGAGCCAGAGGCGACAAGGTTGACAAGGGTGGCATATGCAAGCACATTCACGGTGGCTCAATGGACCACATTGGCGTACATGCTCGCATTATTTCTATTCGGTTTGGCATTGAGGGTAGGCGTTATGATAGAGAGACCAGGACAGGAAACTCTTTTCATGGTAGGGGGATTGGGTTCATGGCGTTGGTGAATTGAAATGACACGGCTGCATTCGCCGTTTAGCGCTGATATACTGATTATTCAATGTCTATCTGTTATCGTGGTCTTGCAGCGATGATGTGAACGGGCGGGGCACAACACAGGTTATTGTATACCCAACAAGAATGCAGGCTCTTGGCGGCTGTTAGCTGTAGAGCCTCATAATAGCCTACTTTATATCACTAAATTGTAGCAGAGTCTAGAACTGCACTCCTGTCTGTATGCGGCCTGTGGCTGTGATGTCAGCGCAGCAAAGAAACCCTTGCAAAAGCGCTGACGTCGCTAGCTTTGCCGACATTCCAGGTTGACCCCGCCACCATGGAACCTTCGCTACCTGCCCGAACTGGGTCTTTGCGAATGGTACCCAAGTAAAAGGCCTGGCCTGGCCTGGCTGACCCCAATCGGAAGCTTGTAGCGAAAAAGACTTGACCTGCTGACGCGAGCCACTTGGCTTATACATATCACGGCATTTGCTCCCGGAACAGAACTCTTCTCTGTACAACATCCCCTCTTCAGACAATCCATCTACAGTCATTATGCGAGCCTACTTTTACGACGGTCTTCCTGTACGCGATCCCCTATACCAAAGCGAACAAAGCTAACAATCATTGCAGGGCGACCAACGCCTCCCCCACGACTCGGGCAAGCCCGTCAACGTCGACGACCTCCTCGCCATCGGCGTCTACTACTACCACCTCCCTGAGCTCGAGTCGGTCGACAACCTAGCCCGCGACCGAGGCTACAAGAACCGCGACGAGATCACCGTCTCTCCCAAGACCATGGGCGACGTCTACGAGTCAAAGGTCAAGATGTTCTTTGCTGAGCACCTGCACGAGGATGAGGAGATCCGCTACATCCGTGGTGGACGTGGATACTTTGACGTTCGCAGCAAGGACGACGATTGGGTTCGTGTTCTGCTTGAGAAGGATGACTTGCTCATTCTTCCTGCTGGCATCTACCACCGCTTCACCACCGACGAGACCAACGTACGTTCTCCAGACACTCTTGACCGATTCAGACACTCATTTGCTTGTGATAGTACGTCCACGCGATGCGCCTGTTCAAGGAGGATCCCAAGTGGACAGCCCTGAACCGCGGCCCCGAGGTGGACAACAACGGCCACCGGCAGGAATACGTCAAGACGTTCCTGGCTGAGCCTGCCCAGTGAGAGGCCCCACGTGGGAACCGAGCCAGCCTTTCATTCTTTTACGAGAAGACCAATCCCAGGCCAGTTTTTTTGGCAAACCCCGTCCAGATTATGAAAAAAAAAAAAAAAAGAGACATTTTTTGACTACTTCAACATCGTCATGTCTATACGATTACGAAGCCCTCAATCACTGAGGGGCTTTGCGCCATGATGGAGAGCGCACGGTTGGCGTGATTTGAAAGGTGTTTTACGTCATTTACAAGTGGTGTCAGAAGCGCAGGCCAATTTGCAAACAAAAAAGTACATGGTTTTGCAGCCAAGCAACATGAAACCACCTTTGAGGAAGACATTTCAAGATATTCTCCAGCTTGGATAACCATTCCTCAGGTTTCTTGCCGCGCCGTTTTTTGGATTCCGTTGGAGTCGAGACTTAGCGGGAGTTTTTGAAGATATCCAGTCTAGGTAGCCAACTATATCCTGTCTCTACCAGCCTCAAGGCTTTGATCCTTGGTCTTTCGATTATCGTGTGAATTAGAAGAGAACTGCTTGAGCAGCGGGCGTCAGTTATCTCATCATGGTCAGCAAGTAATCGGGCTCACGGCATTGGCCCTGCAATGCGGAGTTGCGGGGGACGGTCTAAGTGAAGCCGCCACAGGTGAGATAGGTGAGATGGGTGCTTATCATTCTAGACTGTAAGCAGATTTTGTATTCTGATGAACCCAGACTTTGTTGCCATCATCCTACTATTTCTTCCGGAGCCTTTCGGAGGTGGTCCCGGTCCGCCCGGTTTCGGGTCTTGATTCCAAGGACCGGGATGCCGGAGAGACGTGGACCGAACGTCGGCCGCCGATCAACTGGGCTGCAAGAACGAATCAAAAGCAATTATTTGTAGTTCAGAACGATAATGAACTCAATTAATGTTCCTGGTCATATGATGTACCAATCATGTAGTCAAGCGTGATGTTACGGCCGCAATTGCAGTCTCTTCTCCAGGAACCTTCATTTTGTGTGGGGCGTGAGAACCGATACGTACAGACACTTGGACCTTCAACCCCGCCACCGCTACAAGTCATCTCAAAACCAAAACCTGGGGTTTAGGCCTTGAACGGGCGGTGTCATCAACTTAATCCTCCTTCTTCAACACCATCCATACTCCCAAAGATCAACAATTCAACCTTTGTATAAACGTAAAGGAAACCAACCATGGATACGAGAACAGAAGCGTCTGATGTTACCGAGGCATCAGCAAGATCGCGGGTGCCACAGCTCCCGGCGAGTTGTGATCCTCCCCAAGGCAGCGCCCCCCCAAGGCAGCTGGTCTGGGTTGTATGTTGCCATTGAGACGATCCCTCGATTCAAACCAGATGCTTACAGTTGATAGATATTCGGGGGCACTGGTCAGATGGGCCGCTCACTCGTCAAGTGTGCTCTATCCCACGGAGATCAGGTCACCTCTGTCGGGCGCGTCTTTGAGACGAGCCCCCGCGACATGGAAAACATCCACGAGAACTGTCTCGGTGCGCTGTGCGACGTCCGCGCCCGCGAGTCCGTGACTCGCGTCGTCGAGCGCACGCTTCAGCACTTTGGGCGCATCGACGTCGTCGTCAACTGCTCTGGGTACGGCGTCATCGGCGCGTGTGAGGATCAAGATGAGCATGATATCCGGAACCAGTTTGAGACCAACTTTATGGGGACGCTTCACATCATTCATGCTACGTTGCCTTACTTCCGGAGGCAGGGTGCAGGACGATATCTCATCTTCAGCTCAACTTCGGGTGCATTGGGTGTTCCAGGTCTGGGTCCATACTGCGCTACAAAATACGCAGTTGAGGGACTCATCGAAGCGATGCTATACGAAACGGATGCTTTCAATATCAAAGCGACTCTCATCGAGCCGGGCCACGTGAGACCTGAAGAGCCCGAGATGCAGGACACGGCGCTCCCGACATCGTGGGGCCACTTCCTCGTCAAGCCGCCGAGCGAAACGTACGGACACCCGACATCGCCGGCCCTACACGCGCGGCGCATTGTGCAGTGGCTCGGTGACAAGCATCGGCCCACGAGCGCAGTCAAGTGCGCCGAGCTCGTGTGGCAGCTCGGACATTGCTCGTATCCACCACTGCGGCTGCTGCTGGGGAGCTACGCTATCGAAAGCATCCGGGACCGCATGCGCTCAGTTACAGAAGAGCTGGAGGATTGGAAGCATCTCAACTTTCCAGTTCCAGATGACGACAAGGAAGTCGGTGAAGAGTCGTCGGCCCAGCCTGAAGTTGAGGCTGCTGCATCTGCCGCTACTTGAAATTGCCCGGAAGCCACGGCAGGACACATATGCGGTTTGCTCAGCAAGGGAAACCACGCCAGAGTCTTTCATACCAAGTGGGCGACCTAGGGAATCGCCCTTGGCTTGGTTTGATTTCTACACGAATTCTTTACGAGCTTCCAGGGCTAATTTTGGCTCAACCTGTCAGATGCGCATCTGGGGGGCACCGAGGTGAGATCCTACCCACTGAAAAGGTTCAACCCCTGGCTGCATGACTAAGCGCAACGCGCCCCGTTGCTCCACGTCTCCCTATCTTTCTTTGAACCCCTCGACCTGTGGCATCTTGCTCTGGCCAGGCGAAGGGAGAAGAAAATCGATTTACAGCAAGGGACAAGGACGAGGAGCCCTCATTGCGTTTTCCACTTTGTTTCTTCTTTGAACGCGACTCGATCCTCAAGCCGAAACTCGATCACAATCCCCATCCTTCGGCCACGATCCATCTCACCCTTCGACGGCTCAACCCGACGCTTCCCGTTACATCCCAGCGCTGATCACGAATTCGTTTTGCTCCCCGCACACTAGTTCACGATGACGGATAAGAAGAACGAGGACTATGTCGTTCGCATGGGCGACGACTATGGAAAGAAGGAGAAGGATGCCTTCCTGGCTCGGTCCCCGACCCGTTCCGCCTATGGCTCGAATATGCATGGGAACAGTCTGGAGCAACTCGAGAAGAGCCCGCCCTTGTCCATCGTGGCGTACTGCTTCTCGTCGATCAGTATGACCGTGGTGAACAAGTATGTCGTTTCCGGTAGCTTCTGGAACCTCAACTTTTTCTACTTGACCGTTCAGGTATGCTTGGTATACATCGTTGGGGTTTGAAGTGTTGTTCTGACTGTTGGGTTACGTATAGGCCATCGTGTGCATTGCTACCATTACTCTGTGCAAGCAGCTAGGCCTGATCAAGGTCCTGGCTCCTTTTGATCCTGACAGGGCAAAGAAGTGTATGTTCCCAGCTTCAGCCCGTTGCTACCATTGCTAACAACACGAAGGGTTTCCTATCTCGCTCCTCCTGGTTGGAATGATTTACACCAGCACCAAATCGCTTCAATTCCTTTCGGTTCCCGTTTATACAATCTTCAAGAACTTGACGATTATCGTCATTGCCTATGGCGAGGTGCTTTGGTTCGGCGGCAGCGTTACCCCAATGGCCCTCCTCTCTTTTGGTCTCATGGTTCTGAGCTCTGTCGTGGCAGCTTGGGCTGATATCCAGAGCGCCATTGCCGGCGACTTTGGCACTAGCAACTCGGCTGATGCCATGTCCACCCTCAACGCCGGATACGCCTGGATGGGTATGAACGTCTTTTGCAGCGCTGCTTATGTGCTCGGCATGCGCAAGGTTATCAAGAAGATGAACTTTAAGGATTGGGATAGTATGTTGCACATGACGCCTTGATTCTCAGTTTGCTGACCTTTTTCTAGCCATGTACTACAACAACCTTCTCACGATTCCCGTTCTTGTGGTTTGCTCGTTAATCAGCGAGGATTGGTCTGCGTTTAACTTTGCTCGCAACTTTCCCGAGGAGACTCGCAACAAGATCATTATCGGCATGATTTACTCCGGTCTCGCCGCTATCTTTATCTCTTATTGCTCAGCTTGGTGCATCCGAGTTACGTCTTCGACTACCTACTCTATGGTGGGTGCCCTCAACAAGCTACCCATCGCTATTAGTGGTCTTGTATTCTTCTCGGCCCCCGTCACAGTGGGCAGCGTGTCAGCTATCTTTATCGGTTTCGTCAGCGGTATTGTCTACGCCTGGGCTCGTGTACGACAGTCAGTCTCATCCCGGAACTCGCTACCTACAGTGCGACCAACCATGAGCGCCAGTGCTAAGAGCGCCCGCGATGCCAACTCTTAGACGTTTTGCTTTGGCCAGTCAGCGAAAGATGTTGGGGAGACTGGCGGGAGTTTTTACGACAAGGGAAAATAGAATAAAAGATGTAATTGGTGCTGAAAGACATGGGTTCCTGTGCGTGTACAGTATTTTAATGAGCACAGGCACAGAGGGGGTTCTCTTGTATTGACTTAGACAATGGCGTGGCTGGAGTACAAGGGCGAGTGGGATTCATATATACTTTGCTCTAGGTCGTTTGGTTGATGGTTCAATGTACGGCATGAAGCAGTCACTGTTGTAAAGCAATCACAGGAGTGTAAACTTGTCGTTAGCCCGGGCCTTGTTGAGGGGTCTATCAAGCTTGTGAGATTTCAAGTGCCCGGCTAGGGCCAAAAGTGCAGTGAAGCTAAGGCTGTGTAACTCGAGACGCCCTGGTGACATGTGAACGAGAAGGGGCCCGACCTGAGTTAAAACTGCAGTGAAGTTTAAGCGACAGAATGGAACGCAATGAATCTCAGAATCCCTGCCGGAATCCCCGCTATGCCGTGGATTGATTTGTTTGGCTGGTGAACCTCGATTTCTGGCTGATCGAGGTCAACCTGACCACCTTGCCTTTCTCCATAGCCTGGGAAGGTCAGAGTCTAAAAGGAGTCACAGATGCCCCTATTTATCTCATCACGATGATTTGCCCAGGGAAAGCCTCTTACAAGATAAATGCCCGGCTGTAGTTAAAACTCGAGTGGAGGCTGAGGCTACGCCATGATCGCGGCTCAACTTAGGACACCCTGGTCAACGAGAAGGGTCCGGCTTAGGTTAAAATCGCAGTGAAGGCCAAGCACATGTGGCAAAGTCCTGATGAACGAGAGGTGTCCGCTGGGGTTAAAACTGCAGTGAAGGCTGAGGCACAACTCGAGACGCCCTGATGGTATGTGTAAGAGAAGGGGCCCGTCTTGGGTTAAAATTGCAGTGAAGAGTGAGGCCTTCCGGTACCAAAATGGGATGGGTAGAGCGACAGTGTCTTCTTCATACCACCTGGCTGTTAAACCTTTGAGCTGATTGAGGCCAATGGGCGGCGCACCTTGCCTTTCCCCATAGACTAGTGAGAGGCCACAGTCCAAACTCCAAAGAGGACCACAGATGCCCCTGTTGACCTCGTCACGATGACTTCCCTAGAGGGGTCTCCTACATGATTGCGACTCGGTTCAAGACGTCCTGGTGACCAAGAAACGCCTGGCTGGTGTTGAAATTGCAGTAAAGGCTCATCAGACATTAATACCAATAAAAAAGGGAACCAGGTTTAAGCCTATCAACAGCAAGCCATCATCGGGCATGCAGGCTATCTTTTTTCCCTTCTTTTTTGTTTTATTGCCATGGCGTCTAAGGGATATCCTCCTATACAATTGCAGCTCAACACGA